TGGTGATGACGATAGTAATAATATCAATTATCCTCAGAGAACGAGTAAAAACAGACCGTCACCAGCACAAAGTAACACTGGAAAGTGAGTGAGACTTTATCACATCAGTTTACAGGAGCAACAATCCATCAGGGGTGCGCCCTCCTCCTTAAAAACTCCCTCAGCACGATTGTCTTTCTGTTTGTGATTACAGCGACCCCTAGTGTTGCTCCAGAGCGAGTGCCATCGCAAAAAAAAATCCCGTTTTGATTTCTATTTTTTACAAACCCGGCGAGGTCGGACCGTCAGTGAGCTAATGTTCATTTAAACTGGAGGGAGGGTCTGGAACCGCCGTCGTTCAGGATGATTTCCCGTCATGTCGGGTAAAAAAGAGGAGGAGACTTGGCCGTCATGAGAAAATAACTCCTCAGATATTAAGACATAATTATGAAGTAAAAAGTCAAAATGACAGAGTGCTAATGGAGAGATAAATAAGGGTAATAAATTAGAATCTGAAACTTTGAATTCTCACCTCATAACTTCTCATAAATATGAGTGACAATCTCAAAGTTATAGATTTTTATCTCACAGTATTGAATTTCTTTACTATACCTTTATCTATTTTACCCCTAAATTATGACTTTAATTATAATTATACCCTTTTATCCTATAAATAAGATTGTATCTTATACTTATGACTTTATAATATTTTAACTCCTTATTAGAACTTATTTTCTAATAATTTTGGCCTTTTATTTACTAATAAAGACTTTTAATTCCATCATTTCTACATTTTTATAAATATATATTTTTATCCTGCTATTATCACTTTTTCATCTCATCTTTTTTCTTTATTTTCACTCTTCAGCCTATAATTATGACTTTAAATCTCACACTTTTTACTTTTTCATATTCATTTTATCTTTTATTGTGAATTTTTATCTCATGATTATGTAGTTTTATTATTATTATTTTTATCTTTATCCCATAACTTTGACTTTTTAACATTATAATTTTGACTTAATATCTCAGTATCATGACTTAGATTCTCATGTTTTATATTCTTCATCTCATAATTCGAGATTTTTCTTAAATCATTACAGCCAAGTCTCTCATTTTAAATACCTGACCAATCACAGTCCTTTTGGTTTAAAAAGTGGGCGGGTTCCTGAATATCTAAGATGGCGGCGTCTGTTGATTTGGCATTTCCGGCTGTTTTACATGAACTGGATCATTTGCGTTTACCTCCATCATCAGTAAGAAAGATGTAAACACTTCTTCTGTTTACGCCACGCCCACCTGCACCTGTACTTAATAAAACCGATGAAACGGTTCCAGACCCTGTTCCCTCAGCCGGTCCGATGACGGCGGGCTCCTGACTCGCAGCTTTAGAAGTTGATTTTGTTCAAAGCTCAAAAGCTCGGGGTACAACAGTCTTAACAGTCAAAGTGTTTACACTCGGGGGGGATTTATGCGCACTCTGCCACACGCTCAGAAAACCAATATTGAGTCTCAGACTTGTCACAGAGTGGATGAGTGTGAGTGACAGATGGAGAGGAAGAGGAAAAAAAGAGGAGCAGTGTGTGATGCTTGGATGGAAATGACCCTAAAATAATTTGACTTGGTGTCATTTCAGCTTCCCGGCTGTCTGGACGGACTGAACTGAAAATGAGTGTGTAATGAAATGTCTCTGCATCTGTGTGTGTCTGTGTGTGTGTGTGATAAGTTAAATTCTCAGAGTGACGGGGTTGGAGAGGGGTGCAGAGGGCCGGCCCGTGACAAAAAGGATGTATGCGGCGGCTGGATGTGGTTGAAGAACCGGACAAGTCCTCGTTGGATTTGGGAGGTAGTCATTAAAGATCAAGACTCGCTCTGAAAGCTTCGGCTTAGCAGTGTCCGAACTCTGATTTCTAAAGCTTTAAACAAACTATCGGACAGAAGCCGAGAGCGCTTTCAGGAAATGTAGATTTACACTCTTAACCAATATGTTTCTGAAGATCGACCCTCTAAACCCTTAAATCATCTTTAACCACATTAAGATGACATCCTTCACGTCTTTTACCTTCATCGTCTGTGGCTAACACACGGGTAGCCTCGAGTACTTTGAGTAATCCTTATAGTAGTATGAGTGCTACCTCTAAATATACATACATGGCTTATAAAACGAGGAGAAGCTGAACCTCATGAAGAGAAAGGAGGGCAGTGGGTTCATCCTTGGCTGGCTAAACTGCAGACTTCCTGTGTGATTGTTCTGGAGTTTGTCTGATATGTTTCTGACTGGTATCCTTTGGCAAGTTTGTACCGACGTGGCAAGATTGAAGTCCTCACATAGGCCAAAATATTTCTCTCACTAAGAAATAAAAGTGCAGAAATGTTAGAGTTAAAATGTGCGGGTTTCTTCTCAGGAACTGAAGTGAGGCAGCCCTGACGATGCGGTTCAGGAGAGTTGATTGAGTTTAAAACGGCGGCTAAAAAAATCTAAACAAGACAAAACAAACTTAAACGAGCGTCCTCACTCTGTCACCATTCCTCCTTTATATAAAAAAGTTAAATAGAAATAAATAGAAATATGTTTGACTCAGCCTTTTAATGCTCGTCTTTTCTAATAGGACATTTTAACACAGAAAGGCTTTTATTTTGAAGGTCCCATATTATGAAAAAGTACGTGCACGATCTGAGTTTGCTCCTGTGGTGATGTCACGACAGGAGTGATTCGACAACACGTGTAATTGTGGTTTTGTTTCCATGACGACTAAAGAAAAACCACGTCACCTCAGACTGTTTCATCGAGCGAGGAAATGGTAACGCTTCAATATTGATGTAGCAGTCAGAGTCATGTTGTAACTTTGGCAGCAACAGTACGACAAATATCTCCTGGTGCACTCGCCAAATTTGTTTAGGTGTTTTTCCGCCTTTTGCGTCAGTCTGCAGAGGCGGAAAAACACCATCAGCCCCTCCTTCAGCCCCTCCCCTCCACATTTAGACAGCCAATCAGTGTAGAAGCTCTTTATCATAGAGTCCCCGCCCCTTCAGATCATCGGTCATAAACTGAGAGGCTGCAGCTCCTTCACAGAGGCTGAATTTGAGATGCGCTTTCGACCAAATTTAAAACCTTGATTACGAGCCGATAAAGATTCCGTCATACGGGACCTTAAATCTTTTTGTTGATTTTTAAATTCATTTTCTTTTACAGTCTCTGTTTTAAAATCTACGAAGGTTTATCGATCAGGTCGACCAGAGCGCCACCTTTAAAACTCGAGCTGGACTGGCTGACAGAGTGGAGCTCATAAACCAATGAAACTACAACTGAAGGAGTCTGAGAGGTTTAAAGTGAGTTTTTGGATCAGCGTTCCCTCAGAGAGTGTGTGTGCACGTGTGTGCGCACGTGTGTGTGGATGGGTGAAGTGTGTGAAGATGTCATGGAGGGGGGGTTTAGGTAAAGTGCGCTCCATCAGTGACAGAGTCCTAACCATTGCTCTCACATAAACAGTCCAAGTCACCACGGCTACGTCTTCCCTTTCTGCCTCTACAGCGCCCTCTCTCAGCCGGTCCACATATTACACTTTATATACACGCATAAATAACTTTTTTAAAAACAGACCGATCCACTGAGAATCAACGTGGTTACTTTTTTATCTGCTTGGTGAAGGGATATCCTGCCGAATATATAGTCAGTATATACAATCCCTGTCGTCTACTGTAGTCTCCCGCCCTGGACTCAGAGCTGCCTTTACTACTGCCTGAAGCTGTTTAAATATATACTTGTATGAGATCTATTTCATCACTTCCAAAAACACCTTATCCCTGTCACACAAAAGCCACAAAGGTTACAGATTGCTTATATACATGGTACCTCACTGAGCCCCCCTTTTGAACATCAGCTCTCGATTCGAAGAGTCGCTTCACAAAAATAATTTCAGCTGTGTGCGTCGCACCACGACTGTGTGTTCAAGAGTGAAGTTGATGGTGAACATTTGCCCCAAATTACTTTGTTATAAAACGACCAGTTGAGGTAACAAACCCGTATACACACACACACAAACATACACATCAAACACACACACACACACGCGCCTTTATCAGCATCTGTAGTTGACAAGATGTGGGCGAAAACTAGGAGTATCTATGTCATGTGTTCTTGAGCTGTTGCAGCTCGTCCCTGATTCAAAGAAAAGCAGTCTTTACCTCGGCGACAGAGTCCTCGTTTGACTAGTCTGCATGGTTCAGATTACATGAAGACCCGGGCCTCAGGTCCTCAGTCTTGTTCAAGTGCCGGCCAAAGTGTTGACGTGTCCGTTGGCTTGACTCGGGGGAAGGAGGGAGGTGAGTCTTTTCTTCTCAGTGTCTTTGTATTCAAAACTGAAATCCAAACTTTACAGATCAACAGACGAAAGGACAAAAACTCCACGCTGTAAAAAGAGCAAAATCGGCCCCAGAAACAAGAATCAGAGCGATAGCAACACAACCGCAGCGAGGCCAACGTGAAGAAGATGCGGACTCTTCTGATTAGAGTTTGACAGGCAGTACGGACGAGTCCATGATTCTGCTGTTGGACTGAAAAAGCAGGTCAAACCCTCTAAAGACGTGAAACGAGCCTCTCTGATCGAAAACTCACTCCTCCGTTCTGATCAACACGGCGATTCAAAGTCCCACATGGTGATGGTTTCGATGGATAATCCCTGGTTCGGTGGCTCAACCCTCTTCGGGGTTTGGTGTGAGTGAAAGAACATTAAAGTTTTACAGGTGTTTGCACATATTTCCACACTAGTGCATGTCAGTGTCCCGACGTGCGACATCAGAGTGTTTTAGCATGCTCGTGTCGTGTCTGAAAGTGTGTGAGGTCAGCCTTTCCCGTGTGGAAAGTAGAGTCGGGCGGGTACATAAATATGTGTGTGTGTGTGTGTGTGTGTGTGTGTGTGTGCACAGGGAAGGGGATCAGGGGCTTCAGGGCTGGTGGGGGCATGTACACAAGCCACAAGTACACATCTCCATCCTCCGTCTGTCCCTCGCCGATCTTCTCTTCATGTCACCCAAGCGTCAAGCCTCATCCTCTTGACGTTGGTCCCGTCTTGCTCTTGGGGCTCCGTCGAAGGGGGCCGCACCAGGACCATGGTGGGCTGTTGGGCTGCGGTCCCGGCATGATGCTGGAAGTCCTGACCCCCTCCCCGTCCCTGGGTGCCATCGTCCCGGTCGCTGCCCTCGTACGAGCTGCCGTTGCTGCTGAGCGAGTCGACCGGCGAACGGCCTTGACCTACTGCTTCCAGGCGCAGGGTACCCGGGTAGGCCACCGTCACCAGACCTTGTCCTTGGACTTGACCCTGACCTCCGCCTCCTATAGCGCTGCAGGTGGAGCTGGGCGTGCTGCGGTCGCGGTTTGGAGAGACGGGTTCAGTCTTGATGTTGATGTTGGGATTCGTGTTGACGATCAGACTGCCGCTCGGTACGTGACCCTGCCTGGAAGAAGATGGAAAGAGAGGAAAGGGAGACAGTGAGACCGGGACCGTAAAACCACACGATCACAAAAACTACCTGAGCTAACCTTTGACCCAACATGACAGCAGACAGTGTGCGGGGATGAAACACTCAGTTCAGCCAGTTTAGAGGTAAAAAAATCCAAGAATAGACACCATCAAGCCGGTCAAAACTTGGCTACGACAAAGATAAGCTCGCCAAGACAAACATCCAACAGTCAGCAGCGGCGCCATCAACCAGGCGAGTGTGGACTCGGGCAGACGGGAGCAAATGGAGATCCAGGACATACGACACAAAGACGACGATGTTTCAGTTTACATAAACGCACAGTCCGTCAGCCATGCAGCCGTCCAGTCCATTGGTTCCCACATCAAAACGGGTGAAAAGAGTGTCGGTTCTCCTTTCCACTTGGTTTAAAAAATAATCGCCTGAAGAGGTCAGCAGGAACGACAACCAAGGAAGGGATCTTGGCCGACAGAAGACAGTTTAACAGCCCAAAATGTTGTCGTACACATCAGAACGTTGTTGTTTCACATAATCAGCTCTTATTGTCATACGCTCCTCCGATAAAATCCACTCGCCTTGTGAGACCGGCTGACATAAAAATCCAGTTTCTACGACATCCAGCAGCTTTTCTATCCCACAGAGAGTTTCAGAGCTTATTTGTTTTCTGTCTCAGTCTGACACATGAATAAAGGTTTTCATTATTTTCATTAACTTCCTGTTTCAGTGCCATTTTAAGTCTGATTGATAAATTGTCATTGTCAATGATTAAAAGAGGGGAGACTCAAAAAACTCTTGGTCACTTCAACAGTTTTATAACTTATGTTCTGCAGATATCGTCAAAAGCGTGGCGTCACTAGCATCTCTAACCGCTCTGCGAACGTCGGTGCGGACACGCGAGGACACCAGGTGCAGCCGGGACTCGCCCTGTCAGGCTTGGTGTGGTCCGTGTAAATCCCAGTAAAGAAGCAGGTCATAGCCGTGTAATATAAGACATAAGACCGACTAAGTTCACGCCCAGCTGGTGCGCTCTGCTCCTGATGCAAAAGCCAAGAAAGCCTCAGTGTTTTTGGTTCGGTAACAGACGATAAAAGATACGAGGAAGTTCTCGATTTCTTCTGACGTCTCTCTCCGTTTTGGTGCCCGGTCTGTGGATTTGATCCCAGCAACAGAAAACTCCTTCCATGATCTAATTTCTGGACTCTTCTCTTTACACATGTTTGTGATTCTGACAGTTTGACTGACGATTGCTCAACCCGTCATCCCGGGATCATCGCTCTGATTCAACAGATTCATTTGATACGGTTCTCGTTCCTCCTATTGGCACAGCTAACGGCCAAGAACAGCACAGGACTCCCTCTGAGACTGAAACACGAAACAGGGACAGTTCGAGGAAAACATCTGAGATTTAGGGATTTAGGGATTTTTAGCTGCTTAAAGATTCGTCTAACAAAGAGAAACTGAACGTTTTACCGTCTAAACTGAAGTCTGGATAAATGAAAACAGCAGAACGACGCTGCAGTGTGGTTTTAATTTAGACTAAAGTGTAAAACTCGTACTGATCACAGTGTTTCATCTGCAGTCGCCATGGTCGGCCCGGTCAATTATCGTATACTAGATACTTACACCATTGCAGTGTTGTTTTTGGCAGGCATTTTAGATTTAGTTTTCGTCTTAGTCATTTTGACGAAATGCTTCTTCGTTTTAGTCCCATTTTAGTCATTTCTATCCTTGATAGTTTTCGTCTAGTTTTAGTCCGACCAAAACTCAAAAGGTTTTAGTCTAGTTTTAGTCGACGAAAAGGTGCCTTTGAGGTTCGTGGTGTTCTTTCCCGACAGTTTGAAGCCGCAGCATGAGGAAGCTGTGGCTCCACAACTGTCGTCTGTCTCGTCTCCCCGTACAAGACATTGTGTTTTATTGTCACTTGGACTGTTTCTGAAGTAGGACCATAAATCATCCCTCTTTTTTCGGCCACCGCTGCTGTGCTTGCCGCCACGGTGTGTGTGTGTGTGTGCGTGTGTGCGCGCCTCGTCCACCTGCCGCTCTGTGCATGTGTATGAGTGTGTGCGCGCAGCTGTGCGCGAGCGAGGCTTTTGGTGCGTGTGTGATGGGGGCGTGACTGTTAGGACAAAAAAAAAGCATGTTTTGAAACTTTGTTCGTCCACCTAATAACAATTTAGTCTCGTCTCGTTCTCGTCTGACGAAAATGAATATAATTTTCGTCACATTTTAGTCTTTACAGAGCTTTGGTGACGTTCGTCTTAGTCTCATTTTCGTCAAGGAAAAAAGGGGTCTGACGTCGTCATTTAAGTTTTCGTCCTGCCTGACGAAAACAACACTGCACCATTGCTGGCATGGGTGAATCATGTTCATTTATTTTACCTGTTTACCTAACGGCTAAATTCCACAGGATACGGAAATCCGCTCTGGAACGGCAGGCGGATCAAACACGCAAGCATTATAATCAATGTTCATGATTCCACACAATCTGTCCGGCGTCAGGCTCTGCTACGGATCCGCGTCGGCGGTTTGATCAGATACGCAAGGCTCCTATATTTGCCTGACGCCGCAGCACAACGCATCAATTCAGCGCGTGCATACACCGCACTGTTTGCGTCACAGAATAACGCAAACAATTATCGACATGATAATGGGAGGGGCCAGGGTTGTGGGATGTGGGTGTTTATATACACCGCTGATCTCGTTTAATGTCTTACAGTGAAACACGCAAGATCTCGTGAGACTTCTCTGTATGCTTGTGTTTTTGATCCGCCTGCCGTTCTGGAGCGGGGCGTGGCGGATCTGCATGCGGTGGAATCCCGGCGTAAGTTTTAATCACTATCATCTTAAGACAGCAGAAGACGACGGCTGCACAACCTGAAATACTCTCTTCTGTATTAAACTCCGACTGCGGTGAAGGGAGGGTCAAACTGAGCATGTGCAGAATCACATGTTGTTTAAAAGAATCTATTTACTGAAACTGAGACTTTTCAAATACATGTTACAGGGTTCCTACGCAACTAATTTGATCAACTTCCAGGTCCTTAAAAGTATGGTATATGAAGAATAAAGTGTGGAATAATATTGAGGTTTCCAGACTATTACCACAGTAACAAAAAAAACTGTTTTCTAAAATAGAAAAGAAGGTATTTCCAAAAATAATTCTATAAAGTAGGGTATGGAAAAGTTCAGACTGTGCAGGAACCCTGATGTTCGTCAAACTAAATCAAACCTCTGATTGTTGAAGTCTCTTGAGTATCTGTTTTAAAAGTTTTCACTAAAGTCTAAACGTGTTTAAACGCTCTTCTCTGAGCGCGGCGGTCACACTGTTAGTATTCTCAGGACAAAGTCAGGTGCCAAACGTCTCCCGTCTGTCTAAGTATCACCTGCCCCCACTCTTTGATCAACCTCTGCATCTTCGCTCTCCTCCTCCTCCTCCTCCTCCGCTGGCTGGAGGCTGACTCAAACCTGTCACTGGAGCTGACACCGGCTGTTGACGCTGCACTGTGTGGCCCACTCCTTTGACAGGATTTTTCAGTTAGCGCTCATTTCCTCCCCGTCTCCCCCCGGCTTGACACGGTCGATCTGAATTTGAAGCTCCCAATTACGCGTTTGGCCCCCCGGGTGTCTTCTAATATGTCATATCATGAGCCATCTGCAGAACTGTATCTCTAATATTCCCTCAATTACTGGCAGATTGAGAGGGGAATTCTAGATAGCGCTCCTTCAGGCGGTCTGGGCCAGCAACACTCCAATGTGCTCGCCGTCTTGCTCCATCTCTGACACACTTAAACTCGTGCACTCTCGCTGCCTTACATACAAATGCCTCTTCTTCTCCCACCCTCGCACAGACACACAAATCCCCGAGCGGCAGCAGAGAGGCTCGCTCGGTCTCTCGCCGTGCCCACTTCATCAAACCAGCGCGTCCTGTCTCGGCCCAGGCCAGCACAGGTAGATGGATGGCGGTGCCACGGGGGTGCTGTTGCTATGGCGGGTAAAAACGGCAGAGTCAGCGAGCCGGTGACAGTGATGAAGGCGAGAACAGCAAGGCTACCCTCGAGTGCTAACAACACAGCGAGCACAGCCAGAAGCAGACATTTAGTTACAGTGTGGTGTGAAGGGATACAGCCATGCTTCCCAAAATGTTCTGCTCGTCTGAGGAACAACAAACCGCAGCGTCACCCTCCTTAAACCAACCCAAATTTAAAAAGTTCATTTCTCTAACTCTGATATCTAATGTGGATGTCATCTACTTTCATATTTTAGTTTTATACCTCATTAAAACATCACTGAGAGCACTTCTTCTCCTTAAAGGTCCCGCAGAATAAAGATCTTGTCTTTCCTCGCTGTGCGTTGGCATTTATACTTTAGTGAATGTGGAGCCTCATGGGAGATTACAGCTTCTTTACAACCACAGGAGTGATCTGCATCGGCATGCATGTAGTCCTATCCCTGAAGAGTTTCTACGTCCTCCTACACTACGGTGAAGGTGCTTTGGGTTTGCAGAGTCGAGATGTCAAAGGTTAAGAGCCAGGCGCGCCAACAGCTCTGTCAGTGTTTGCAAAAATAACAATGAGTGTTAAAGAACACGACGACACGTCCGCTAAAGTCGGTGCTCGATCTAAAATAACCGTCATCCCTGCTCTCTCTTTACAGGGGGGAGATTTTTTTAACTTCCACTTTGAGATTAAAGTTAAAATTACGAAATTAAAGTTGAAATTCACAAAAGTCAATATTTTTGACTTTATTCATGTTAACTGCAATCTCAAAATTTTGACATTATTTACAACATTTCAACATTTTGTAATCTTGGAACTTCGACTTTAATCTCAAACTTTCACTTTTTATTTTCAAACCTTCGTCTGTATTGACATAATTTAAATTTTTTTAATCTCAAAATTTCAACTTTAAGCTAAAATTTTAAATTTATCTAATCACTCAATTTTGACATTATTCATGACATTTTGTAATCTTAAAATTTTAACTTTAATCCCGAAATTTCAATTTTTATTTTTCGAAATTTAGCTTTATTGACATACTTTCAATTTTTTTAATCCCAAAATTTCGATTTTTTTAAATACGAAATTTCGACTTTAATCTCCTTCCTGTAATTATATTTTTTCTTCATGTTGCTCTCATCCTCTTTTTTAAAAAGCCGTATTTGTCTCGGTACCGGCGCTGATTCTTCTGGAGCACTTGCCACATTTGTTTTGGTGTTTTTCTACCTCTGCATTTAGCTGCACCCGTCTGCATCCCTCCCCCCTCAGATGACATTTAGGCAGCCAATCAGCACAGTGCCTCATTATCATAGCAGCCCCGCCCACTCAGATCACTGCATGGACAATAAGGTTAGAAACTAAGAGGCTGCATTTGTGATACTTTTCCATCAAAACTTTAACAACAACCAGGACGTGCAAATGTCGTATTATTCGGGACCTTTAAACAGAAGTGTGTCTTCTATATTTTTGCATCTATAATAGATCTCTCTCTGCACAGATCTAACTGACCCTCTAATACACAAAACAACAATTTGAAGTGAATTTTTCAGTTTCATGTGCAAACGTTTGAAACTTTGACACTCTGATTCCTCCATGCAGCAGATATTTTGGGAAAGCAGCATGCTGTAGCTGAGAGGCTGAAGTGTAGAGATTACAGTACCAGCAGAGGCCCTCCTCCCTGCCAAAGAGCAAGTTGGACTGAGAGGCCAAGCTGTGGAGGGAGGCGGAAAAAGAGACAAGCAGGTTTATAAAAGAAAAGCTTCAGGACAGCAGGGAAACAGAGCGATGGAGGCCACTCATGGTTAGTCCAGACACGTTTTAATACAACAGCTGCTTCAGTCATGAGGAGTTGTTAGGACGGAGCTGGATGGAAGGAAGTGTTAAAGCCTCATAAACCCAGTCGTCATCTACATACAGTCACAGTTGGATTTTCCTACGCTATTAAACGGCCAATTAAAACGCACATGGAGGTGGAAAAATGGCGAAACCATAAATAATAGATTAAACATGTTTTGTCATTGATTCTTGTTGATAATGTTGACTTATTATTGCACCCCTGCTGTGCAGCTGACAGTGATCTACTCTAACGGGTCCAAACTTCTGGTACCTTTTTGTCATTTCTCCCCCTCTCTTCTTCCCTCCTCTCCTCCTTTTTCTCATCTAAGAAACGGGCGCCGGTCGAGGCTGGCGATCCGACAGTTCTCCTGTTCCTGTCACCCTGTATGCATCTGTCTACTCTATGTTTCTTAAAAGGATGAACTGTAAATGAAAATTTCACCTTGTGGCATTAATACAGGCTTATCTTATCTAATTTAAACCCCGTTAGTTTGCAGAATAATCTCACTTTTGTATTTTTTCACAGAGCTAAATGCCAAATTTACGATGCCAGCCTTTCTTTGACAGATACTCTGAATTCAGCTGCAGTTTTCCTCTTTTTTTGGACTTGAAAAATTTTGCGACGTCATTTTTAGGGTTTGTAAGTCAAGACCTGCTGAAGATGTTAGAAATCTGCTGCATGCCATCTCTTGAAATCTGCATATAAACCCACATTTTTTGCTTTGTAGCTCAGAACACAGTCATCTGATTGTCCTGTTCTGACTAAACAGTAAGTGTGTCTGATGCAGTTGTATTTTGTTCCAGGTAGCAGGAGGCCTAATGAAGCTGCTCATGGTTTTGACCCTGCGGTTTGTAATCGGTGGTCTGGGAAAACACCGATTCCTCTGGGGAGGTTTTACTGAGCTGCCTCTGATAGTGTGTGTGCATTGTGCCCTGCTGACAAACACTGGGTCCTGTAAGCAATTTAGCAACGTGTGCACTGTCTGCAAGAGGTTTTTTTCTCTCTCTTTTAAACCACAGCTGAGGGAGGGGGAAAGAGACAGAGTAGGAGACAGAAAAAAGTGTGTTTGTGTCTGCAAAACATGGACAAAGCAGAAAAAGCAACACGCAGACAATTATGCCACAAACTAAACATTTTACCCACTCAGCTCAAACCAGAAAGATGGATCTGTAGATGACTCAAATTTAGACACTGGCTCTAAAAGTTTGTTAAGTTCCTTAAAAAGTGTCCTGAATGGAGGAAAACACGCTGACCAGGTAAGGAAACAAAAACAGACAGAAGTGAAGCAGCGATGAGCGGGCCACCGCACATCTGAGCGTTAGCGGAGGCGTGTTACGAAAGTGAGGTGTGGAGTTAGCGTTAGCAACCATGAGCCGCGGCGGGTCCTGTTAGCATGAAGTAAATCCACATTTAGACGTAAACAGGAAAAGACAAGTCCGTTTACAGGGACAGGGACCTGAACAGTGGGCGGAGCTAAGATTTTGAAAAAAAAACTACCATCAGTTAAAGGTTATTCTATCCGAGTTAATACCGCTTGTTACCATTAGGTGGTGCTATTATAGGGAGATAAGGATGAAAACTGGAGTGGACAAAGGCTACGTTCACACACAGAGCTGTGTTCGGGGCGGATCTTAATAATAACTATGAATAATTCAATAGATTGATCACTATATGAAGAAGTTACTTTCTGTTTATTAGTGAGACGTCAACGTCTGATTGGCTGCCATGAATGCATCGTTAAAATGGAAAGTCGACTTCAATTTGACGTCTTCCTGTTGGGGTTCGGAGGATCGGTCCAAGAGGATATTTGGAAGGTCCTGGTGTTAAACATTTACTTAAGTTTCATATCTCTGTGTTGAAATGAGTGTAGAGTCTGTTTTTGAAGGTTAGGGGGCGCTGTTGAGTCAGTGAAGAATCAAAACCTTTAAATTATCCGCTGTCACACCTGGTCTGGTGGGTGTGAGGAGTTTGGTGAGTGGACCACCAGGGATCATTTAGGCAGAAGGAAGGAAGAGAGGAAGGATGGATGGAAGGAAGAGAGAAAGAAAGGAAGGAAGGAAGGAAGGAAAAAGGAAGGTAGGAAGGAAGGAAAAAGGAAGGTAGGAAGAGAGGGAGAACCAGAGAAAGGTAAAAAAAAAAAAAGAAATGAGAAAAAATAAAAGGAAGGAAGAAAGGAGGAAGAAATAAAGTAATGACAAAAGTACAAAAGAAGGGGAAAAAGGAAAGGTGAGGATATCGAAAGGAAGAAAAAAGGAGAAGGAAGCAAAGAGGAGAAGGAAAAGGAAAAAAAGGGAAGGAAGAAAGGAAGAGGGAGGAAGGAAGGAAGGAAGGAAGGAAGGACAAAAAAGGAAGAAAATAAAAAGGAAGCAAAAGGAAAAAATAAAGGAGAAAGGAGAGAAGAAAAAAACAAAGAAAGAAAGGAAAAAAGGAAAAAGGAAAAAGGTCTCTCAGGAAGCTGTGACACTGTTTGGTGCTGCGGCCCTAAAAAGACGAGCAGTTGGACATAAACAGGAAGACCAGCTGACGGCGAGGCTTTGAGGGCGGGGTTAGAGGGCAGCTGTGACATCAACGTTAATATGGGGGGGGGGTTAACAGGTGTGCACCGATCTGAAGAGAAGAGCGGGAAACAAGACGGAAGCAGAAGAAGAGAAGTGATTATAGAGGAGGATGGAAGATGGCGTGATGACAGAGATGATTTCCTGGTCGAGCCTGCGGTGAGGAGAAGTGCGTACGACGGCGAAGGCGAAGCTCGCTGCCAAACCGTCATTCAGCGTTTGATTGGAGGAGCTTGTTTGCTCGCTGTGATTAAAATCAAAAACAAACCGGAACAGTCTGGGCTGCTGAAGTGCCCACGTCTGCCCATGCTGTCCTAGGACGGCGTGATTTTTCCGTTCGGGTTGAAAGACAGAGAACAGTTTGGCGTGCTGGGAAAGCTTCCCACATTTCTGTGGCGCTCGCTTGTTTTCAGCTACAGTGATTCTGTCATCCTGATCCCACACACAGCTCAGGAAACCTGCCTGGTGTTCGCTGTAAACCTGAGAGAGGGAGGAGTGGAGGCTTTTCTACGGCGCCTGTGTTTCAGGGACGATCTCAGCAACTATTTTACAGTCTGAACATTTTCTGATTTTTAAAATCAGCCGTTAAAGAAACTGTCATCAAGGTCGTCTCAAGTGTTAAAATCTGCAGCTCTCTTCACACTCTGACTGCTGAACTACTCAGAGGTCAACGGAGCTGCATGAGTCGAATTAACTCTTTGCAATGAAAAGCAAATTTGATGCAGGTGAGATTATAGACACGATATATCGAAGATAATTCATAACAGCTGAGGTCCTAGAAGAGGTCTGTGTGGAACTCCGAGATTCAGATCCTCTGATTTATTCCTAACAGCAGCCTGAAATATCTAATCAAAGTCTAGGACCCGATGGTTCCTGCGTTAACGGAATCAAGGAATCGACCAATAAAAACAGAATTTACTTTTAAACGCAGAATTTTGTTGAAATTGACATAATGTGACTGAGATGCTGTTATCGTGAGGAGAAGAAACGTTTGTTGGTAAATATTCTCGGGGACCGCTCATTCGAGGCGCCACCGTGCATCTCTTCACAAACGGTTACCCACCCCCTCCCTCCTAGATAAACAGCGTGTCGAAGCGGCTACCAGAGACATCGGCAATATCGGCAAAACAAAGAAAAAAAAAATTGATTCCCAATTAAAACTCTGGTGAGAGATACTTTACATTTTGGGCTTAAAACTGCCTCGAAATGCAAAATAACAGCGTTTTAAACATGCAATATAAACCACAATTAATCGCAGTTAACTATAACGATTCTTCGATTAATCGCGATTAAAAAAAACTAATCTTTCAACAGTCCTAAAAAAATAAAACAGATTTCAAAGAAGTCGTAGAAGTCGGTCGAGTTTTTACAGTAAGAATTTGTGAAAAAGACAAAGAACAAGTTTTTCTGGTCACGCCGCCTTTCTTTCCAGTTTCTAGATAAAAATTAAAAAAAAAGTTCCTCATCATCGTCACAACTTTTGAAATCTGCAGACATGAATGAACAATAAAATCGAGCCGCCCTCCGAACCCTGAGACTCTCTCTAGTTTTGAGAAGAGAAACTCTGCTCAGACGGTTTTTTATCCGGCGCTCCTCGGTGAAGAGAGATCTGGCGTCTTTTTCACAGCCTCTGAGCGGTTTCATGGATGTGTTTGCTGAAGGATTCATACAATCTGGACGACCATTTGTTAACATTTACGAGGTGATAGAAAGAGCTCTGCTGCCTCAGTGCTGCTGGTGGTGAGAGCTAACTATACGCTGCTTTGTGCTCAACCCTCTGCAGTCCCAGCTGTTGTATACAATAACAAACAACCTATTATCATATTTCCACGGACACTTTTCAGCCTGTCAGACAGAGGAACAAAAAACACTCTCTACGCTGACAGCTGGTATTTTTTTTACCCACTTCTTTCTTTTACACATTTCTGTTTTTTATTTTTTTCATTGGAACGAGAGTCTGAGCAGCTTCACCGTCTCTTTTTAAAGTTTTATTTTGGGGATTTTATACATGTATGAAGAGGACAGGAGACAGAGGAGGAGACAAGGAGAGAGGGTGAGGAGTGAAAATCTGCAGGATGGACTCGTGTCAGAGACTTTAGCCGCTCAGAACAGCACCGAACTTCATCAACAGGACATATAGGGTCACAGCCATAGATAAAGAAATGATCATAAATGTTCTTCCTTGAGCTGCGGCACCCCGCTGTAGTCTGTAATGGACTGGCCTGAGGTCTCTCTACAAACAAGCGTCTGCTGGAAGAGAGTAGGTGAGTTGTGTTTAGTCTCTTTGTTAAAGAAATGAGTCAAAGTTAAAAAGATGTTTGGTGTCTAGTACTATGTCTGTGACCCTATATGTCCTGTTGATGAAGTTAGGTGCTGTTCTGAGCATTATTTGTGGCTATAGAGTGGCGTTTTGGTTGGGGGCGTGGCTCTCTGTATTACTATCCTGCGGTCGTTATTAAAGTTGGTATAACTAGAGAAGGAAGCGGTCGACAACATTCATCTCTGGAGGGCGTGTTTAAAGTAATTTTATGCTGGAATATCCCTTTAAGAGATTGGCGAATCAGACGCCGGCTCACTGAGGCTGTTTGCGATGAGCTTGAAGGCTCGTCTCTGGTAGGTCGAGAACGTATTTCCAATATGGCGAACGCCGCTGCGAGGCTTCACCTCAGAAACAGCTGAGTCACATGACTGACACTGCATCCATTTGTTACAGTCTATGGGCTCTTTTCAGTCCGGTCACAAATCCCTCCATTACACCCTTAAATAGCTGCATCGGAGTAAATCTCTAAATCTGTAATGATGATGACGGCATCATAATCTGAATTATCTTTACCCAGAAGGCCGTGGTTCACAGATATTAGCACAGACTTACTAATCAGACCCTGATCTGATCCAAAGTCCATGTGATTCAGTTTTAAATATCGACATAACCGTCTCTGACAGCCGAGCTGCCTCTGAATTATTCTTCTCGGTCAAACACACTCGAGTCGTCCTGTGTCTGAGGAATTGAAGCTAACGTCTGACAGTCGGCTGACAGTGACAGTTAAGTGGCTGGAAAGTAAAATTTTAATGCACTGAGCGCGTCTGCGGCGGCGGCGGCGCACAGCTGTGCACTGGGCCGCTGTTCGGGGCTGAAAGCAGCATCCAGAGACGCCTTTTATTTGAGTAGCAGTCGAGGCACCGCGCTGTCAAACCGCGGCGTCGTCTTCTTTGTTCACGACACATCCAAGGAGCTTCAGATCTGAGCTTTAGGTGGCGTGGAAACTCTTACGAGCACGCTTCTAAACGGATACTTGGAGCAAACTGAGAGAGCGATGGCGTGCAGACAAAGCGAAGCAACAACAGGCGTCACAGTCGACATACAAATGAAGAGGAGAGCGTTCATGACTCAGCATCTACTCTGTGGTTTTCTGTAGCTCATCCGGACGGATTACAGACATGGCAGAGCTGCACAGCACCTAGATGCTAACATGTCATTCACCTCAGGTTAGCAGCAAAATTGGAGATGCAGTTAACCATCTCCGCACTCTGTTTCTCTGCACCCCACATGCTGTGGAGAAAAGGGGGAGAGGGGGGAGAAAACAAGAGGCAGTTACAAGCCGCTCCCCCACCCACAGGTTAGTCCAGCTTCACTCAGTTCTACTGTGGACATCATCACTCTTTTAGACTTTAGTTTGAGGTCTGTGGGACCGGCTGAAATACCCCAAAGTGTGATCTCTAAACCCCACCCACTGTGTCCTGATTGGTTAGTAAAACAACAAAGACAGACAACAAACAGCATCAGATCAAGAAATCATTCACATTTGTGTTTCTTTGTTGGTTCAGAACTTCAACACAAAAATGACAAACAGATCTGCAGATTTAGGCTCAACAACTCCAACGATCGCCGATGAAAACTGAAGTTTGAGCGAATTTTGAGGGAAGCCTGATACGTAGGGCTGCACGATAAATCCATTTTAAATCCTAATCGGATTATTTGATCATGACGATGTTAAAAAAATTAAAATCCTCAAATCGATTTTCCTCTCTTTCATGTCTCGCTCCTCCAGGCCACCGTAGGCTCCCCAGTTCCCACACACACTAGTGTAAACAAACATGGCGTGTCAGTCGTGTTGAATTGGTACGACTTCACAGTTTCAGATGAAGAGTAAACCACTCCCCGCTGTAAAGTCTGTCTGAAGGCGGTATCAACCCGTCACCACGGAAACTAATTCAGGTGGAAACACTAAAGTTTTTTGTCGTATCGGCGTTTCAGGTGACTGTAAACGGTACTTTTTGAAAACGGGTCAGAGAGTGAATAAATCTGTAAACGACGACCATTTCATCTCCGTGTGGATGTCTATCTGCATCTCTGGAAACGATCATGTGACACACAGAGCAACTCTTTTATGGCGCCAAAACAACCTTTAAACACATGATCTGTACTCTTCTTCTGGCTTTGGTGCATTTCCTCTGCAGCGTTACAGCGCCACCTACTGGCTTGGTAAATGCACTACATCGTTTTCAGTGGTTTTGTTTTGAGAGATGATAGAAAACCTTTTAATCAAAGTGAAGTTTGGTGAAGTCCCTGAATAAAAAAAAAAATCGAAAATTGAAAATTTTCAGAGAAAAATCTGGATTTTATTTTTTGTCAGTATCGTGCAGCCCTACTGATACTTGTTTTAGAAGAGCGTCTGACTCTAATAAAAGACCTTTTTCTGGAGGGTTCAGTCCTTCAGATTCAGACAGATCCTCACTGCAGGAAAACCCGTTTGGTTCCAGGGAGACTCAGCAATAATCTTCTAACCTAAGGAGTTCCCTTGAAAAGGTTAACCAGGTGATTGGAGGGACACACTTCAGGTAAACAACCACTTCTAAAGTCTCAGACTGAAGTCTCGTTCTTCACACCTCGTCAGTAAAAAAGAAGAAAAAGTGAATTTTATTCGTCTGTGTTTGTGAGCCAGCCGAGCTTTAACGCCTCGAACCCTGAGTGTGTTTGTTTTTCTGGAAAACACAGCTTGCAGCCTTGCCTGGCTAACAGAGCTAAATCAGAGAGGGACTCCACTGGGAGTCTGGGCTCAGTGTGTGTGTGTGTGTGTGTGTGTGTGTGTGTGTGTGTGTGTGTGTGGAGGTTATCTAGGTCAGCTCACAGATGAATCATTTGCAGCTGGGGTGATGCTGAACCTCGTACAGCAGAGGTGCTGCGAGTGTTTTATGAGTGCGTGGTTCGGCTGGTTCTGAATCAGCTGACTCGTGTGTGGCGGTAAAAATCTACTCTCTCTGATGTCTGAGGGGAGAGGTCAAAGGTCAGGAAACGGGCGATACGTCTTGTTTACGAGTTAGTGGAATAAATAAAAAGAAGAGAAAGCTTACACCAGGTTACTGAACGACGCCAGGTTCAGCTGCGGCTGTTGCTGCTGTTGTTGCTGCTGCTGTTGCTGTTGCTGGGAGACCGCTGGTTGCTGTTGCCAGGCAGCCATGTTGCCAGGCACCAGCCCTGGTGGTGTGAACGTCTGGAGCGCTGTGAGATCGGCACTCATCAGATGGCCCTCTGAGATTAAGGGACGGGGACGCAGAGAGAGAAAAGGAGGTGAGGAGGGGGATTGTTTTACATCATACAAGTTTCTGCTGCTGCTGCATCAATATTAATCAGAGCTAATCCATATTAATGGAGACCTTTGAAGTGGAATCACTCCAGAAGCTCTCACACCATGAACAAAGTGAATATTCATACTGGTTTGTGGTTTCTCACACTGGGAGCTGGGTGTTAGTTTTCCAGACTTCACCCTCGGACCCTCTTTGTTTGGAGCTGAGGTCCTATTTGAGTTCATCAATATGTGAAGAATCATTCAAGTTTATGTATTTAATTATATTCGTGTTGACTGTGGTGAAATTCTAGATATTTACATTATTTACAGTTGGATAATTCATATTGATAAAACTCAACTCAACTTTATTTGTAGAGCACTTTAAAACAACCACAGCTGTACAAAGTGCTGTACATAACCAGACAAAACAACAAGATAAAAACCAATCAAAAAACAATTAAAACAATGGATAAAATAAAAGCAGAATTAAATGTATAGTTTCAATGCTTTTAAAAACTAATTTAAAAACATAGAAACAAATAACTAAAAACAAACCATAAAACACTAAAACAGGAGCCGAGTCTCATGGAGGGTTAAAAGCCAATGAATAAAAATGGGTTTTAAGACGAGTTTTAAAAATGGACAGTGTGGGGGCTTCTCTAATTTGGAGGGGTAGCTTGTTCCATAAAATTGGGGCTGCAACAGAAAAAGATCTATCCCCTCTGAGCTTCCGTTTGGACCTCGGTACCTGCAGGAGCAGCTGATCAGCTGACCTGAGGCACCGAGCTGGGGTGTAGGGGTGGAGAAGCTCAGAGAGGTAAGATGGAGCCAGACCATTTAAAGATTTAAAAACAAATAAAAGAATCTTAAAATGACTCTAAAATGCACGGGTAACCAGTGGAGGGAGGCCAGGATGGGAGTAATGTGCTCCCTCTTACGTACTCCAGTTAAAAGTGTGTGTATGGGGACAGAGATCATCTGGGAGATTTATATGATGGAGCGTTTAAGATACGCCGGAGTTAAGTTTGAGAGGAAATCTTATACAAATTTAAATAACTGAAAGTGCTTCTTATCCTGTACAAACGTCACATCCTTCAGTTTGTGTTAGCTTCACTGTCATGTGACCAAAAGACCTAAAATTGATTTCTAATAATAGTGCTTATGTCGACCAATAGACACACAGTATTTGATGAATTTTTATTGATCCCCTAAAGTTCTTTGTGCTCCTTACTTTTTTAACTCAGGAGAACATGTGAACAAAGTTAGAGTGAAGCCCTGAATCTGTGGAGATTTGAGATCGTGGAGACCCTGGAGACCCTGGACCACGACCGGTTCTTCCAGTTCCTGTTTTCTCTTTTTTTGTTTTGATTATTTTCATGTCTCTCTGCCCTCGACGACTTACCGGGGTTGTAAGCCGTCTGCATGCCAGAGAAGGGTGCGAGGAGACTGGGTGTTGCCACGGAGACCACTGGTGTGGTAAGTGACTGCGCCACCTGGGAGCCACCTAGCCGCTGAGCATTCTGGGAAGACAGAAATGAGGGTGGAGGTTAAACGTTGAGACGGTGGACGTGGGTTCTGGGTGTCTGTGGGAGTCTTTAGGGGGTCAGACAGAGGTCCTAGTGTTTCAGACTAAGACATTCAGGGATCTAGACTAAGTCAAGACCAAGTCCACATACTCTGTTTATTACAATAAAACCCACCAGGAGACCGAAGTGGAAAAGTTCTCTTTGAATAAAAGTGACGAGAATAAACAAACTTCTTAAATCTCAAATTAAATCATCAGAACATGTGAAGAAACAAGTTTATCTCTCAGGTCCAGAGAAAAATCTGATTTCTGAATTTCTTGAAATAGGTCAATAAAAAAAAAGCAGTTTCAGTTTCTTAATGTTGTTTCTACCTTCACTGAGGGACATTTGCAGCTTTTTTTTTACTGATTTTATTTCCTTTTTTGTTTTTATACGACCTGACAGGATATTTGATCATCGGGGCCGATGGTTGTAATTTGGTCGATTATCTGAATCGTCTTTTTATTTCACAGATGATAAAATTCATCGATTCAAAAGTGTGTTTTCCAACATCACTTTGTCTCTAATGTCCCGCCCACAACACTTTATGATTGGCTTGATGGTCACATGACCGTGTGACACATCTGTACTGAAGGGGAACTGATCAGCGTTTAACTCCTGAATGATAAAATGAAAGTTTCTTAAATATCTGTCAAAAGATTTAAAGTTTAAAGTTTCTTAATCTTAATTTGGCAGGTAGTTTTTCACTCTGAACTCAGAGTTTCGGCCGTGAAATAAACCCGATCTTTAGACTCTTTCTTAAACCATCACTGTTGGAAACAAATCCAGAGGCTGATTTTGATCAGGTACACTCCTCCCTACAGGTGGCGTTATAGAGAACTTTATTACAAGACAAACTTTCAGCTCCTCACAGACGTTCAGATCAATGAAGAGAAAAAAAAAGATCCAGGTATGAGAAGAAAAAACGATGTCAGGCTTTAAACCTTTAAACTCAGACGTCCAATCGAACCTCTTTTTAGTTTTTCTGTTTCTCAGCTCTGTGTTTGATGTCGTGAGACAACCTGATTGAAATCATCAACAGATCTGCTCTTTTCTCCTTATATGGACTCAGTCTGAAGAGTTCTCAGCAAATGACTTCACCTGTTTTCAGCAGCACTGATGATAATAGTTAGCATGTGCTCTCCTCTGTACAGCACAGGGACGGGGAACATTTTTAATAATTCTGTTTCCACTTTAGGATAAAAACCTGAGTTAGTCTCAGACTGACCTGCACCAGGTGAACTTTGACCCCCTGGTTTATTTGAAGCTTTATTGGCAGATTTCGTGTTTTTAAAAACACTCGTATCAGACGTGTTCACAGCTTCATCCATGTTTTATTCATCGCTCCACACAGAAACCGTTCTCCAGACCCTCCGCTCTCTCCGAGGCGTTTAACTTTTCAGTGACACTTTAACATCTGCATGCAAGATGAGAGGCGTCTCACATCTCAAGGTGGCGTTGGCACGGCAACGCTGTCGCCAGGGCCAGGGCGACTGTGTTATGTAGCGTCACGGTGGAAGGTGTTATGAGAGGCATCGCTGTGCTGCAGGATCATGCTGACAGGAACACATGCACCGAGGAGGACAGACGAGTGTGTGTGTGTGTGTGTGTGTGTGTGTGTGTGTGTGTTGAAAAGTTTGTGTGTAAATGTTTGCAGAGATGGAATGAGAAGAATGCAAACACAATGTGAGGTGTGTGTTTTTCTTTTGAGGCGTGTGTGTGTGTGTGTTTACGCAGAGAAATATGCATGAACACATGGCAGCATGCGTGCGCGAGGACGTGGGTGTGTGTTTGTGAGGAGGTCAGCGTGTCGGCCTCCGGCGTGTCCGCCTGTGCTCCAGGTTGGAGACTCAGTGATCCTCCTTCGCTCTGATCCTCGCAGCGTCAACACTCCCATCAAAACCAAACATGCACATGCTGAGCAGCTTTCACACAGAGCGGAGAGTCAGCTGGTCGCTCAGGTTCCTTCAATATTCACTCGAGACGCTGTTTGCTCGGCACAAATGTCACTTTAAGCCCCACTGTGGCACAGAGATGATTCACCTCTCTATAATTATCGATGTAAGGTTTGTGTTCTCATTTTAAACAAGTCCTGTCATGTCAATTCAGCAGGAGACTTTCAGAGAGACGGGCGCAGAGTCAGAATTTATTCAACTCAAACTGAAGGATGGGAGCGTTTATATCAGAGAAAAGAGACTTAAAGGAGTTTACGTGAACATCTGATCACCCGTCCCTCTTTTTATAGGTCAATATTTTGTTGCCATCGACAAAAATCATGTTTTAAATGAAACGATGGCGTTTGAAAACTTCGAATTAAAGGTGTTTTCACGTCTCTGCTTTTACAGATAATACTCCAACACAGACTTTGTTAAACTTTGTTAAACTTTGCATTCGTACATTTCAACGCAAAGACTAATCATTACAAAGCCGAGACTTTGTGATTCTGGTTTGGGTCTAACCCCCAATTTCCACCGCATCAGGAACTGCCAATCATAGCTGATCGTAACCATTCAAGTTAACGTGTTAATCTACTGCTTATGTTCTTGTGAGTTCCTGTGATTCCTTCTGTCTGTAATCCGACACCAAATTCGCCTCACAAACAGACCCGGTATGAATTGGCGGTTCCGGATGCGGTGGAAATTGGTGGTAATTCTTCACCCTGTCTGCAGAAAACTGTAGCCTAGCTTCAGTTTCTCAGCTCCTGCGTCCTCCGCGGCTAAAACACCCTCCTGAGTCTGGATCTTTCTGGAACCCGTGTAACCAGCTGAGTCCTGCGTTCTGAACTGTGACGGCGTCTCTGCTCCTCCTCTCCTCTCAGGTCGTGTTCGCTGACAGTGATCACACTCATGCTCGGTGAGTTCACACCACATCCAGGAGGCTAAGAGTCTAAAAGTCTATATTCACCTCACTCACCAACTCCAGCTCCTCCTCTGTCTGCACGGCGGGGGGTCGGGGGGGATGAGGGGAAGTGAAAAAAACAGGGCGGTTATAATTCTGCAGAAACGATCGTCTTTAAAAGTGAACAGCTGTTACAGAGACGCCAAATCTTGGATTATGAGTAATCAGTTAATAAGTGTGATGAGGAGGAGGGTCTCTATTAAAGCTGTGTTTGAGAAATCAACTTTGAAGTTGAGGAATAACGTCAAAACAGCCGAGTGGAGGGGAACCAATGGACCCAGAAGTTGGATCACAAAGAGAACGTCAGGAAATTCACCTCAAATCTGTAGAAATCTTAATCCTGAACATGAAAAAAACACGTTTGCATCAATTGACCACCTCCTGACACTCCATATGAACATCGTTTGTCTCTTTTTTATGTGATCTGTGAGTTTGGACCCTTTTTTGTCCCTGTTCAGCTGCCGTAGTTTGTGTTCTCCTCACCAGCTGCATCAGGCTCTTGCCGCTCTGCGAGGTGATGACCCTCAGGTCCGGCTTGCGGCTGTTGACCATCTGAGGACTGGGCGGGGACTTCGCCAGGACTACTTTCCCCAGGCTGTTGCCGTTGGATACGGAGAGGAGGCCCGGCGAGGCCCTGGCGCTGATGTAGCCGTTCGCTGCAGAGACACAGAGAGAAATAAAAAGAGGATTTTCAGGAGGATGCTGTGTGTTTGTCTGTTTTCATGTTTTTGGAGTGTGTATCTACCTGTGAACTCTGCCTGAGAGTGTGTATTCAGCCCTGTGTGTGTTTGTGTTCATGTTTGTGTGTGTGTGTGTGTGTTCTCATTAGCGACTTGGATCGCTCTGTGGCACCACATGCTCCTCATCCTTTCTGCAGCACAAACACAGTTTTTTGGCGGCGCTCTGATTTTTTTTGCAGCTCCTCCACTTCAAAACAGCCCCGCTCTCTCTCTCTCTCTCTCTCTCTATCTCTCTCTCTCTTTCTCTCTCTCTCTCTCTCTCTCCACGACGGTTTTATTTCCACTCTTCTTCTTTTGTTCCCCTCGTCTCCGTGCTCGGTTAGAAAACACACAAATGTCCCTGGACTCCCTCCAAACAACAGTGAAAAAAAAACATCTCCTCTCCTGAATCGTGTGGAACGATGACTGAGCTCTCAGAGATTGTTTTCTGTAAATCAAAAATACCAAATCACTCGTTTTATTCAAACTGCTTCAAATATATTCCATCCTGGTTATTGAGCTCTCCCTGTGAAGATCTACAAATGTTTTCTAGGGTCTCTAACTGTAGAAACACGTGTCTCCATCAGCGCTGAGATCCACGTTTCACTCAAACACTAACAGGACTTTTTCTAAATGAGCTCAGAGATCGTCTTCAAAAATTCTCCCGACTGTAAAACTTAAAATCTGGGAATAAGAAATAAGACCTCATAGACAGGAAAACATAGATGCCTCTCTAAAGATGAACTCACTGAAGAAAAGAGACGAAGGAGTCAAAGTGATCAGAGTTTGTCGAGGAGGAAGAGAAACCTCTCGGTGTCGTAGACTGATGGGTTTTTATTGGACTTCAGTAGAACTGTGGAGGTGTGGTTCTGCTCTGAGGGTATCTGGACTTTGTTACTCGTGTATAGAGAAGAACAGAGTCTACGGAATACCACAGCACGTGTTCTCCTAAGTTAAAGTAAGGAGCACAAAGAACTTTAGGGGAACAATGAAAATTGATCAAATAATGTTTGTCTTATTGATCGACCGTAGTACAATTATTAGAAATCAATTTGAAGGAAAACAGCCTTTTCTGAGAACATCAACCGGTAATTTACTGACGGTCCCTTATTCAACACCGACGTTGAGAGTGAGGGTGTCGAGTAGATTCTAGAAACCAGAATTCTGGAAACCAAAAAGTGCATCCTGAAATCCTGATATCTAAAACTCTACATTCTCAAATCCACCATCCTGGAATCCTGCATCTCTATGGCCAAGCACTTCAGACCCCTACAGTCCAGAATCCATGATTCTGAAACCCCATCTTTTTCAGACCTGACATTTCCAGGCTGTTCAAACTGACTGACTGTTAAAAAGGTTCGAGCCGAACATCGACTCACACCTGAGAAGGAGGACAGAGTTATGACATCAGAGACCGTCAGCTCCAGTCCTGGATCCTGATGGTGACGGTGTTTCAGACCTAAAAATATCACATCTATGAAATATCATGAGCAGTAAATCATGGAGGAGGAGTTCTCTCTCTCTCTGGGCAGATGGATGTTCACCCTGAGTCTGGGTCTGCTCCAGGTTTCTGCCTGTTAAAGCTTGAACTAAATGTGAATTTAAGTCTTTAAAAAACGTTAAAATAAAGAGTACAGTTCATACCTGCAGTCTTTGAAAGCTTTGGTGCTGAATAAATATTCAACAGTCATTTTTTACCTGTTGGATTATTTTGCAGTTCTGTACCAAAAAAAGGGTTAATCTGATTTGATTTATTTACATCATCTTTATTAAAAACAGCAGCGTACTCATCTCTTTCTCTTTCTGTCTCCTTGTTTGTTTTTCTGTCTCACAGTTACATTCCTGCAACATGACAGAACGTCACGTCTCTGTTGAACGCGCCCTGCTTTGATACTGTACAACGGGCCGCGTTCCAGGATCCAGACAGCGTAACGCCACAGTTACTCTGCAAAAGCATCAACACCTGACACATGTCCCACTCTGCATGTGTGTCTGCAGGAGTGTGCGCGGGCACACTGAGACTTAACCTGGTGCTGCAGGTTCACAGGTGAAATAAACCTGAACTACAGTTTCAGAACGACGTCTTTATCGTTTATATTTTCATGTTTTTATCACTGATTTATTTTTATTGGTGCAACAGCGACGAAGAATCCAGCAGACAGCAGCCTGTTCATGCAGCTGAGGTCAGAAACAGGACTTCACTACAGCGGGGACTTTCCCAACACACACACACACACACACACACACACACACACACACACACACACACACACACACACACTTAGAGGCTGTTTTCCCACTGGACAGAGTCATGGCGTTTGTGTGTGTGTGTGTGATAGCAGATAGCTGTTCGCCATGTTGCCGCCTCCAGACGACAGCAGCATGTGACTCTGCTTCATCTCACTCACACACACACACACACACACACACACACACACACACACACACACACACACTCCAGGGAGATAAAAACACACACACACACACACACACACACACACACATAGACTGTTTATGGAGTGGACCTGACAACAACAACAACAACAACAGGTACCTCTATAACAACTCGATCAGGGCAGAGGGAGAGACAGGGGAGTAAGGAGAGATGAGGGGACGAAGGAGACAAGGGAGGAGACAAGGAGAGGTCTGAAGGTGAGGAAAGGAGGACCAATGAGGATAAATGAGAGAAAAATGAACAGGAGAGAGGCGAACAAAACATGTGGGTGAGTTAGGAAGCAAACGATGAGTACAGCTTAAAGGGAAGACAAGGACAGAGGGTAAGTAAAGGAAAAGAGGAGGTAGGAAAGGTGAGATGGAGAGTGGATGTCTCCTTCTCCGAGGATCTTTCAGCTCCTTCTGTTCACCTGTTCCTCTCCAAAAATCAACACCCTGATAACCGTTTAGTCTCCCTCATGTTACACCTGCTCCAAATCCGTCATTTGTCCGAGTGAAAAAACGGCCTCCAGTGACTTCTGCAGTCATGAGAGAGCCGCCGCCGCCGCCATGACAGGTGGGTTTCTCCTGAGAACATCACAGTCTTAGTTCAGCTGCACACTAAGAACAAAGGAGCCAAAACTGAGAAGAGGTAGAGGAGTAAGGATGAAGGAAAGGAGATAAGTGAGTAAGGAGAGAAGATAGGACACCAGAGTCAGGGTGACCAATGAAATCACCTGCAGCCGAATGTCAGACAGTGAACTGGAGCAGGTGTTTCTGGGACATCCTGTAACCCTGTTTCTTTCCCTGTGTGTGTGTGTGTGTGTGTGTGTATGTGCGTGCACACAGAGCAGACAAGTGCGTCACTCTGACAAACAGGAATCTGTAGCTGGTTACGTTGTGTTCATGTTTGTGGGTGAAGGAAATGGACGGTGGCTTTGTGGGGCCCCTGAGTTATGAAAGTTCACACACAGCATGAAATTATTAGTGTGTGTGTGTGTGTGTGTGTGTGTGTGTGTGTGTGTGTGTGTGTGTGTGTGTGTGTGTGTGTGCGCCTGAGGGCACCTGTGAGATGTGTGTGTGTGTGTGTGATTGGTGGTGGTGGGAGTTTATTGGAATCCAGATTTTCATCATTTTTGTGTGTTTACACGTCCTCTGAAATGTTTTCACTCGACCACAGACGCATTTTTGCACAAACTAAGTTTGAGGGTTCGACGATAAATAAATATCATAAATTATGGAGAAAATCTTACAGAGACACAAAAAGAGCTCAAAACTCGGCTGTATAAGATCCAATACTTGTCTCCTGCCCCGACTGTGTGAAATACCCAACATCTCAAATATGAAACAAACAAAAAACAATAATAATAATGATAATGATAATATAAATATATATGTATAGATATTATTATATTATTATCAATAATGGTCATTATTATCATAATTATTACTGTTTATTTTTTCAGTTTTTATTATTATTATTATTTTTATCATTATTATTGTTATTATTATTATTATTATTATTATTATTATTATCATTATTATTATTTTTATCATTATTATTGTTATTATTATTATTATTATTATTATTATCATTATTATTATTATTATTATTTTTATCATTATTATTGTTATTATTATTATTATTATTATCATTATTATTATTATTATTTTTATCATTATTATTGTTATTATTATTATTATTATTATTATTATTATTATTATTATTTTTATTATTATTATTATTATTATTACTATTATTAATTCTGACTTTGTAGAATATTCTGATTTATTCCAGAGTTCGTGTTCAGTTAAACTATTAGATGGCTGTGTTTCCATACAGCATGAGTGTGTTTGTGTGACGTTTACACAAAAGCTCCCATGAACACACTCTAACTCTGAGTGTGTGTGTGTGTGTGTGTGTGTGTGTGTGTGTGTGTGTGTGTGTGTGTGTGTGTGTCAGAGACATGCTGATGTGTGTCTTTGGCTTTATATACGTATGAGGACCGTTCATATGTACTCTTCTGTTCACTGACATGAACACGAGTGAATCTGCAATAATCCGAGTGTGTGTGTGTGTGTGCGTGTGTGTGTGTGAGAGTGTGTGTGTGTGTGCGTGTGTGTGTGAGTGTGTGTGATGTCTCTCATTACACGAGGCTGGGCGTGGGAATGTGAGGAATGCCGGGTGACGTCAATGGTGACATTCCCGGAGCCCCGAGTCCCAGGACAACAGCTGAGAACGACAGACCCAAAAAGAGGGGGAGGAGGGGGAGAGAAAGAGAGAGAAAAGGAGGAAGAGAGAGAAAAAGAGAGAGAGAGAGAGAAAAGGAGAAGAAAAAAGAAAAGAAAAAGAGACGACGAGAAGAGAGGAGAGGAGAGGAGGGGTTAAGAGAGGAAAAGATGAGAAAGAAAGAGGGACAGAGAGGGAAAGGAAGAGAGGAGGGATGGACCAGAAAGAAAGAGAAAAAACAAGGAGATAGGAAAGGTGAGAAGGAAAAGAGAGAGAGGAGGCAAAGGCAGCCAGGTGGAGCTGCAGGTCACCTGAGCTGACGTTCATGTTTGGACAAACGTGTCAGGACGACCCGACTACAGCAGACAGACTCTTTTATCAGGAAACAGAAGAAGATTTTCAAACAGGACAGAAGATTCTCCAAAAAGAAGAAGAAGAAGAGCTTTTATTTGTTTACTACATCTGATTCTCATCTAATGATTATCACGGCCATAAAACGTCACCTTAGCGACAATATCGTGAAAACTTGCTACTAAACACAAATACAGTTGACTCACATGTCAACATCTACTTTGAATACTAATAAAATTTGTGATTTATCCACGTAGTCAGCCCTTTGACCGAGGAGTTAACTCATGAAATTAAATTTTCATCACTTTGGTCAGTATTTCGTAGTTTTTAAATGTGATTTATAATTAAACTTTGATTGGATAAAACAAAAGTTCCTCATGCTTTTACTTTGTCTGTCTCGTGTTTTTAGAGTTTGTAAAGGTGCTGAATCAGCGCTCACAGCTGCTTCTTCTTCTTCTTTATCTCTCCTCAGTTTTATCCTTAAATGTATTTAACCGACTGAGAGCATCGTCTGAATAAGAGACTAAATCTTTTTTTTTTCATTTAAACTTTTGCTACGATGAGTTTTTTTTTTTTTCCTCGAATATCGACGGAGACCAACTTTGAAGAGCGCCGTTCCTCAGCGAGTGCGTGTGCTCCTGAAACTCTGATATCGATACTGGAGCTCTGCGTCGGCACAGTCCTCTGATACAGAGCAGCCAAGTTAATGTAAATGTATTGATTTCTTTTGGCCCACCTTAGCCTGACACAGTCCCTTTATAGAGTGAATCTAAACACACACACACACACACACACACACCACCTCTCCTCTGTATCTATCAGCACAGGCAGGCTGACTCTATCTGTCCCTGCTAATGGGATTTAAGGGGGTGGGGGAGTGGGGGGTGGGGGCTCTGGCCAGTGTCAAAGTCACCTCTGAGGAGAGCCCGGTGCCAAGACCAGGGACAGTTGGATGGGAGTGTGTGAGTGTTTTAGGGGGGAGGGGCGGATAATGGCAGAGAGAAGACGAGGAGGAACAGCTGAGAGAGACAGGATGAGAGGGGGGAGGGTGGATGGAGAGAGGAGGGGGGAGGAGACCGAGTCAAACTCCTCTGACGTTTACATCCTCCATCATAGATTTACAGTTTCAGACTCATAAATCACTTCCTGTGTAAAAACGGACGACACAACAGCTCCTCTACAGTGAGTCCAAACATTTAGAGCTCCCCCTGGTGGCGTGGCTGCAGTCCTCCTCCTCCTCCTCCATGTTTGCTGCAGGATTCCAGCTTCTAGGTTTTTCACACAATCACTTCAACGTTCAGAGACAAACATTCAGATCAAACCTCCTGAATTTACGAGCAGAGAGACGATATTTACAGTGACAGTCGACTCTGAATGAGACGTGACTCACAGGAACGACAGGATGAGACTCCTGCAGGACGGGACAGTGAGGAGGTTCTGAAATCGTCACTCTTACACCGATACGTCTTCATGATCTACTCGGTAAAATGAGATTCCTGCTGACAAGATTGATGAATGCTTCACTCTGAATTAAAGCTCCTGATTCAGGACAGTAAAGCAGTGAACTGAGGAGATCTGATCAGGTTAATGCAGATATCACCTCTCCCTCTCTGTAGACTCGGGTCGGGTCCCGCTTGTTCAAGTTATTTTGACGTCTTTCCCAACTGGTGACCGTGCAAATGCAAATTCATACCGTAAAAACCCACAGCTGTTAAACTGGAACTAAACTGGGGTGAGTGGACGAGGAAACGGTGCAACCAAACCATGAAGCAGACTTTAAAGACGGTGAGCAGAGACCCTGATCCTTCTCATATGAAATGGTTTAGCTGTTTGCACGGAGTCGAGTCATCCTGACATCAGAGTCAGAAAGGAAACCAATGACAAACACGTCAATTAGTCAGGAACACAATGTTAAGCTCCCTGTCAGATATGTGGAACAGCTGGCAGACTCCAGACTGGGTCAGTGTTAATGTCACATTTCTAACGGACTGAACTCAATCCTCGTTTTTAAAGTCACGTTTCCAGAAAAAAAGACAGCGAACCAAACAGGCGGAGGAGTTTCGTAACGTCCTCTCTGTCACTCTCTGTTCCTCTTTTCAGTCTTTTCTCTCAACTTGAAACCGTCTCTGTTCTCTGGACGGATTTCAAGCAGCTTGTACTGTGACCTTCAGCTGTCGACAGCCAACAGGTGTTTTCCTGCTTCTGTGAGAGTGTGTCTGTGTTGGACTTCTGCACACGTGACCGCCTGCTGCTGCCGCCGCATTAAATAAAATACTCTGCATGGCTCGCTTCATGAGTCACAATCAGAACTTGATTCCCCCTTTAAAACAAACAGCCAGGAGCTCAAGTGTGTGTGTGTGTGTGTGAACTTTTCCTCGACTTGTGCTAAAAACAAGAGGAAGGAGACCCGGGGAATGGACTACTTACGGACTGGACTCGGGCAGGCTCCGTTTGAGTTCCCCAGATCTCCTCCTAGCAGAGCACCTGGAACAGAGAAACACAGATCACCGTTTCAGCATCTTTTCTTCTCCGTTATTTCACCTGATCTGAAACTCTGCTCATCCCTGTTTGGAAAATGTGATTAAAACACGATAAATTCAATAAAAGAAGAGCCTCTGCTGTCGACACGCACTTCACTCCATGAAGGAGCTTAATTGGTTTCAATTCTGCAGTCCCATTAATTTACGAGGACCTCTTTGGCGGATCTCGATGGTACTTTAGTCTCATATTGGGAGGAAAATCATCAGACTCATTTAAAACTGAAAAAAAAGATCATTTTGACTCCTGATTAAAAAGAAAGTTTACTCTTTGTTTTACATCGTGGTCAAAATAAACGCCAACCAGCCGAGGGTCTGGCTGCTTTTTGCATGAATAAGATCATCTGACTGAAGCAGCTGAAAAACAGGCGGTAATGACAGCAGCGTAATCCTCCAGGGAGGTTTCAGAGCAACTTATTTCCTTTTTGTTTGCAGTCACAGATCGTTCGATTCCCGTCCATCGAACCCGGACAAACAGCAGCGGGGTTAAAAGTCACTAAATGCTGAAAAATCTCAAATGAAGCGACTGCTGATGGACTCAGATCGCTTCTCTGGTCCCAGTTTGATCAGTCGGTCTTCCTGTCGGCATGAAGAGCAGTAGCCTACAGTAGATATCTACAGTATATAAAATACTGTAGATTTACAGTATACTATATTCTGTAAATCTACAGTAGATATCTACAATATATATATATATATTTTTTTATAACTTTTATTTTTAAAAATTTAAAAATCTGCTGATTAATCGGTAATTGGATTTTTTCCCCCCTAATAATCGTTGTCGACATCGGCTCCAAAAAATCCATGTCAGTCAGGCCCTAGTCTCCTGACTAACCTTTAAGGAATGAGCGTCACTGTCACTTCCTGTTTAATTTAATCTAATCTGGGTGCAGTTTAAATCTAGTGTCGGATCCTGGATTGTAAAGGAACCTTAACAGAAGAAGAAGAAGAAGAACGGTTCCTGCCAAAGATCCAGAGCTGTAAAGTCGTCTGTGTTTTCCTAGTTTGCTCTTGTTTGTTGATTATTTTAGTACGTGATGTCACTCCTCAAACGGTCCAATAGAAATGAGCTGACAGGTCACATGACCGCCCACCATCACAGTAAACTGTCACTAAAGTGATTCTGAGATGTTTCCACACTTTGACACTTTTCCTGCTGACAAAGGTTCAGATAAATAAAATCAAGTCGCTCGATCATGTTATCGTCTCTCTCCGGTGGTTTTTATTCCCCCTGTTTGGGTTCAGATCCGGGTTCAAACTCTTCAGTGTGGAGGTCATCGGGGTCGGCTGCAGAGTATGTGGCTGGATGCATGCATGGGAACACAGCGATAAGCGAGCGCGGTGAACTCAATACATCTCTGGTAATGTGGGATGCATAGCCGAGTGCTGCAGAGCGTTTGCACGGCTGAAGTTATGAGAAAGAGGGAGAGAGGGAATGAGGGGTTCATTACTGCTATGTGAAACCCTCGGGCCTCCGAGACCGGCATGTTATGAAAGATGCTGTAATGCATTTGTTGCACGTTACATCACCTAATTCTGACTTACAATGAGATTACGCCGCTCGCAACAAAGCTTGATAAGTAACCTTGTCTGAGACGCAAAAATGGGGCACAAATCCTTTTAGCGGGAGGGTGAAGGATTGGTTCGCCACACAGAGGCAGGGAGGCAGAGAAGCAGCCTCCGTCAAGGAAGAGACGGATGTGTGTCATTAAAAGGCGGAGTGTTTTTATGTCAGCGAACAGGAGTTATTCACAGGACATCAATGTACCGACACACACACTCGACGCTCTGCTCATTCTGCTGCCTGTTCGCTCTATAAAACTCAGCTGATGTATAAACTCTGCCTCTACATACAGAGAGAGGAAATACAGCAGCTATTACACTGAGGGAAAAAGGTATTAGAGCAACTACATCACCATGACAACCAAATCTATAAAGGTAGAGTCAGGAGCTCAGTAAGTCCAGCTACACGACAAGTTTGGTGCTCAGCCCTTTGACGTCTTTCAAGACTTTAGTTCAAACTGAGGAATAAAACTGAATTTATGTAACGGCATGACGATATTCTTAAACCAGGGGGCTGCTTTTGCAAAGTTCAGAGTCTAAATTTGTCTAATATTTCTGTTTCAGTCTACAGCCATGCAACAGAAAGTGACATGTGCAGTATTACACCCACAACTACAACACCAAATTCAAGCCCATTTTCACGTCTGTGGAGAGTTTCTGTCGTCTCAGACTGTTCACACGACCGTGCAATGATTAAAAAATACCACATGTTGAAGATGATTGTACATTTTTGCACAGTCAAAAGATTTCATCGCGCACACGAAACATAACTTTAAAGCTCCTATAAGGAAGTTTAGTTTGGGTCAACTTTGGCGCCCCCTGTGGCCAAAAGAGTCTTTTTATTTTGTCATCTAGCAAAAAAATTACACTGCAGACCTGTGAGAGTCAAATGTTTCATTTGTTGTGAATATTTTTGCTAAAAGACTTTTTAAACAGTTCATAAGAACTTTTAAACACACTGCATTATCTGTATAACTTCCTGTGTCTCATATAGTGTGTCTAGAAAAGGTGCCGCTCTTGTGTGAATATCTGAGTGTGTTCATGTGTAACGCGTTGTAAAATCACACACCAGGACACCGATATTACACCATTATTGGCTCAATATGGAGGGTTGGCCTAAGATGCTTTTTCGACTTCAGACACAGCTGCGTAATTATTCTCTTTAAAGCCACCAGAGTCCATTGACAAAAGCACTAATTTTACCTCCCTGAATACTGGAGCTGCCGGTAAAGTGCTGCTCCTATTGATTTGTGTTTTTGTGTAATTTTGTGTTTTACAGATACAATATTAGCCCTGAAAAAATAAAAAAGCACAACATTAAACAAAGAGACTGGCTCACTTAAGTGGTGCCTCATTTTGCTACTCTGGTAACCAGAAAGTAAAAATGACTGTTTTTCTCAATGGAGTTTGGTGGTTTAAAAAAGGGAGCTGTTAAAGCTTCTTCTGGTCTGAAAAACGTATATAATCTGTACAAAAAGGGGTAAAATCTAATGTTTGAATAAACTATGACTCTGATAGAGGAAATAGTAAAGTTGGGCCTCCTCTCTGATGGACTCGGATCTGCAGCCTGACTGTAAAGGACGTGTTTACCGCACTTCTCTTCCTCTCCTCCTTTTGTTTTCCTGTGAGCTGTGAATGTAGTCCAATGATTTTGCTTCTTGCTCTGAACTGTTCGGCACATTAAGAGCAGTCCTGGTTGCTCTAATTGTTCCTTCTGTCGATATGTTGTGCAAAGAGGTCTCCTTCAAAAGCTTGATAATGTATTGACCTCTTTGCATGGGGTTGAGGAGCAATCACCGCTTCCACAGCACTCCTAAGAGCACAACAGTCGGTTTTCACACTGGTCTGAAAAAAGCATGCCTGTCATTGTTTCCTTCTTTTAAAGGGAAATGTTTCCTGCTTCATTTTTGGAAAATGTTTTTGTTGTGCAGTTTCTGCTTTGTAACTGTGCACCTGTCAATCAAAGCATGTGGGCGTGTACTTTGAAGTCTTTCATCCTTCAAGTCTTGTTTTGGATTTTTGTGTGAGTGGTTTCTCTTTTTTCTTCTGTTGCTGCTTTTCCAAATAAAAACTCATCATCCGCCGTGCGTCAAAGACGGAGCGAGAACATCGCTCTGTGTTCGGATGAATCTGTAAATCTTCGGTCGGATCGATCGGCTGCAGAGCGGACTTTACGTGGATGTTTGTTATTGATTAAGACAAGCATGAGCACTCTGCAGGGCTGCACAGACGCGGTTTTTACCAAAGAGTTTCACCCTGCTTCTCTTACCTGCGCTCGCTGGTCGCTGTGGTAACCCTGGCGACACAGTGTTCCTCTGCAGAGCTGGTTGCTGTGGCGACAGGAGGCGTGGGTCTGTGAGGGTGGAGGTGACGAAGGAGGTGGTGACCAGGGCTGGGTTGCTGCTAAACTGGAGAGCTGCTGCCGCTGCCGCCGCGTTCTGATTGGATACTGGCACGGTGACGGGCATGGGGAAGGTGGGCTGTGGGACGGTGGACTGGAGGAGAGACAGGAAGAAGGCGGGGCTTAGACAGAGCTGAAACACCTCCATGTCGCACAGGTATCAACAGTCATGGACAGGTGATCAGTTAGTGATCAGCAGCAGCACAAACCAGCCAGCAAGTGAGAAACAGTCGGTCAAACAGACAGTCAGACACAGTCAGTCTTTCCAAAACACTTTCAGACTTCACCTGTCTGACTTAAACACACCTCTGTATCGTTTTAACGCCGCTTCATCGTCGACACACGAGGCTGTTTTAGTCTGTGAGCGAGTCAGACAGAATCGACTGAAACTCTCTGGATTACACTCAAACACTTCATGTTTTAATCATTATTAAACTTCATTATGGAAACATTATTCTTCCTGCTGCTGCCGCCTTTTCACTCTCCAGTGTCGAACTCATTTCACAAACCTCCCAGAACTGTTTTTGTGGTTTTTAGACGGGCGATAAAAAACTAACTCTGGCACCCTGGTAGCAAAGGTCCCACATCACGTTTTTTCGAGCTCTTCACAAAACGCCTTACTCGTCTTTTTGGGCAGGTTTTAAATCTGATTCTAAATAAAGAGGAAAGCTGATGTGGTGCTGCCCAAATCTTGTCTGTGGGGTAAGTATCCAGACCAGCTTAGACTGTAGAGGCGGACAAACACCCCAAAAAGGACTTGGCGAGTCCTCCAGGAGAACCGGTGCCAGAGTTTGAGCCCAAACAGAAGGGAAAACTGTTAAATTATTACAGCTGCAGTCGCAAATGCATGTCTATGAGTTTTATTTCTACTTAAAACAATACACAATTTTAACTTATTAATCATAGTAAGTTTAATTTTTAATATATTTAAAATATGACAGGGCTCTGCCGAACTCCAGAGAAGATAAACTGATTTACATATCTACAAAAGACAGAGATTTCCATATCGGAGCACGCACTTTTTCTAAGTCTAAAATATCACTAATACGATCTTTTTAAAATATTTAATCATTGGGCAAAAGATCAGCTGTAACTGATTCAGAGAATATCTGCCAAAAACAAGAAAATGCTTCTATGAAGGATTTTGTTCCAGAAGTAAAAACAGAGTTTTGGAAACTGACCCTTCACACTTCGAAACACTCCTTTACACACACACACACTCACACACTCACGTACACACACACACACACACACACACACACACACACACTCACACACACACTCTTGCTCAGTTCGAGCATGCAAGGTGACTTGGTGGAAAGGCCAAGAAGCCGTGTTGCCTCTCAAATCTCATGCCGGGTTAAACTCTTGTTGCAGCAGCAGGTTATTGCGATGTGTCTGCGGTGGCGTTTTGTAGCGTGCACGTCACGTTCAGCTACATCCCACCACCCCGATGACGTCTGCTCATCACCAGGAACAGAACGATTAATACGTGTGGGAAACTTTTTAAAACCGTTTTCTCTGAATTTGTGTCAGAATTCTGTTTTTAATCTGTAACATGACAGAGACGAGGGCCAATGAAGAAATATTTGAAGGTCTAACTCAGACGTTTTGTTTTTCTCAGTATTCATAAATCAAAGTCAGTGTCGCAATCAGTAAGTCAAATGTCTTAATTCTGACTTTAATCCAGGAATTCCGGCTCAATTTACAAAATTTTGACATTTTTTTAGAATTTGGGTTTTAATCTCAGAATTCTGGCTTTAAACCTTGAAGTCCTGACTCTCAGAGTTCAGACGTAAACAGTTTGAATTCTGACCTTAAAGATGAAAATCTGGTTTTAATTGTTGAATTGTGGATTTAATCCCCATAATTATAACTCTAAAATTATTTGCAAAACTTCTCATATCTCCTTAAAACTCTGATTTAATAACAGGAGTCTGTCTTGTATTTCTGAGTTCTGACTAATTTCTGACATTTTTGTTTGATTTACAGAATTTCTATCCTAATTTGTGGAGTTTGGGTTTAAATCCTTAAATTTGTCAAAATTCTGATTTTCACTTAAGAATTCCACCGTTTTTCTGTCTGATTCTGACGTCAATGGTAGAATTTGGATTTTCATCATGAAAATTTTAGAATTCTGTCTTTAAAATTTAGAATTCTGTTTCTTGTGACTTTTAAAAAACTTTGAGTTCAATCCAGGATTCCTGACTTTTATTTAGAAAATATGGTAAAAAGTTGAAGTAAAAAAATGAAAAGGTCACATTAAAACCCTTCCATAGTTTATCATCTGCTCTGTTTTCATCCGGTTTCTTTTACCTCGACAGTCAGAGACCGAACAGCCCGGGGTCCTGAAGAATCAAGGTCAGGACCTGAGGTTGTCCGGCCATCTGACCCATTTCACCCTGTTCCAGCTCAGTCTGAAAGAAGGACTTCTATACTTAGAATATGGGCCAGGGCTGCTCTGTACTGTACTGTACTCTCAAACTGACGGGGACCCAGTTTAGCTCAGAGGAGGACGAGGAGGACGAGGAGGACGAGGAGGACGAGGACACCTTCCTGCCCTCCATCCTTTTTCCTCTGACATGTTCAGAAACTTTCAGTCTGAGACGAGGTCAAAGAAAGTCAGACACAGGTGTGACTGAAGCTGAGGAGGTTCGGGTCTTTAGTTCGTGATATTTCACTTTTATTTTCAGAGAGACCAAAATCAGCCAATTAGAAGACAGAGATTTAATAATTAAAAATTATCTAAAGAAAGATTTTTTTATTAATTACACAGTGAAAACCATTAAAGCCTTCTGATCTCAGGCTGCCGTCTTTGAAATAAAATCCTCCTTTTTAGTTGTTCAGGTCAGCTCTCCAGAAGCCTCCTCCACTGCTGCCAAATTCCTCATCAAGTTAAGTGATAAATCTTAATCTAACAGACAAACCATTCTGACCCTGAGAGTTTTAAAAGGAAACCAGAAGATCGCAGCATAATAATAATTTAACGTTAGTGACGATCTCTTCAGGAGATTCAGCGATCTGTGACATCACAAACTGGGTAAACCGAAGAAGCAGATTATTCTAACATCGTCACTTTGACTTTAGTTTTTAAGAACATAGAGAAGCAGATTATCTCCTGTTTAATGTTGTTTATAATCTGGTTTAGGCAGCAGAGTTACTCGTGTTGAAGTTTTCAGACAGGCTGATATTAACGCTGATGTCTCTTTATGACCTTAAAAAACAAACGAGACCGTCGGGAAGACGACTGATTATTTCATCGCTCAGGTTTTTTATTTTCTGACACCCCCGCTGAGAGGTTCGTGATGGGTGAAACATTTGACTCCTGGGAGAACGTCAGAAGAGATTTACTGTCAGAAACACGATTTTAGAAAAACTCCTCAAACTTATTTAATGTAATTATGTACGAGTTTGAACAGCATTGAGGGGTGTGTTTGATAAAAAAAACCCACACACTGCAAACTCTCCCGGCTTTGTGAGACTTGAATCGGTGCATCGGAGTGTAAAGTTTGTTGAGCAGAGTCGGGAGCGAGCTGCACGCTAAGTGGCGAACGGGGCGGGTGAAATAGCGGCTCACAGCACTGCATCACGGCACACCTGCCAAGCAGAGGGTGAAGGAGGGGGAGATGGATGAATGAAGGGACGGATGAGGGGGTGAAGGGGGCGGAGGTGTGTGAACAACAGTAAAGAAGAATTATGGTCACATGGCTGAAGGGGGCGGGGCTTATTTTTCAGTATCTGACTGATATTTTAGACGAGTTAGTGTGGATTTTTGATTGTCTTAATAAATCATTATTACTTCTCATCCTGAACTGTCGGGTAAATGTGGGTTAAATTAAACTGAATGAGTCATTTTTAGGACAAATTCAAACTCTTGAGATTTGAGTTTTTGCAGTGAACACGTCTTTTTGTTTCTTGTTTTAATGATCTTTAATTAAAGTATATTATTAATGCATTTATTGATAGAGATGATTTAAAGGTGAACCTCAGGACTCCTCTGAGTCGTCTCGTCCGTTCTTGTTTGTTAGAGACACTCTGAGATTATAAACCGACAGTTAATCCCACCGATCTCCTTTAGGTGTCTCTCTCTTTTTGTTGCCCGTCTTCCTCAGGACCTCTATGATGGTGCCCGCCTCTTGTTGCTAGGTGACTTAACTACTAAACCTCCTCCTCCTCCTCCTCCTCTTCTTCTTCTTCTCTGAATATGAATTTTTAATACGTCCTCGCCCCGCTCTGCTCTCTGCTCCACTGAGCATTAATCTGTGTTTTATCCAAATTATAACTGAATTTACATCTGCTCACTCCGACTGTTTAACACGGACGCTCCTCGCTGCAGACAGGAGGGTTAATTGAGCCCCGCCTCTCGTCTTGCAGGTTTAAAATAAAAGAGGAAAGATCAGAAGAAGAGGAGCTGTTTGGTAAATAATTGACAGTGACTTTTTCTGAAGGCTCTTGTGAGGAAGCTTAAGGCCTCCTCTGTGTGCAGGGACCAGAAAAACACAGAGACAGAGACGGAGGAGAGGAGAGGAGCTGTTTCCCCTCGGAGAAACCCTCACCACGAGAGTCTCCAGGATGCAAAAGTGCATCAGATGATTGTTTTTCTTTAATCCTCCGTTAACTCCACCATGTTAACCTTTATTTGTCTGCAGCTGTGGATCTGATGCAGTCGGAAATAAGCTGAATAATTCAAAAGCAGAATTACGATGCTTTTAAGGTGTGAAACGACAAAATGAGCCTGCAGGGTCGCCCGACACTTCAGTGAGAGTTGCTTTGAGACGACACTGTAATTATTATAATCTCACTTTCAGGGTTGTTAAAATTTAAATGAGCGCTGTGAAAAACTAAATTCTTATAATCACCATCAATCACAGAACTTCAATATTTGACTGAAATCAATCAGAGTTTTAATTGCATTTCTAAACAGTTTTGTGAGTCCTTATTAATTCTTTATGACTTTTAGATGAAGTATTCAATAAACGCTGCACCAGAAACCACGACTAAGAGGAAGAAAACCGCTTTTTCAGTTCTTATTCCAACAGATTTTCATTGTTTTGATGATTATTTTAAAGTTTGACGCTGTTTCACATCAAGAAATGTGCAGGAGAGTCAAATGTCAACATGGTGTGCTGTTACTCTGGATCATTTAGATTTCTCACTGAGTGTTATATAAAGGTCCTGTGTGATTTAAACGGCTTGTTTCTAAAGTCTGCAGTTCCTCACTGAGGGCTCCTGGTTCATGCAGCAGTGTTTGCACTTTCAGGAGTTCCAGTTTCGTTGCTTTTTTACTGAATTTATTAAATAAGATCAATAAAATATTGATCTATCTGACACTCTCTGGATCTTGTAAACTTTTGCGATGGCGTCCCTCGGTCACATCAGTCTGATTCGCTGCACCTGTATGCTTCGCTCAGACTCAGAGGACTGCAGTTTGATTCTGTTTGACATGAAGTCAGTTTTACTTTCGACTTTTCATCTGATCCATCTGGGAGTTTCTTTAAGTTCAGGGGGCCGTCATTTTCCATCATGGCTGCAGCTGCAGATTTACTACACTGCACCAATAAGGAGATCAATTAACATCTGATTAAATAAAACAGTTTTGGACTCTAATTGCCTCCTAAATTAAACTTTAATGCTGACAGCTCTCGTTCGATTGATTATGTCTGACAGGAAACAGACTGTGTTAAAGTCCGTTCAGGAAAATTCTCGACGTTTTTAAGTTTTTAAGCAAAATTCTAATTTTTTCTGCATCAGGCAAAATTTGATGTGAATAAAATCTGCTGATTCTTGTTTTTTTCCTGAATAATTCGTTAAACTTGTTTTAACTTATTTTAAAACATTTTAAGACACTGTATATTTTTAAAGACTGTGTGTTTCTTCTTGTAAAATTGTAGTTTTTAGGTTTTTGTTTGAATCGTTTATTTTTGACACTGAAATCTCAAAACTGCTTTCTAGGAATAATTTCACTCAGACTAAAAGCTTCAGTTTGTGACAGGATGAGTAATTTTTTCAGCTTGAAAGGTGAAATCCTAAAAGACGACACAGCCATGATGAAAAAGTGAATTTCTAATATTCATGTTTGGGGTTTTTTCCTCCTGACCCTCTACAGGAAACGTTAAAGACGTCCGGCACCTTCACTCGTCACGGCATCACATCGTGAGCGCTCAGACACTCAGGAAACCATCAGACCAGAGACCCCCCCCCCTCGGTTAAAAAGCTGCTTTTTACTCGCTCCCACATTCAGCAGCTCGGGGGTCTCGTCTCGTCTCGCCAACCGCCCTGCCCGCTCCTCCCGCCCCCCCACCGCCACTCTCTCCCTACCTCAGGAGGTATTTTAGTACAAGTGGGATTAAACGTGTAGATCCCGGCCCCTGGCTGTCATGCTGGGGATTATGAGGCTGAGGGGAGGAGAGGTGGGCGGGGATGTTTGTTCTGTCTGCTGAAGGTGTTCTGGGTGAGCCGGCTCAGATACTGACAGACAGTTTGAGGGGATGAGGCTCGGGGGTCTACCTGCGACAGGTATCCAGCTCAGGTCCAATCAAGTTAAAGTCCACCGTGTGAAAGTCTACATTTAGTCAAGACCCCCCATCAGAGGTTTTTTATCCGCACATTTACGACTTTAGAGAAAATCACCGCAGTCTTCCTCTGCAGCGCCGCAGCCTGAGGGATGTGTCCCATCCCAAGTGACCAATCAGTGAAGCAGGCAGACAGGAGGAGGGGATGTAAATTGAGCGCTCCTCATTAAAGTGACATTAATGGCATTATTGAGCAGGGAGGAAAAATGAATCACAGAGAAATTGGCACAGGAGCGGGGCGGTAAAAGGGCCGGGCAGAGCGCCAGAACCTGCTTAATGTCAGGAGCTGGTTCAGCTGCAGGAGCAGAACCACATCAGGACCACAGTGACCTCTGAGAAACCGACAAAGACGAGCAGGTTCTCTGAACAATGTCAGGAAACGGTTCAGCCGTGCACACACACGTCTGCTGTTGCACGTCTGTTTCTTTACTGTTGCGAAGTATTACAGGACCGGGTCGCTCTGACTGCTCTCAGGCACGCTCCAAATGACTCCAAGATTACCATAAAGTATGATTTCCTCATGTGATTCAGGTTTCTATGACAACTTTAAAGAAATCAGGGACCTACTTAGCTCCTGTCCCCGTCTGTTGTTTATCCTGAACTTGCAGAGGCATCGGAAAAAGCATATTAAAGTTACGACGCTCCTGAGGATGCTCCTGTTGTGATGGCTGGAACTCCAGGTGAATTATCACCAGAAAAGCAAACGCTTTATGGTGCAATGCAGAAATTCACGTAGAGTAAATGGGATGTACATAAAGTTATGTCTTAGCACAGCAGAAAACATCTGCAAACTCCTTTTTCTTCATCTAAGCCTGACGTATAAACTCTAAAATCAAGAGAAGTCTGAGAGTCGGTTCAAAATCAGACGAGAATAAGAAAAGAAATGAGGAAAAATAATCGAAAACAGTCGATTACAGTCAGACTAAACTTTATATCCACATACAGAAGAGGCCTGGGTCGGATCAGAACCAATCAGAACTGACCTGTTCACACTTAGATGAAAACATCAGATATGAGTCACAGATGGTTAAAACATCAGAACTGACCTGCAGTCTGAACGTAGACTTGGATTTACTTTCTACGCTGACGACCCCCAGACTGACCTTCTTTTAGCCGCAACAAGCTGGATCACATTTCCTGTCACATGACCTAAACTCAGTTTGAGTTTTAACTGGTTTTTTTTTAACTTTTAATTGGTTTTAGTTTAAATCTTTTACTGAATTTTTTCTCATTCCCGTTGTCTGAAAAAAAAAAAGTGCTTCATAAAACTAAACAGAAAGATGTTTTGTGGAAATGAATTAGAATAAAGTGTTTTAATGAGAGTTTTTTAATCACTGAGGACTCGAATTAAAGCTAATAATTAATAAATTGATTGATGGAAATTTTACCGGTGACGATTTTTAGGGCAGAATTCTTAATTTTATCAGGATATTGTTGAACTTTTACTTATGAAAACTTGATATTTTGAGGTTCTGGTTCCTGTTTTATTATTTTTTTATTATTATTTTTTTTATCATTTTAAAATTGAATTTTTGACAGACAGGCTGATAAGAACTGATCATTAATTTCTCCCTGTTCTGACCGGGTTTCCTCCTCAGTCAGCCCACCTGGCCCTACCTGTCTCGCTCAGACACACACCATCAGATGGCGATGTGGGAGGTGATTTGGCGGGTGGGGGGAGGTGCTGTTGGTAGGTGGTGATGAGGTGGAGGTAAAGGGGTGGGGGATGGTGAAGGCGAGTGCTCTGTGAGTAATCAGGCCGCCATCAACAGCCGGAAAAACCTCCGGGCAGCGGGGGAACCAACATGAGGAGGAGGGGGCGGGGTTACACAGAGGGGTGGGTGGGGTGGGGGGCGGTACTCACTGACAGCCTATAGTTCTGCATCATTTTATCAAACTCCTCGTCAATTTTTTTGTATTTCTCCTCAGTGCGGGGGGTGAGGGAGAAGGGCTCCTCGGGGTCTGGGCTCTCAGAGTCCCGGTGCTCTTTCTTGTTCAGAGCCTTCGTTCCCCCAAACAAAAGAAGAAGAGGAAGAAGAAGAGGAGGAGGAGGAGGAGGAGGAGGGCAGAGGAGAGGTAGAGAGAGAAAAGCAGAAGAAGAAGAAGAAGAGAAAGGCTAGGTTAGATAAGGTGACATAAGTGTGACGGTACTCACGCCGTAGCGTTTGAAGAGGCTGTCCAGGTCCTCCGTCTTGCGGTACTTGTCTTCGTTTAGCGGGCTTTGGTCGATGGAGTCGTCGCCGTCGGGCTCGGGGCTGTTGCAGCCGTTAAAGCCTTTCTTTCGCAACGTCTAAAAACGGTCAGAGAGGGGTAGAGGAGGAGGAGAAGGAGGCATGTTTACACGTCATGATTTCAGGCACTTTCATGGATGACCTCTGATTGGATGGAGAGCTTCGTCTGGAGGTTTTCACATCAACATTTGGACAAAGAGACAAAAACACACAGACCATCAGGGATTCATGATTTAACAGTCTACCAGCACAGTCCCCGTCCTAAAGGGGGCATCATATGACCTTTCATAGACCTTTCCAAAAAAACCATCAGTTACTGAATAAATAAACCTGATTAACACGAGACCGACAGATTCAAACTCCAGGACATGATTTAGCTCATTTGAAGAAACTATAAAAACTGATGTGGGGAAAAGTCGGTTATGATGAAATGAAAAATGTAGAGCTTTATAAAAATGAGTTTGAAAAACCAAGGAGACCCACTCAGAGACAACGTAGATGATCCTGATCAGAACCAGAGTGAGGAGCAGTCACTGTCTCCACACACCAAGAGCGACTAACATCATTCGCGCGAATGAATTACATGTTAAGTCAATGCAAAGACGCGATTAGACGCTCCTACTATTCTGGCGGCGCGAATTAGGCTTGAACTGAAAATGTCTCAACTTGAGCGGATATTCGCGTCGCGATAACCAATCAGCACGAAGGTTGCCGGGTGACGAATGAAAACAGACGGTTGTTCACTGGTATCTGAAATGAAGGACAAACTGATCATGTTGGTGCTCAGAATTATATGATACCGTTTTCCTCCAATCACTGAAACCTGAATAAAAGGAGCTCGTCTGGAAGAAAGAGAGTGAGGAGGTCAGATTACCTGGTAAAGTGTAAAAAAACTTTGTCTATCACTTGACCCTGACGGTTGAATCTAAATTAGCGCGAATTACGCGAGTAGATGATTTTACTTGCACTTGGTGTGAGCGCCCATCGCGCTAAAACAGTTTAAAGAAGCTGAGCTGTCTTTGCAGCCTGCCTGAACTAACACCACGGTCATCCTGAGAGGATTAAACTGAATAACCATGTGTCCTCTAGATTACCGTTAGCATTCGCCGCTCCTACTCTTGCTAAAGTCAAGTCGACTGTTTGCACATTCACAGTTTTTGAGTTTGATTCGTTCTCATCTGAGTTTCTGTGTTTATTTAAAGAGACAGTGTCCCGTATTTTCATCCCCGGTTCTGTTCACAGGAGTCTCCAAACCCGCTTTAAGGAGACGTTTTTCACACAAACACAAATGTTCATCCTGACTGCGGCACATCTGCTGACTCCCACACTCCTCATTGTATAAAACTGAAGCAGTGAAAGTCAGATGGATCCGTTTGACCCCTTTAGAGACAAACAGGTTTTTTTTTTCTTATTCTACAGCCGTGCTGGAGAACCACGAAGAAAAGCCTCGCAGTGAAAATCTCAACCTCTGGTAATGCTTCATCGATTTGAAGGGTCAACGTTCGTAACATCCGCCGCCCACGTGAAAGCACGTTATTACCGCCGATTCTGCTCTCGCACCCCCAGCAGGTGCTCCTGGAGAGTCAGGGGTTAAAAGGGTGAAGAAACCACCGACTCCAAACTCAAACGACGGCTTTAGCAAAAACAAGCATGCCCCGATCTTCGCCGAGCGTACAGGATGTGCCGCCGCCACCGCAGCAGCAGCAGCCGCCGCCTGTGGCACTTTCACGGGGTGGGAAAATGTGCTGCATGTCAGATGGCACGCCGAGGCATCGCACCACTCGGCGAAAATCAACAGTGTTACTAATTGGTGTGAAGGCGGAGAACTGAGGAAGGTGGTTGGGCGAGGAAAAAAGGGGGTAAAGGGCGCGTTGGGAAGCACGCAGTGGTGTTGGCGCGGAGGTTAACGGCAGTCAGGTTGTGTTAGTGTTAGCAGGCTTTGGAAAGGGCGAGAAAGAGAGAGAGAGAGAGAGAGAGAGAGAGAGAGAGAGGCTCTTATTTTGAGAGGATTCTGCTAAACGAGATTTGCCGTTAAGTAGCTTTGCCCGGTGGGTCCTTGACCACAAAGCCAGGCAGAAAGATCCTCACAGCAAAATGGATCTGAGGCTGGAGCTGGACCGACTTCTGTGCAGCCAAGACGAGATTTAGCTGGAGGTGGAAGAAGAAAAGACCGAGAAGAAGAAGAAGAAGAAGAAGAAGAAAAGGGGGAAGAAAATGTCCAGCCGTGAAATCTCTCAGTAAAAGAAATAGATTTATCACGCAGCAGCAGAACAAACTCCAGCTCACACCATCTGGCCTGAGTCACGAAAACCCTCACAGAAACTCCGCTCATGATTTTGATACACAAAAAAAACTGAACTTGACTTTAGGTGAGACAGAAAACAAGCAGAGACGGAGTTAGACTTCAGTTTCTGTAGAGAGGATGGCTGACAGAAGGCTGACACAGCGGCGTCCAAAGATGAAGCCAAAATGATGGATGACGGTGTTCAGTTACCCTGAGTTTTAACACACGACTTCTTTTTCGAACCAAACTGGAATAAAAGGAAGTGAGAGGAGGTCGGATTATCCAGTGAGGTTTGAAACCACGACAGAATCTCGCTACACGATCCGTCCCAGAATCCTGATGTGTACTGCACACGTGCAAAACGTACATCACTTCCTCTCCTCTTATTTAAAATCATTTCACTGCAGTTAGTCGTTACTATCGCTACCTACCCGATCCGTACTGTGAAAGTGAAGATTAACGTCACCTTAAAAACTTTATTTAAACTACCGATCGATCTCAGAAAGAAGCTGGCGATGTGACAGGCTAGCTAGCAGAAGGTTCGAGGAGGGATCAGGTAGAGACACAGATCCTCACGATGTGGTCGCCGCCATGATGTAAAACAGACCGAGACGGCGTGAAGGAAACCCCTCCTTGTTTGCACAAAATTACATGTCTGATGTCTGATACATCGTCCAAATAAAGGAAGTTATCTGTGCAATTTGAAGAAGTAAATACACGATATTTAAGTGTATAAACAAACGCAAATAAAGGCGACAGAGACGTGATATTTAGCTGTAAAAATGTGTGCAAATGAAGCAGGTAAAAACACAATATTAAGACTCACAAACTCAACAAATCAACCTTTTCTGATTCGTAGAAATTGATCGTGTTGCTGAAATCAGTCGGACTTTCTAGTTTGTTTGTCCTGAAACCAAAACAGCGAGCTGAGCTGAAACACGCCCACAGCGTCATCAAATCTTATTAACTTGTCGGACAAAAACGTGAAGTTTTCAGAAGTCAAAACGAAGAACGAGGCGGACAAATCTGACCCTGGATTTCCCCGGCGTGTCATTCGGTCGATCGTCTGTAAGACACAAAAGTACTTCAGGATCGTTTTCAGTTTTTCTCTCAGCCTATATTTTCTTAATTAATTCTGCCGTGTCAAGTGTGACTGCAGTCGAGTGGTGGTCTGATTAAAACATAAGCACATGTTCCGCGACTCCCACTGAGCTCAATCAAACGCTAAGTGAGGATGATTCAACTGCGAGCAATCCAGCAGCCTCGGAAGCGGAGCCGGCGGAGACTCGTACCTGCAAGAGCGCCCGCCAAAACCCCGAGGAGGCAGAGACAGAGGTTCTTTTAATTTCAGATGAATTAGTCTCACATCCTCCGAACAGGTGAGGGCAGGAGGGTAATGATGCCCGCTGGATGTCAGCGTAAAGACACTGCCGCCGCTTTTTAATAACAATCCTGCTCTTTGATATGAATCTCATTAAAACTCAAAGCCGTTATTATTACCGCCGTGTCAGAGCGCCGTTTTATCCAGCAGCAGCAGCCGAAGCGGGTTATTAGACAGATTTGTTCCAACACGGAGACAGTCGCCTGATTCAGCTGTTCGCTCTCAGCAGAACAAGTCAGCGCTCTGATCTGCAGCTTAATGCAAATTTAACGTGGAGGAGCCGCCGCCGCCGCCACCGCCGCTGCTGTCGCCGCTCTCTTTGTTGTCTCTTTTGTGGCAGCTGCTGTGTGAATATGTTTGTGTTCTGACCTACAAAGTAAAATAGAAGGAGCAAAAATACGACAAATAGACTTTATAAAACAGGTTCGAGCCGACAAAGCTGCATGTGACGGAGGGCTGACGGAGGATGTGATCGCGGCGTGGACCTCCTGCACCCAGCTGTCGGGACACAAAGAGACAAAGAGGCCGCAGACAAAACGCTGATGACACCGGCGCCGTGCTGCGGCGTTTACACAAATATAAACCTGTGCATCTGAACCTGCACGCTTCACAAGACTGTCACTGCCTGGACTTCCTGTCCGCCGGGCGTCATGCTGACCAGCGCTGACGCAAATCCAACGACGAACAAAGTCAAACGGAAAGTTTGAAACACAAACTAAAGGAAGATCTGAAGTCTGAGAGCGTTTGTTCAGCTCAGATCATGAAATGAACCTGAACTCTGTTTCATTTTTATAAGAAAAGGTCTGAAGTAAAAATTTAACAATCAATAAAAACAAAATCAGGTCATTAAACACTAATTTAAATGAAAATGTGACAGTTTTTATATTTTTATTTCGTGTCTGCGCTGCGAAAATATCACCCACTGTACCTTTAATCACTGCATTTCTTTCTCCAAATAAAAAACTGAGTTTGACTGATAATGAAGAAAATAAAAACCTCTAATGATGCTGTTAGAAACTTTAAAATTAGATCTAAAATCTTACATTCTGAAAAAGGCGTCTCTGTCGTCTCACAAGGTAGGGCTGAGCGATCAACCGAAAATTTACCGATACTGAAATTCACAACAATAACTGACGTCATTTTGCCCATATCAGAGACGTGACTCCGCCCCATCCAGTCTGTAACAAAGAGGGAAAGACAGGTGAGGAGATGGAGGATGGAGAGAAAGTTGGAGCGGCTGAAGTTAATGTGGGAGGGGGTGAGCAGCTTGTGGAGTAGTTATCGTCTATTTATCGTTGTTGAGGTGAACTGATCAATATATCGAGATATTGATTTGAGGCCATATCGCCCAGCCCTAATGGAAAGCCAAGGCAGGAGGAGCAGCAGCAAAGACCTCTGGGAAACAGAGGACGTCAGTGAAATCAGGCCTAGCTGGTAAAAACCTAAACCAAGAGTACGTTCACGTCACTTTCACGCTCTCAAACACTCAGATCACGGTCCTTTAAACATTTTTATCAGCTGAACTTGGTGTGATGATGGACTCGGAGGACCCTAACACTCAGTCCAGACCAGATCTCCTGTGTTCTCCTCCTCCTTTAAACCTGAAACTGAACATCGGTGAGAGGAGCGAAGAGGAGAAACGACTGAACGTAAAAACAGAGAAACACAAAAACACAGAAACAGAGAAACACTCTCGCTCTTCACAGTAAAAACACGGCCGCCTCTCCACCTCTCTCTCTCTCTCTTTTTGTTTCCTTTATACTCTCAACGCTTGTGTTACATTACAGCACACACACACACACACACACACACACACACACACACACACACACACACACACACACACAGTTGTCCACTGATCAGCTTGTGTCTCAGTCACTCAGCCATCTGTTCACCTGTCCACCCCCCTCTTTCTTTCTCTCTCTCTCTCTCTCTCTCTCTCTCTCGCCCTCTCTCTCTCTCTCCATTGTGTTGCCAGGGTAAGATTCACCCTGCAGAGCACCACACCGGCCTCTGACTGGCTGCCACTGCTCTCAAGCCCCGCCCCCTTACTTCCCTCCTCTCCTCCCCCCTCTGGCTCTCTCTCTCGCCCACCCGCCTGTCCGCCCGACCTCTGTTTCCAGCTCTCTCTCTCTCTCTCTCTCGCCTTCTCATCTCTCGGCCCACCACCTTTAACGGCGCTCTCTCTCTCTCTCTCTCTCTCTCTCTCACAGAAAAGTGCAAAGTCTCGCACTCGTCCTTCTGTGTTTTTCGCCCTTTTCCTTGTAATGTCTCCATATGTGAGTCTCCCTGGACGCCTGTTTCCTCTCATCCTCCTCCTCCTCTCTCTCTCTCATCTTTCTCACTCTTGGTCCCACTGCTCTCTCTCTCTCTCTCTCTCTCTGTCCTCTTTTGCCCTCTCTCTCTCTCTCTGTCTCTCGACCCGAATCAAGAGCTTTTCCATCGTATTTGCTCTCCCTCTCCTTTCTTCCTCTTCACTTCTTGCTCGGCTCTTTTTTTTAAGCTGCTTTTCAAACCTTCATTTTTTGTTTATTCTGAACTAAGAGCATCTGCAGCCGAGAGAATCAAACATCTGAACTGACGGGAACTTTGTGCACTTTATTTTCTCATCCTGGTTCTCTGTATTAAAAAAAAAACAAAACACTCTTTTCCCTCCTTTATGTGCATGTCATCATGCATGTTTGCATGTCTTGTTTTCCACGCTATAGAGATTCACGAATACAAACACGTTTCCTCGGTTTGGCAAAATTTTGCAGGAAAAATCTGATGCTAAAAATCTGTAAAAAGAGCAAAAAAATGAAGCTGAAATCTTCGTTTGTGATCGCTCCATGTGTCCTGATAACAACCATAAAAAAAGCAGATTAAGATGACCATGAAATATTGAAAGATTTGTATCTGAGGAGACGTTCGTCAGGTTCTGCTCACTCTTAAAATCTCTGTTCTGGTTTTGAGTTTGAAGTTTTGAGGAAGTTTAATGAAAGTTTTCCTGAAACTTTCTCGGATCTTCGTCTCATTTCTACGACGGATGGATTTGGGCCACAATAAGAGAAAAAATAATTACAGGAGGGAGATTTTTTAATTTTCATTTCAAGATTCAAGTCGAAATGTAAAAAAGTCGAAATTTTGACTTTATTCACGTCGACTTTAATCCCGAAAGTTCGACTTTGGTCATGTCAACTTTAATACCAAAATTTTAAATTTTTTTCGATGGCGACATTATTCACGACATTTTTGTAATCTCAACATTTCAACTTTACTGACAGAATAACTCCTTAAAATGATCTGGAGAGTTAACGGAACCCGCTGCTCTTGGCTTGACTCGCCGACCATGTGGGACGTCCCTCCTGTCAGCAGATCTGAGCTCTGATTGGTTAAAGTTAATTTGGACTGAACAAAGAGGGCGTGGGGGGGTCATTTCCTGGAGATACCGGATTCATTCATGGGGAGTTTTTCCTGTAAACGCCTGTTTTGGTTTGTTTTTGGGTGGAGGTATCAATCACTGATCCTCTCGGACTCTGGAAATGAGTCTCTAATTCATCAATCAAAGACTTCCAGGACTTAATATCCTTTTAATGGAGTCTGGGCCCTCTCTCTTTCTTTCTGCGAGCATTAATCATGTTCAGCATCCGGCCGGGGTGTGTGGCTTCGGCGTCTTTGTCGTCGTGAAGACATCTTTGTGAGAACCTCGACCTTGAAACGCTGCTGTAATAAAGAGAAATCACTCTTCCAATTAACCCCGTCTCCATGTTTGATTTGGAAATGTTTGGAGGGGAAAACAAAGGACGCTTCAGCTTTGAACTTTTTACTGAGAGTCGGTTTGACGCAACTAAGAGCAGAAATAAAGAGATTTAAGAGGAGAAACAGGAGCGTAACCAGTCTGTGTGGTTAAATATTGACGACAGCTGAGAGACGAGCTGCAGGATTTAAGGTCCTGTTTATGTCCCGAAAATTCAGATCAAATATTAACGTACTTTTCACACTATCAGGCGCACCGGATTATAAGGCGCACCATCAATGAAAGCGTCTGTTCACATCTATTTTCATATATAAGGCGCACCGGATTATAAAGCACATTAAGGCAAACTAAACAGTCAGATAAGTCAAACTTTATTTACCTCATAATAATACCCAATAACTGCGAGGCTACGGTAGCTGCAGCGCTCCGATGAGCCAAAAGGATTTTAGGTGATTTTACGGTAAATCAAAACAAGAAAAGGTCTTTAACAATAAACAAATAAACTAATTAAACTCTTATTTAAATTATAAAACAGTTTTTATATTTTTAATTCCACCAAGATTGTTCTGCTAATTGCATCGAAATATCACCCACTGTACCTTTAATTTTTTTCCTCCACAGAAAAAGTTTGTTTGTTTGACTGATAATGAAGAAAATAAAAACCTCCAATGATGATGTCAGAAACTATTTAATTTACCTTTAAATTAGATCTAAAATTGTACATTTCAAAAAGCCGTCCATGTCGTTTCACGAGGTAGGGCTGAGCGATAAACCGAGAATTTACCGATACTGACGTCATTTTGCCCGTATCGGTAAATTCGATGTCAAAAAAATCAATAAATCAAAGTTGTTCTTGGACGTGTAGGTAGGTTATGGAGGACGGTTCAAAAGTTGGAGCGGCTGAAGAAGACGAAGTTAGTGTGGGAGGGGGTGAGCAGCTTGTGGAGAAGTTATCGTCCATTTATTGATATCGAGGTGAACTGATCAATATATTGGGATATTGATTTGAGGCCATATCATCCAGCCCTATGACAAGGTTATCAGAGTTTATCTCGTTCGTCAGTTTCTGTGCTGCTAAAATAATTATAGTGAGAGTGATCAGCTGACCTCGGCTAACCAATCAGGTTTGTCTGAGACGAGGCCTCTCAGTGACCTCCTCTGGTCCAGACTAAGACCTCAGGAAGTGACAGGTGTTGGAGGTCTTCAGAGTTTGGATTAGGACCCCTGAGGAGTGTTTCCTGCTGGGGGGTCGTGGTTGATGGGTGAACCAGAGGGACGGTTCGAGCTCGTACAGTGGTTGTTGTGGTTGTTGTGGCTATCATGGCGGCTAACAGAACGAGCGCCTTAAGAGGCGAGTCCTGCCGAGAGGTCTGCTGGGATTCATGAGGCTCCCCTGGCTGTTCCCCAGGAGGATCCAGGCGGACCCCGGAGTCTTTAACCCCCACAAAGAGAGTCTATCAGCTGAGATCTGCCTCCTTAGAGCTGCTTCGAGAAAAAAAAGGGCTTTCCCGCTCCCCGCCCATCCTCTTCCTTTCTCTCCTCGTCTATTCATCGCCGCCGCCACCGCCGCTCTTTTAGCATTTCACTCGCTCGTGCTCCCTCTGTCCCCTCGCTCTCCTCCTTCCCTCGCCCTGATTGGGATCTGCAGTCAAGCGGATTAACACATTCTGGCAGGAGAGGCAGGCTGCCCACACACACACACACACACACACACATACACACACACACACACACACACACACACACACACACACACACAAGCAGCACGTGCATCTCAAAGAGAGGCAGTGTGTGCATATGTGCAGCCTCTCAGAGTGAAGGAATCTCTCACACACACACACACACACACACACACACACACACACACACACACACACCTCCCAGTGAACTTAAGTGCTTCTAAGCATACAGGGACTCTGCAGCGTGTATGTACAGTACATGCAGGGTGACCACACACGAACCAAAGACATGAGTGTGTGTGTGTGTGTGTGTGTGTGTGTGTGTGTGTGTGTGTGTGTGTGTGTGTGTGTGAGCCTGCGTGACTAAATCCACACTTCATAATTCATACTCAAAAGCTCTTGCCTGAAGAGACTCACGGAGGCAGAGCGGCGAACGGGCACATTTTGTGGTCGTCCAATTATCCTCCCTCTGTCTCTCTCTCTCTCTCTCTCTTTCTTGGTCTCTCGCCCGGCCATGTCACACCCTGTACCCCCTCATTAGATCTTAAGACTTTGATAATTAACAAACATTCATCCACACAGACTTGATCTGGACTCTAAAAGCTGTTCCAACTTAAACAAGAGTCTGATTTTAAAGATCGTCCATAAAAAGACCTTAAATGACCGTTTATGTGAGTGACACTAAAAACTCATGACAGATCTGCAGACGTGTCGTTTGAACATCGTTATTGTGACGTGTTTGTGAGCACAATAGTCACATCTAAGCAAAGATGACCAGAAACCCGTCCTGCTGTCACAGAATAATTGAGCGTCTAAACTCTTAAATCAGGAAGCGTCTGTATCGAAGCTCCATGTCTGCAGAATGTAAACATGCACACGTGTTTCAGAGCAGACACCTGAAAAACGCTCAGATTTTTGCAGACATGTCTCTGGATTATCATAAAAGAAACCCTCCGAAGCTCTACTGACAAACTTCTTAACATTTCTGATCAATGAAACAAATCAAAGTGAAGTTATGGAGGTTTTTAATCGAGGCGTGTTCGTAAACAATCCCAGTTTTCTCCTCTCAGTGTGTACACCTTTATTTTTATATTATCATTAAAAACTTTATAGTTTTATATGTTTTTAAATTCCTTCTGTTGTTTGAACAACATATTTATTGTGCATTAGTCTCCACTTCTAAAATCCATCTCTGTTTTATGTATGGTTCATATATTTCTTCTTTTCAAGCACCTTGAATTGTATTTGTAATTTTATTTTGTACTTGATGAAAAAAGGCCTTAAATAAATACATTTTGACTGATTTAGTAGTACTGTGTTTGCAAACTCATTAGTAATATTACAGTTTTAAAATGTTTTATCTCATTTAGCATCTTTTTCCACACACCATACAGACAAAGAGTCAGAGTCGCTGCTCAGGGTTTCTGCAGGTTTCAACACGTCAAATTTAAGACCTTTTAAGACTTTTTAAGATCGATTTTACATCCAGACGGGCAAAAAAGTACAAAAGACATGAAGGGAAATCAGAACATGTTAAACTAACTTCAAATCAAACTTAATTTGTAATAAACATCAATGCATTTTAAGAGCTTTTAAGACATTTTAAGATCTTTTAAGGCATTTTATGAGGTTGTAAGAGAATTTTAGATATTTTAAGTCTTTATTTTCAATTTATAGGATTTTAGATGTTTTCAGACTTTTAGAGACTCAACAGAAACCTGCAGCTACAGAGTCTGAACAAGTGAAAATAAGAGAAAATTTGAGTTTTGTTTAAAAAAGAAAAAACTCTGAGTTACAAATTTACAAAAGAGATGATTCTTATGTTTTACTTACATTTTACATACATTTTTTTGATCTATTTCTTCATATTTTTATCCATTTTACAGACAGAAAATCATCTTTTTATAAATATCCTTTATCTGCCGCGTTAACCCTCGATAGTTAGGGTGGAGAAAATGTGAAACTGTGCCGATCGCAGAAACTTTTGGTCCTTCAGCCTTCAGCTGGTGTCAGAAACATGTCCGCCCCGCTCCTCACACGTGAACTCTTACACTCCTGCAGCCGTTCAGAACATTACTGCGTGTGGCGTTTGTATTTTTCCTCAAATGTAGGTCCGAGGTCACGCCAGGACTTATCTTTGACTTAATGTTTCCAAATGTCGCCGCAAATGCAAACGGATTAACGGAGAAATGGTCCCTGCAGATGACGCTAACACCCGCTTAGAAGGAGGTGAGCGCCGCCGCCACCGCCGCCGCCGCACATCTGGCAGAGAGGACGGCTGAGGACAAAGGCGGGACAAACTTACTGAGAGGGACGAGTTTTTGTGTGTGAATGTGTGGAGTGAAGTTTACAAGCTGGTATAGGAGGGAAGCTCCCATGTAGGACACACACACAGACACACACACACACACACACGGACAGACACACAACCGAGAGGCTCACCAGGACTGAATATTGTATGAGGCGATCTCATGGGCCACTGCAGAGCGTGCAAACACAGAGGGATGTGCACACACACACACCACACACACACACACACACACACACACACAAAGAGAGAGAGAGACACACTTGACAACACAAACACATGTACACACACACACACAAACAGGGCCAGTGGAGCTTGAGCTGATGTGGCCCGAAGCAGCCCAACGCCCTGTCACACACACACACAAGAACACAAGAACACACACACACACACACACACACACACACACACACACTTGCATACACTTAAGAGCCATCTGCAGCTGGAGATACAGCCTACAGAAAGGCTTTACTGCTGACACAGAGAGACAGAGAGAGAGAGAGAGAGAGAGGGAGAGAGAGAGAGAGAGAGGGAGGGATGAGAAAAGGAGGGAGAAATGGTCGTGACCGAGTAAATCAGGAGATTAGGAGGAAGGAGAGAGGAAGAGGAGGCGAAAGAAAGGAGGAGAGGAAAAGTGACAGACAGAGAAGCGGAGGTGAAAAAGATGGCAGCAGCAGCAGAAACTCTCCTTCCTCCTCCGTCGTCGTCGAAGTTTCCGCCCACTCCCGTCCAAAAGTGCTTCACCGACACTTTCCCGCAGATTTCAGCCCTTATTGGACTCTCCATTATTGGATTAACTCTCACAACACCAACCCTTCAGCCCCTTTTAGACCCAACAGACCCGGGAACTAAACGTCCTCTTCACACTTTAGTATTCGGACGTGGAGTTTTGAGAGGAACCGTCAGAAAACACATCCTCGACATCTTCAAGTTTACGTCACCAGGAAATGACTTATAATGAGAACTATAGAAGGAGGCGGCAGGAACTTTCTCTGCAGAGAATAAAATCATGATTCTCTGTCTCTTCATGATATCCTGACGTCTTAAACTCAGCGCTGGTTAAAGAAATGTCAAAGAAGAAAATATAGAAAAGCGGACGAGCCCTGGAGACCTCAGCTCCTGACAAATAAAGTTCTCTGGTTCCTGAAAAGGTCTCTGACTTCCTGGAGAGTCTTGTGTGTTTAAAGACCCTCCAGCTCACGGAGCAGCGATTGATTCAGATGTTTGAGGATGGATACAGACGCACAGAGACGAACGATGCCTTAGAGCTGAAGTTTGAGGTCGGAGGAGCCTCTCCGGAGCTTCTGAGATGAATCAAACAATCTGTGAAGCCGTCGGGCTTCTTCCAATAAGAGGTTTGATGAAACAGCCTGAGAGCGGAGAATAAAACTCATCATGTGGTGTTGGAGTTCAGCCCTCAGGAGACACAGGTGGGTTTACTTTCTTTAAAAAGAAGAAGAAGAAACTGAGATTTAATTCTTCTGTCTTTAACCACTCAGGTTTCCTGATTTCCTGATTGGCTGACGACGTGCTTTTACCGTGACGGCTGACCGACCATGACCTCCTGAGAGTCGAACTCAGAGGTAGAGGAGCTCCAGCTTTAGGTCCGAGCTCTATATGAAGCCTGAGTGCGGCTCGGCTCGCTGAATCATCCCTCACCATCTCCTGTTCAATTCATGAGAGCGCCATTATGTATAAAAGGGTCAGCAAGGCATGATGTGAATGTGCGCCGCGTTGTCTCGCTCGCTCGCTCGCTCTCCTGACGAGCTGCGGCGAAGCTTTTTCCCACAAGGACCAAAGACGTTGGCAGAGAAATGTTCTCCTATTACCCAAACATGAAAAGGGACGTGGATGGTCGCCCTCGCACCTTCAGCGCTCGCCTCACCGCTGACCTCTCTTCTATATGTAAATGAGTTCACGTGAGATTTCAGCCTCTTCGTTTCTCTGTAACCGGGTGAATTCAGGCGCCGTGCTTTCGCCTGTTGTTGTTGTTGTTGCTGAGGTTTCTGGGTAACAGCGAGGTGAGAGGGGGGGAGGCCCAGCTGTCCTGACCTCTGACTCTCTGACCTGTACGGGTCCAGTCTGGTCTCCTTGTCCATCTTTGGGTCGTGACTCAGTTTGGGGGGATTACAGAGACCCACATCAGCAGCTTGGGTCTGGATTTGGTGGTCCTGTTTGGTCTCCATGAACGCCTCTGAGAAACACCATCAGGCTCTCTGTATGTGTGTCGGCCATCTTTAGCACTTATCGGCATTTTTCACCAAATCAAAACAAACATCACATCAGAATATAAAGACCAGAAAAAAGCAGGAAGTCGCACGCCTGACCCTGAGATCTGAGACGTGAGATTTACTCTGAAAAGTGAAAAAAAAATTAGTTTTTTTTTCTCGGAGAACAAAAAAACGTCTCGAATTTTCTCAGAGGACCGTCTCTGTTCAGAAAAACTCCTGTGAGACTGAGAGGTGAGAGTTTTTTTCTGCTTATCCTGGTTATCGAAGCACCAAAACTTCACAGACATCTTTAAAAAAATCATGATTTCAAGTTTAAAGATTTCACCAAAGAGGACAAGCTTCAAACCGGGTCAGCGACTTTCTTTAATTCCCTGATTCTGATCAAACTTCTGCTCCAATGATTTATGAAGTTTCCTCTCCAGGTCGCTCAGACAAGAACAAACCGAAGCAACACAACAGACAGACAGACAGACGGACAGACAGACAGACAGACAGACAGACGGACAGACAGAAGGACAGACGGCGGCGGTCAAACATTAACATACAAGTTCATAAAACTAAATCTTCTGTCATGAGGATCTGATGATCGTTGGACTGAGAGTCATCCAGAAAACACACAGAGAAGAAACCTTGGTTCAGACCGGACTAACAGACTTAATGAAGTCTGGATGAGTCTGCAGGGACCCGATCAAACGAGTTCAGGTTGAATCTTAATGATCCCAGCGGGGAAAATAAAGTCTGTTTACAGCAGAGAGAGGAGGAACGACACCGACAAACAAACAAAGACCCGACGAGTGACGCTAAATAAGGATTCAGGACATAAAGACAAACGGACACAAACGGGTTCAGGACTTTCCCCCGGTTCCCTCCCACGCTTTACCTCGATGATGTCGGCGTTGGTCCGGCTCTCGTGCGGCTCGTTGTACTCGGTGTACTTGAGCAGGACCTTGTCCATGTCGGTGCTGGCGTACTGGAACAGCTTGTTGGAGTGGTTGAAGATGATGAGGGCGATCTCGCAGTCGCACAGGACGCTCAGCTCGTACGCCTTCTTCATCAGGCCGAACTTCCGCTTGGTGAAGGTCACCTGGAGGAGAAAATCACCGTTCAGAAACCTGTTCTCCGGTCATGACAAACAGAATCAAATATCTTTATTGTCGTCGCAGAGATAGAAGGTGAAAAAGTCCAAAAAAAAAGGACAGACTGTTTCTTCTAACTCGGGGACCGATCAACGATCGACCGATCAACGATCGACCGATCAACGGTCTTTAAAAAGTCTGACCTGCTGATACCCTTTTTTTTTATACCTGACAACATGAACCTTCGATGCTCCGATCTTATTTTAACGAAAAACATTAAATACAAACCTTTTTGTTTTAGCTGCACATGAGGTCGTTCGCTCAAATATAAATGAAAAGTTGAGAATCTGATTCTGAATATTTACTGTCCTGAAAATATTTAAAGTTCTCTACTTTAACAGTTTACTGTAGAGTTTATAAACCCAAGTTCACCTCTAGATGTTCATTTTAGAGACGCATAAAAACAAAAGGAAAGTTTGCTGCTCCATCTGACATGTTGTCATGATCTAATACTTTAAGAAGCTCATGAGTGGATAAGATGCTTTCTACTTCATAACACCGGTCTTCCTCTAACCAGCCAGAGTCAGAAAAGTGAAACTATAAATGACTTCTGTCCTCTTCTAACTTTGAAGCGGTAAACAAATTATACTGAGTACGGAGGGTCAACTTAAATATCCAACTAACGTTAGCCCTCGGACTTTTTCACAGACAACAAAAACTGAGATTTATAAACTTATATATTTATAAACTGGTTGAAAATGTGAGAAATTCAGAGTAAAGTTCTTAAAAAGTGAATATAATAAAAAAATTCATGGAGAAGTTCAGAAATTTCAGCTAAAAAGAAGAACTCTGGTTAACACCCTCATTTAAAACATGATTATTTTTTATATCCTGCCTTTTAAAAGAGTCGGAATAGAGAATCGATACGAATCAGAATCAAAACCAGAATCCTTCAAATCAAACGATATCCAACCCTATTAATCGGTGCATGTTTAGTTCTAACTGCTGGTCGATGATCATCCTCTGAAGGTCGTCCAGATCGAAGGAGGAGCAGAAACCTTCAAACCGTCGTTTTTCTGATTCAGACCGACGACAGTTTGCAGATATTAGAGACTCCAACACGACTAAAGCATGAAGGTACTGCGTGTGTGTTTGAGGAGACAGTCTTCCAGACAGAGCGTCTGAACATGCTCTCTTTCAAGTGCACACACACACACACACACACACACACACTCGCCTGCTTGTCGTTTTCACACTCTGTTATGCTCTTTTCCATGCTCTCTTCTATGTTGCACACTCTCTTCTCCACACTCTCCTTCTGTCACACATTATTTTACTCTTTCCACATTCACACACACACACACACACATACACACACACACACACACTCTTGTGCGAGCCCCCTCAGTCGTGAACAAGCAGAACAGAGCTGAGAGTGTTGCTGAAGCACAGGGTCCCTTGTTGTCTGTTGGTTGGCTTCAGAAGCGCTTCCCCGCTATAACCAACTGGCATTTACAATCCGCCGAGATTTGGCTTTGTTTGGATTAAACACACGGGCCTGCACAAACACAAACACACACACACAGTCACACACACACACATCCAGATAAGATTAGGACAAAAGACAGAGAGGGAGAGAGAGAGGGAGAGAGGAGCTGCAGGTAGTGTGGAAAAATCTGCTGTTTGACATGGAGGAGAAGGAGTCAATAATGAGCTCGAGCACAGATGGTTCGCTGGAGTTAATTGAAGGTGTAAAAAAAAAAGGTGGAAAGGTTTTCAAGCATCTCTTCAAGCACACCCACGGCCGACATCCACACATTTTCCATCCGTCATTAACGGCTACAACATCCACAGTGACATGACTGAGGAGTGACCCCGAGTTCAGCACGCTCCACAGATTCATTATGACGCTGACATGTGATCCAGTTTACTGCTTCAGTCCAAACACTCGATTATCAAAAACAGGTCTGCTGTTCGGATCATTTTCACTGATTCAATTTCCTCCAGCCGACCGTTTCTGCCTCGACAGACGGGAGCTGTGACGGTCATTTTAGGAACAAAAGAACAATTTTAAGTATTTAAAATAAAAGTTATTTTTGTTCTAACGGCCTCAAATTATGACCCGAATGACCTACATTTAAGATATAACCAAAGACTAGTTATGGATTTGATTAGAAACACTAATTTAGGGCCTGTGTCCACTGACAGCCTTAGTTAAAGGGCCTGTTTCCATCACAGTTCGGTGTGATCAGCCCTCAGCCTCTAAAACCAAAAACAGCCCCTAACTTCAGCTGTTTTTGTTTCTGTTCTCACAGATGAACACACAGATGAACACCGCCATCGCTCCTTAATGTCAATTCTCTGTCACCGACCAATCAAACTCGAAAAGGGGCGGGACTTCTGGTTAGAAACAGCGGCAAACTTTCATCTTTTCTCTATAAGTTCTTGGTCATACACTGCTGCTTATGTTACCACGTGTTTATTTTTAGTTATTTTTACTTTTTTAAAGTCATCCTATTTAACCGAATATTTAATAGCGTGTCAGAACTCTGCTAACCACTTTGACGACAGTTACCTGGAGACTCTGTGATCATGTGACCAGCCAGTAAACAGTTTTCAATGTTATTATTTCCTTTCCAAAAGTCGGTTAGTCAAATTTTAATTTCTTTTTGCCGAAAACAACTTTCATGAGCTGGAAACACTTCGTATTTAGGAAGAAGCACAAAGAAATTCAGGATGTGGTTGCATAAAAACGCTGTTAGTGGAAACAGGCCCTTAAACCTTTAAACTGTGGGAGTCTGCTTTAATTATGATGTTTTTTCTAAATCAAGAATGTTTTTTTCTGTTGTTATATCCTTTAATATTCAAATGTTTAATCTGAACAGTGGTTTCAAGAAATAAAACTTCTTAATTCTTTTGAATTAAAGCTCCTGTGAGAATTTTTTTACACTCATGAAATACACAAAATTATGATATTGAGACCATTAGCGACATGACAGAAAATTCCTGTATCATTATTTTTTAACACTTTAAACCGGTGTGAGGGGGTAGGTGTCAGAATCAACTGAAGAAATTTGAATTTTTTAACAATTTGGGTGTGAAATATTCCGAGTAAGTGAAACATTCGTTTGTCAACAGTCAGCAAGATGAGAGAGCTTTTGGTAAAAGATGCAACTTAAGCGTTAAAAAGGATGATTTGACCACAGGGGGCGCCAAAGTGGACACAAACAGAAAGTCACTTACAGGTGCTTTAAAGTCGAGGTAGACCGGTAACTTTTAAAGGAGAAAATAAAGTTTCTGCAACTTTTACTTTCGTTGATTTCTTAATCTAAACGTCAGAGGCTCAAAAGAGGGTGTGATGTTATCGGTTACGGTAACAAGACTTTAACAGAGCAGGTTTAATCTTTTGTATATTTTAGTCCGAACCTCCAACACCGGGAGAAAAACAGTTCAGAGGATTTCAGAGCAAATACGACGGTCTGGAAGTTAAATCGAGTTCAGAGATCGGCGTTTCTTTAATGTTTTACAGCTCATGGTCATTATTCTAATCGGCTGATCCCGCTCACAAATCACTGCCTTATAAACTATGAAATGATGAGTGCATTTGCTCTCGTGGTTAACCTGCTCTGACACCGACTGTGAATCTCGGGCTGCAGGCAGCTTTCGCCGGCGGCGCAGGTTTAGACGGAGTGTAATTGAAAAGAATCGAATAAGGGAAGAGAAAAGAGAGGAAAAGATAGAGAGGCGGAGATAAGATAGAGACATCGAGGATGAAAGCTGGAGGAGCAGCCGTGTGAGACCTCCAATCTCTCCATCTTCCTCCATCCATCCATCACCTCTCCTATCTTTTTAAGCCTCTCACTCACATCCTCCCTTTTTCCTCTCTCACTCCTTCATTTCAGATTTTCTCGCCCTCATTTTCTCTTCCTCTCTTCTCTATCGCTTTTTTCACATCCCCCCCCCCTCCTGCTTTCGCGCTCGCTCACTCATTGCTTCCTGCTGCCACAAATCAAATTATATCGGGGTCGTATCCATGGGCAACCGGCTCCCCTCCTGCCTCCCCTCCGCCCCCCATTTCCCACCTCATCACACACTGCTGCCATCATCTTACCCCCCCACCTCCTGTCTTTATCTCACTGCCTATCTACATACACCCCCCCCCCTTGCTTTTCTCACACACACACACACACACACACACACACACACACACACACACACACACACACACACGAGCAGATGAATGATGTTGTGATGCTGGGAAGGGAGGAAATTAGGGCCGAGCAGGATGACGAGCGGTTGGTGATGAAGAGACGAGCCTCTGCAAACAACAACAACCGCTCTGCTAACGAATTATAAGGTCATCCCGCTCCGGCGCCGAAAACAAACAGAACCACTCCAAACATCCAAAAAGAAAAATCCTTTTACTTCTGCTGCTTCTCTTGGAAAAAGTGGGCGGCGGGTAAGTGACTCCAGGTCCCGCTGTTCGCCACAAAGGATAAACAAGCTGGAGGTAATTGACATTAAGAGCAGAACTGCCAGGTAACCAATGGCAACTGACGACTAAGACATCCTTAGTGAGGCGAGAAAGAAGGACGAGAAAGAGGGGAAGAAAGGGGGCGAGCGCTTTGATTTGTTCATGTGTGTGTGACTGCGTGTGTCTTGGCGAGGTTGCGGCGGCGTGGCAGATGGATGAGGAAACCACCACTGACAGCCGCGACCTCCTCACGCTGTTTCCTGTAGCTTAAATCACTCTCTCTTTCGTTTGCGAGCTCACGGTCTCGCCCCACACCGTCAGGTCTGAGCAGTTCTGACTAAAGACTTCACAACGCCGCCGCGCTTTCCGATGATTTTAGAGATTTTATGGTGGAAAAAAGGAAAAACACACCTCGCCAATAAACGTACTTCCCCTTTAAAAACGACACGAGCAGAAAAACCTGTTTATGAAGAGTCAGAGTGAGTGTTGAGTTGAATCATCTTCCCTGATTAACAGTTAAAGACATATTTTACAGTTTATCATGAGAGCTTATTTCCTAACTCCTTAAATTACACAAAAATAAACAGATTAATAATTTACACTTAAGGTTAAAATTCAAAAAAGTTTCCTTTAGCTGCTGTTTCCTGTCTTTAGGTCAAATTCATGCTTAATTCTTAAGAAAAAAACTACAAATTTACCAAAATGTCCAGAAATGACTGAAACAATAAACACAAAAATCTAAAGGTCCAAATATACGTTGTTTTTGTGAAAATCTGAGGTTGTCTCATTTTTCATAAAACAGATTTGAACGTTTTCAGGTCAGTTTATCTGAGCGGGTGAAATAAAGTCAGAAATCTGATTTTTGGTTTTCACTTAAACGCCACACGTCACATTTCAAGATCAGTGGTGGTAAAGAGAGGACATCAGAACCTGAATATTAAAGTTTAGAGAAACCACATCACTGTCGACAGAGAGAAACTTTAACTTCTGTGCAGGAAAGACTGTGAAGAGGCGACTCTACTGCTGCTGAAATGAGGGTTTCTCAGCTCTGTCTCACAGAGAATAATCAGATTAATAATTAAATTAGTTTATCTTTTATTTACTGTAAATGTCGTGTGCTAAATCAGAGCATCAGTGTGTTTTTGTGTTAACAAAAGTAATAATAAATCGAGAATTTGGTTCTACTTTTCCACTTTCAGAGACGATTCAAGAAGCAAAATATTTTTTAAAAAACAGAAAATAAATATTTTTATTTTCTAATTTTCTGATAAATGTTGTTTTGTTTTCTGTGCATTTCCAAAACATTCAGAGTTTTCCAAAAACAAAATATCTGTTTTTTTATGTTAATGTTATATTTGGATTATTCCAAATTTTATCTATAATTTATATATATAAATATATATTAAAAAATAAACAACAAAATTCGACCTTTAATTCTTCTTTCTGAAGAAGAAGTAAAACAGAACCGTTCCTCCAGAAAACAGCATGTTGACATGTTTAAATCGATAAACGCCGTTTTCTGACATATCTCGATGACACTGTTGTTAATAGAACCAGAGAACCTCCTTAATGTGTTTGTCGACTGTTTTGGTATGTAACGGAAAAGGCTAACCAAACTTTTTCATGATCAGGACCTCGATAGGACTTTAAACGGCACCAGAATAAAAGGTTAAAGGCTCAGTGAACCTTGTCCGACCGAACACGTGAAAACTTTCTCAGAGGTCAGCAATGTGCAGTTTTTGTGACTCAGACTTAAACTTTGGCGACACGACCGACCTCATCCCCCGTGTTTCTCATTTAGACGCCGCGGTGTGAAACAGCGGGGCTCCGGTTTAGTCATAGCCGTTTGAATCCTGAATGCTGAAACCCTCGGATCCTGATATGACCTTAAAAACCGTGTTCAACACACTGCCGTCTTGTACTCGATGTTGCACAGCTTTTACTTAATGGCGTTTCACCCTTTCCCGCCTGAGGGGTCACAGCGTCTAAGAAATGTCATCCCTTTTTTCTCCGGTTTGAATAACGCTCTCCAGAAATATAAAACCCGTCCGATCGATCCAACACTCGCAGTCATGTTCGCTGCTCTTTCCGCGGCGTCTTTTGTCTCGGTGAAGAAACATGGTATTTGAGATGCTGTCATGTTTCCAGCCGGGGCCCACACTCTGAACGCTGTTTATTTTACTGAGCTTATGGCAGCAGCTCTGAATCAACACGTAGGAGGGTGACGGGCTGCATGTACTCCAAAAAATTCATTTGATTTCCTTTCAGGAGCCGCACTGTTCATTAGCTGAAGCAACGCCGAGCAAGCGTGTAAAAAGCACTTATTTCTCGGGCGGCTTAATACTCTGTTCCACTTCAAAGACGGCAGACTTGCTCTGACTGAAGAACTGAATCCTATTTCAGTGTGTAAATTGCTCCGGATTAGACGATCAGATAAACAGAGGAGTAAATGTAAATGCTGAGAGCAGCTCAGGGAGTCCAAATGTCTCCTCCTGCTGCAGTGATTAAGAAACAATCGGCCGCGTGTTAATCAGCAGATCAGGGTCAATAAGCGATCTTTAATGTCGGTGCGATGACCGTGTATCACCGCCGAGTGCATCACCTTATTGACAAAGTGTTCGACACCTGATACAAACGCCAGCTCCATTAAGCCGAGCCTGCTGGACCTGAAAGCGCTCACCCCTCCTCCTTTATGTCTTCTCTGATGAATAACACGCCATCATACTCTGGACCTGACCCCCTTCAGGCGCCATTTGTTCTCTTTTATGGAAATGCGACCTGCTCAGATTGATGAGGAGAAAACTGAGGATGATTTTCCAAAGCCTGCGGCCGGCTCGCTCTCACAGCGCTCAGGTTGTCGTGGTGGTTGTTGTTGTTGCTCTCTCTCCCTCTCTCTCTCTCTCTGCAGCGCTCTCGTCTTGTTTTTCTCCTCGCTCTTCTGCTTCTGAAGGTGGGCACGTCAAATCCATTACTCAATCTGCTCAATGGAGCAAAGCCCATTTACCAGTTGACTCATTTTAGATGGATCATTTACCCTTTCATCCTCTCTGACAATGCAGCTGATGTAACCGGAGGGGAAGGGGCCGTGGTGGGTTTTTTTTGACGGGGAGGATCAGACTTTCTGCTCTTTTTCTCTCCGTGATTACTCTGCAGAGTCATGTGACCTAAAACATGATGCCGATATATTGTTCTGTAGGAGAACAGCTGAAAGAACAGTCAGCACGCCGTTTCAAGGTACATGGGACGAATAAAAGAGCGATGATCCCTGTGAGAACTTCGAATCCCTGGAGTTAAAGATCACCGGGACAAAAACGACACGGTGAACCTTTAACAGCAGGGCTGTCCCGATACGATACTGATATCAGATATCAGTCTGATATCGGCCTGCATGTAGAATCTCCGATATCAGCACTCCGATAGAAGCAGTCCATCCCAGATTCCACTCCAGCACCTCTAGCAGAAAAAGACGTTGCAGCTGAGCGGAAAACTTGTCATGCACAAGTTTGTACCAATATCGGATTAATATCGATATCGGCTGATAACGAAGGCTACAATGTTGGTATCAGATCGGAAGTGAAGAAGTTGTATCAGGACACTCCGATTTAACAGGATTTCGGCTGACTTTATCGTCAGCTTATGGAAACAGTAAATTACTGTAAAGTCATTAAACCTCGTGGAGCGTTTTTACCAGCATGAGCAGGACGGTGAAAACAGACGGTACTCAGAAGAGCTGCACAGTCGCACAAAAACTGCACATTGCTGACCTCTGAGAAAGTTTTCACACACACAGTTAGACAAGTTTCACTGAAGTGCTGGGTGATACCGAACTTTACAACAATATCCGACGTCATCTTGCCCATATCGGAATATTCAGTGTCAAAAACTAAATAAATCAAAGTTGTTTTTGGATGTGTGTAGGTAGGCTATGGTCTCATGTCCCTTTAAGACGCTGTCCTACGTCAGAGACGTGACTCCGCCCCATCCAGTCAGTAACAAAGAGGGAAAGACAGAAGTGTGCGACAGTGGTAAATGTTATATAACCGAGGATAGATCATGAGTGAGCTCTTCATAGGTAAGGATGTTCAGAAGTGACTAATTTTGAAGTAGTTTGAAACAAAAACTTGAATTTCAACTCGCCTCGTTGAGCTCAAACTAGTCTAAAAAAATTAAGAAAACTTGACACTGAACATGATGCACCACCTGTAGGATTTTAGTGTTACTGCAATCAGACCTACAGCCTCAGACAGTGAAAGTTGGGCACGACAAATAACCTCCACTTTTCTTCTACAGTGTGTACGAAGAAAAAAAAAGGCCATTAAATGAAACCCGTTTTTGAACCTGACTGTAAACATGTTTCCTTTTGCTCTAAAAGGGATTTTTTAAATATGGGTCTGAATGGCCATTAGTTGGCCTCAAGTGGACACTGGAGGAACTGCAGTTTCCTACACTACCACACTGTCTTCATATCTGAACACCAGAGGTCGACACTGTTTACCAACAGAATGACTCAGTTTTTTAAAAGATTAGCAGTAGTTTAAAATCAAAAGTTTATGAAGTATCGCCGGTTCACCTCAGAACGGAGAAAACAGCTGATGAGGTTTTTACTCTTAGCAAAGTTCTACGCCTGCAGACACTAATAAGCGCTGATATGCAAATACGAATGGAAAAACATGAGAATAACCATTTTTAAAAGTTAGATGATGACTTTAAATTTGCACAAAAGTATCTCCCAAAAGTTTCAGCTGAGGCAGAATTGACCATAAATATTCTGCTCAACTTTCAGCCTTTAAATTATTTAAATATAAGTAATAAAAACACTTAACCTCTTATAGAGTTAAAGAGTAAGATTCAGAGACCAAAACTGTTCCTGTTCCCGGCTGTAAACAGGCTGAATTCTGCTGTGAAACACTAAATCACTGGACTCTATGGAGGCTGACTCGTTTTGGGGCCGGCCTCCAGTGGTCATGTGAGGAACTGCAGTTTTTGGGACTTCCTGTGGTTCATTCCTCAGCCTGTTCTGGATGTTGCTGACATTATTCAGTAGTTAAACTCAGCTGTAATGACCCTGTCGTCTGTTTTCATTATTCTTGTATTTTCACTTTCGTTCGTCGCCCGTCTACGCTCTTTGGCGTTCAGGTTTCCTCGGCTCACCTGTCTGTTGCGTTCGTCAGTGATCCGCTGAATCTGAATCTTTTTCCTCCCCATGTTTCCGGTGTGGCGGTGGGAGGGTCCTGGGGGAGTGTAGAGGTCAGAGGTCACGGATGGCGGTGGCGTTGTGTTTTCTCCTCCTTAAGAAGTCTGTCGTCCTTCCGTCTGTCCTCTCGGCTCACCCGGGTGGACGGCGGTCACCAGGTTTGTCCAAAAAAAGGAAAAAAAGAAAAAGAGAAGGAGAAAAAGGAGGAGGAGGAAGAGCAGGGTTTGGCGAGCGGCGCCGTCTTCAGATCATGGTCCTGTTTCCGGGGCGAAGGTCATCCACACACAGGCTGACGCGGGGTCCTCTGCCCTCCCCTTCACCTCAGCTGGCCGGCTCCTGAAAGACAACACAGAGGCATTCATGAGTCTGAGAGCGCCGCTGAAAAGCAGCGAGCGGCTTTGTTTGTATACGCTGACCCACTTTAGCTACTACAAACACAGGATTCGCCTCGACCCGCGCACACAACCCGAGAATAAATGATGCAGCGATGCATTATCGGCGCCGTCAAATCAGAAGCACGTTGGGCTGAAACATGAAGGGGTGGGTGGGTGGGAGTGTTTGTGAAGCTACACGCGGAGCAGGAGGCCCTCAGGGGCCCGCGAGGAGGGAGGCTGTGCTGTGTCAGCTTCATTAGAGGCATCACCGCCACATCACTGATCTGCCCATCGCCCGCGGCAACCGGCTGCCCGAGCCAGGGACCGCCTGACACGCCGAATGTGGTTCCCCAATCGAAGCAGAGAGAGAGAGGAGCAGAGGAGGACGGGGGTCTACGTGTTCTCCATTCGACATGACCTCCATCCAGGCGGGCGGCGCGGTATGACGGCTAACGACCCGCTACATGGATGGAGACGTTCAACAGTCAACGAGGACCGAGAGAAAGGAAACAGTCGACTCACAAACCTGCAAAATCTTAAATCGACTTAAAATCCAATCAAAACCCTTTTCTCCCGACCAGGTGACGACCAATCACAGATTAATAAATCTGTTTGATCAGCGCCGACGAGAACAAACCTGCTTCTTTCAGGCTCCGACCGTCTAAAAATAAACTCTCAACACAACAGAGCGACACTCGTGTTCCTGCAGACAAACAGAAAAACTCCAGACACTCTTTACTGAAGAGGAACAGACAGAGAGACTTTGAACTGTTCAACAAATCTGAAAAAATCAGTTTTCAGGTTTCTGCAGAGGAGCACAGAATCATGTCAGGAGAGTTTCACAGACATGATAACAGACTAAAGCACAGACATGATACCTGTCTATAAAAAATAAAAGTTTAAAGTCGAAGGAGAGGTGAAGAAGACGCAGCAGCTGAAGGAGAGCTAGCTTTAACAAACCCTCTGAGAGATAATACGACACTTTAAAAACGTTTAAGTTTTATATGAAATAAGAAAAGTTTGGGCCTCCTCGGGTTTCTAATCAATCGAACTCTCGTCTTCCTGGGGTCCAAAAACTTAAAATCTCAATACAATTACATTTTAACAAATAAATTAACAATAAATATAATTACAGATTCAATCCATGATTCTTCACAACATTAAAAACGCCCTAATATCTGCTTTTTTAAAATTCATTCATACAAACAGTTTTGCTTTAAAGTCCTTTTTAAAATAAAATCTACTGCTTATTTGCCGAACATTTAAACTTCCTGACTGAACTTTTAACTGTTTTCATTTAGTTCTGGAGTTTATGATCTAACAGAGGGAGTGCTCTTCAGAATAAAAGCAGAAGCCATGTCAAAATAAAAGCATCAATGTCCACTCTGTATAAGTTTCAATCACCCCGCATATAACCTTTAAATTTACTGTGTTTGTTAAAGTTTATGAAGTCTCATCATACAGCTGTGGTTTAACTTTAATATTCTTATTTTTATATAGACTTTATTATTTATGCAGATTTGTTTTTTTAAAAGGTCGTTTTCATCTAAATATGGACTAAGAGGCTGATTCTACAAAAACACTGCAGCTGAATACGGCGAATCAGAGCTCTTCTTTTACACACGATGACGCAGTAGTTTCCATAACGCTGTTTTAGTGATGTTCAGTTTCTAGATTCATTTGTATTATTCTGCATGTTTTTCATCAAATGCACCAAAAACTAGCGAATAAAGAGACGATTTTCTGATCATTTCTTCTGATTTAAAATCAAATGTTGGATATTTAGAAGCTGAAAGAAGCGTGATGATCGTCTCTCAGGAGAGACGTCAGGTATGAGAGGTCAGACTCCTGCTGACCAGCTCAGTAACCACATCAGGCCTTATTACCTCTGCTGACCTTATTTCATCTTCTCATGCAAAGAAAAGGTGAAGGGTGTAAAAATGTGAGTCTAATTCATCTCTGCTAACCAACCATGAAACGAGGGGAGGTCTCAGACACGCTTGGACCCCGATCTAAAACACAGAAAGGGTTAATTATAATGTTCAGATCTCAGAGAGCTGCAGCAGAGAGAGGAGGCCCTGAGTGATTCTGCATATTCATGCAAACTCATGAATGAATGAGAAGGCGGCGGCGGTGGCGGCGGCGGTGGAGCAGGAATGGCAACAGAGGCGAGGACTGTTTTAGGCCCCGATTCTACTATTTGTGGTCGGGCTTTAAAAATAGCGCTCTATATATACATACAGACTGTGAGTACACACGGCGGCGCAGCGTGCTCTCTCTCACACACACACACACACACACACACACACACACACACTCAGGGCGGTGGGAGCCAAGTGGCAGCATTACAGAGCTGAAGCATCTGGAAAGGCGCGAGTTACAGACGCCACACCAGCTCTCCAGCATTGTTCGCATTTCTCTCTACCTGGGAGAGCCGCCGCCGCCGCAGAAAATGAAGAAGAAGAAGAAGAAGAACGCCCTCCTTTAACATCCATTCTTAGGAAACAAAGAGCGTGAAAGAGTCCGTCATGGGACTGACATTCCTTTTGTGCTGCTGTGGGCGCTGCTCTGCACGCTCGTTTGGAGAGGATGCAATTGGCTCAGCTTTGGCGATGACTTGCTTATGAATTATGCACTGAAGGAAAAGAGAGGAGGATGTGGGGGGGGGGGCGAGTGAACGAGGGTGTTAGGAGTGTCATAATTGTTTTGTAAAAGAGGCTTGATGAAGAAGAAGAAGAAGAAGAACTGGAGGCCTGCGTTCTACATGGAAAACCGACAATAAGCCGCAGGAACTGAATGTACAAACTATTGGCAGCCTCTTCCTGATCCTCGGCGGCGCCAGCTTCTTCATCTTCTTCTTCTTCTTCTTCTTCTGCACAATCGTTTTTTTTTTTCTTCTCTCAAACCCACTCACCATCTTCATCTTCATCTCGTCCCATTTGACTGGCACAGACTGAACAAGAGAGCGGCGAGTAATGAATTCTACCTGGATCGGCTCATTAGAGCGCTCCTTAAAGAGGAGTAGGTGTTCCTAATATGTCGTACATTCGTTCTTTTCATTCAGCTCCAAATTACACCGATAAAAGGTGTCGGTAACATCGTTTAGCGGCGTAATAAAAAGGCGTGCGAGCTGACGGGGACTCGCTGCGGCTGCGGTGGAGTTCAAAGGCAGAGCGCTGAGGGATTTGTCTTCAGGCGGCGGGCTGATCACACATGAAGAGGCTGCTTTATCTGCCCGGGGGTGGTCGAGTCTCGACCTTTTTACCCTTCATGATGCGGGAGCTCGCTTCCCATGTCTGATGTCAGACAGAATCTGTGCGCTCACATGGGAGCAGGAGGGCCTGGAGTGTGTCTGCTGCCTCGCTGGATAGGAGAGAGCGACAGACAGAGTGAGCGAGCGAGCGAGCGAGCGGCCCTGGACAATGAAAAGATTAAAGCTGATAATTAGGAATCTGCAGAGGACCCAGATAAGAGCCCTGGGGAACGCCCAGAAAACGTTTAGATGTTTTATTTCACAAGGGGGCCTCTGACAGGCGCCTTCTTCTTCTTCTTCTTCTGCAATCTGTGAGAGCTGGACTCTGGGAATAAAGACGCTCGAGTGAAGGAGGGGAGCTTTATTTTGAAAGAGCAGCAGCAGCTACATTCAGAGTCTGAGGACGGATTATAGCCGTCAAAACAGAATCAAAACCTCATCACCCCTGAAGAAAAAAATGATAAATACTCCGACTTCATTTTCATACATTATAATTAAGATGACTGAATCTGCTGCTGGAGAAACAAACTCGCAGAAATAGTCCACACACAAAAACGGTTTGATGCTCCGAGACTAAAGAAGGACACCCTCATGTTTAAAGTTATTAAGACAAACGAACACAAAATATTTAGCTGTTTAAACGAGCACCAATTAGTAAGAAAACGTAAATTTAGTCTCTAATTAGGTCTTGGTTCTCACTTTAGGGCTGTGCGATATGGCCTCAAATCAATATCATGATATATTGACGCCTACAGTAACCCTCGTAGAAACAGCCTCTCTTCTTCTTCTTCTTGATAGTCTTGTTTGCTTCTCTACACCATAAAAACACATCGTTGTTAATTTCAGTCTGTTTCATAACTGACTAAAAACCCCTTATAGGAGCTTTAAACCTTTTTTTAATAGATTCTTTAAAAGACGATCTCTGAACATGACGACCGATCACCTGTTCACTCTGAACAGAGATGATCAGTCTTATATCTGATCATACTGAGGAACCAGAGTCGGAGCTCTGAGGGCGTCAGACGAGCGAAAACAAAAACATGTATAAATGGTCGTTCTGCGGACTGTAAGGTTGTTGGACAAACAAAGAGGAGGAAGCGTGTTACTGTACACATGTGTCCGCTAAGCTTTAGAAAGGGTGAATCAGGTCACAGCCTCCACAAAGATTAGTCCATAAAAGAACAGTTAGAAAATGTCGCAGCGCATCATTATCCCTGACATCTGTTGCTACGGCTGTTAAGCATTTCAAAGCTCCAGTCTCCTCTTCCAGCGATGTGGGTGGAAAGCCACAAGCTGCGAGGGGCAATATTTTGATTTTAACATTTATTCCTGGAGAGACTGTCGTCAGAGGGATTTTTTCTTCTTCTTCTTCTTCTGCTGCCTGTTTCGCCGTCGTGCAGCTGGAAGCTCCTCGGTACGACCACAGTCCCTCCACAAGACGCCCCCCTTGGGCGAGCAGGGGTTAAGTGACTTGCTAAAGGGCACGTCACCCAGATTTTCCCAGCCGGTCGAACCGTGAACTGGTGACCTTCCTACTGACAACCTGCCCCGCAGCCCTCCAGGCTACCGCTGCCCTCCATACACTGAAACATCGCCACCGACGTCCCCGCCACGGGCTGCGTGTGTCAGAACCTGCAGGGAGGGAGCGCCGAGCCCGGACTGAGTCATGATGACACACGGAAGAAAACACGACCGTGTCAGAGAGTGCAGCAGGAGGCCGGCGTGTTTGGGTTGGACTGGATCTGAGTCTGCTGAAGACGTGATGTAATGAAAAGATGATGACGATGCAGCACTCTCTGAGTGTGTGTGTGTGTGTGTGTGTGCACGCCACAGCCTGACTCATATATGGGTCAGACACAATTAGAGCAGAACTAAATCTGAAACAGACTAAATTTACTCCTTTAAAATCTGTTTGTTTCCTGAGAGGTTTTAAACATTTCATTTTGTCGGCGAATCGAGCAGGTAACAGACGAGGAAAGAGCGATAATGTAAAACACCGATTTACAGAAGGTCAATAAAACACGCCGCAGTAAAGGTTGTTGTACGGATAATGAACCTCACGTCTGTCTGAGGAGGTCTGGTTCTGCAGAGCGAAGATTATTCCACAGTTTTGGATCCGCCGCAGCGTGAACGGCTCTGTCACCACAGGGTGTTAAAGTGTGTGTGTGTGTGTGAGTGTGTGTGTTTTCTTCAGACCCGGTTAGCTGATGTGCTGAATCAGTTTGACTTCATAATCCAGGACCTGAACCTGAAGGGATCTGCAGGTGAAAGTAAGGATTTCTAAAATCATCGGGGAGCCGCTGAGAGATCTGAGAGTCTCTGAAAGTTTCTTAGATCAACGTGAGCTCAGAGGTTTTTTAATGAAGCAGATTTATCAAATCTATGGAGCCGCAGCTCTACGCTCTGAAATAACCTGATCCTGGACCAAAACCAAAGTCTCTGTTTTTTTATTGAGCCGTAATTGTTTGACTGAGTGAAAACAGTCTGAGAGGGTTTTAAGAAGTCTTTCTCTGAGGGCCCAGGACAGGTCCCTGTGGAACGCCACATGACAGAGAAGAGGCACCGACCCTGAATGAGTTTATCTTGGACAACAACCAAAACCTGTTTTATCATAATTGAGCTGCAACGTTTCACTTAGTCGACGTAGTCCAGACTAGCCTGGATGACGAACAGGTCTAAGAGGGTTTAAAGGAGATATGTGAGATAAGAAGAAGGGGCCCCAGGACAGATCCCTGTGGTACACCACGTGACACAGAGGAGGACGAACAGACACCGTCTCTGAATAACTTCATCATGGTCGACCACAGAGACGTCTGTTTTATCGTTCTGGAGCTTCAAATGAAATTATCATAAAACCAGGACTTTATATCCCCGAGTCTGGACGGCCCTCAGGTCTCAGTGAGTTTAAAAGAAAGTAATAAGTCATCTGCTAAGAGGTTATAAAATATGTTCAATATAATTATGAATAAGCAGCAAGTGAGGGGAGGGAAAAAAGGAGGGCCCAGCAGGACTCGACAGTGTGACCGTTTCACTCTCATTTACGATGAAATAGATGAGTGTGAGCTGTAAAATGTATTTATTTAAAAAATCAGCAGAGGCGACAAATGTTTTTTTACGGCGGTGAAGTTAGTTTCAGGTTGGATATATTTTCCTGTAAATACGGCGGTGAAGTTAGTTTTAGGTTGGATATATTTTCCTGTAAATACGGCGGTGAAGTTAGTTTCAGGTTGGATATATTTTCCTGTAAATACGGCGGTGAAGTTAGTTTCAGGTTGGATATATTTTCCTGTAAATAAGGCGGTGAAGTTAGTTTTAGGTTGGATATATTTTCCTGTAAATACGGCGGTGAAGTTAGTTTCAGGTTGGATATATTATTCCTGTAAATACGGCGGTGAAGTTAGTTTCAGGTTGGATATATTCTCCTGTAAATATGGCGGTGAAGTTAGTTTCAGGTTTGATATATTCTCCTGTAAATACGGCGGTGAAGTTAGTTTCAGGTTGGATATATTCTCCTGTAAATACGGCGGTGAAGTTAGTTTCAGGTTGGATATATTTTCCTGTAAATACGGCGGTGAAGTTAGTTTTAGGTTGGATATATTTTCCTGTAAATACGGCGGTGAAGTTAGTTTCATGTTGGATATATTTTCCTGTAAATACGGCGGTGAAGTTAGTTTCAGGTTGGATATATTTTCCTGTTAATACGGCGGTGAAGTTAGTTTTAGGTTGGATATAGTTTCCTGTAAATACGGCGGTGAAGTTAGTTTTAGGTTGGATATATTTTCCTGTAAATACGGCGGTGAAGTTAGTTTCAGGTTGGATATATTTTCCTGTAAATACGGCGGTGAAGTTAGTTTCAGGTTGGATATATTTTCCTGTAAACACGGCGGTGAAGTTAGTTTTAGGTTGGATATATTTTCCTGTAAATACAGCGGTGAAGTTAGTTTCAGGTTGGATATATTTTCCTGTAAATACGGCGGTGAAGTTAGTTTTAGGTTGGATATATTTTCCTGTAAATACGGCGGTGAAGTTAGTTTCAGGTTGGATATCTGACGGACATTCTCTGAGGATCTACCGGTGTCTTCTCACTCTCCATAACCGGGAATAACAACAGCAGCGCGGTTAAATCTACTCGACACCCTCACTGTCAACGTCGGTGTTGAATAAGGGACCGTCAATAAATTACCGGTTGATGTTCTCAGAAAACTCTGAGGTTTTCAGGCGGACTCTGAACTCTGCGTCTGTCTCTGTGTTCTTCGCCTTTTTTTGACTCAGTTCTAATTTCACGAGAGTTCAAGTTCGGACGCTGTGAGAACGTCAGAGTCGGAGCTGAACTGACAGAAGCTAAATTCAATTTCAGATATTATAAATATATAAAAACACATTAATGCATCTGTACACTGGTCAGGACTGTGTGTGTGTGTGTGTGATTGCATGTCCATCCTTTACTGGCCTGGTGTGTTAAGTGTCAGCAGAGCCGCCTGGAGCAGAGAGATAACAGTCAGTGGTGGGGGGGTGTAAGTTGTACTGGGGGGAGTGGAAATAGGTCTCTGCTGCTGGAGACGAGCCCCGCTGAGAAATCCATCACTTTTCCCGCTAAGAAGCAACATCTGCTGAGACGAGACCTGACCGCCCCCCCAACCCAGAGCACCCTCCAGAACATAGATAACTACAACCTAGACTCAAGTGAGTGTGTGGAATTAAATGACCTTGTGCGTGTGGAGCTGATGATGATGATGATGATGATTGGACGATTCGTCTCAGAAACAGCTGAAGTGTCAGATCATGTATGACGACGAGATCATACTCCCAGAAAATCAATTAGTTATTGCAGAAGTGACGCATCAGCAGAATTGATACTCTACGTATCACATGATTCGATTACACTCATGACCTGGAGAGTCTGCATAGATGCTGCCGCTGCATGCAGCATCTATCTTAACGAAACTACAAGTCAAGATTCTGCAATTTTAGCTCAATGTGCAAAAACCCAGTCCTGATCGAGTTTGATGAAATTAAACAGACGAGATAAATAAAAAGCTCGACTTGGATGAACGAGTGTCTGTTTCCTGTTATTGGACGTTACTGCAGGGCTTCTCCTAAACATCCCCAGATTTGAGAAGATGGATCCTCTCAGAGTTTCCATCCACACGCCGTCATGAAGCGGCGACACTCTCAAAAACTCAAAAATTAAAGTATAAACATCTCTTATACTGCAGAAGGAGAGTCAAGTTTGGTGTTAATCTTCACAAAGTGGGTTGGATCGTATGTTGTGATGTTAAAAAAGAGGAGAGGAACATGTGCAGCGAGTTATTTTTGTAAATTATTGCTCAAACTAAAATGAAAACGTAGCTTCATGTGCTGAAAATTGGAGAAAAGCGTTAAAACTGTCGGACTGTCGAAGCTCAAACAAAAAGAAAATCATTTTATCACTTCCTGCGTCGCTCCCTAAAACCCTATAAATCAGATTTCAGCATCTGTGGCTGCAGACGGATGTTAGCGATCGATCTGATCAGAAAATAAGACCCAAGAATCCTGCTGCTGTCTGCAGCCGCTCATGTCAGAGACATGTGTTTCTGTCTGAGCTCTGACCTCTGGCAAATTTCTGACATTTTCTGAAACAAAAGCCTGAAACACGTGCGCTGCATTCTCGAAACTTTCTCAGTGTTGTTCAGAGACAGGAGGAGCACATGTGACCGTGAGCGTCTGAATCTGAGCGTAGACGTTTCTCCTGATAGACGTCTCTCTCACCCTGAAGTGCGTCTACAGTCGGGACAGATCGACTCTTTAGAGCTCCCCTCAGTTCATCATGTTTTCACTCTCACCCTCCTTCCTCTCCTGCAGCAGCACTGAAACTGTCAGGACTTCATGTGAGGAGGATGTAAATGTAATCCACAGAAATGACGGCGTTCACTCCCTCGCTCGCTCGCTCGCTCGCTCTCGCTGTCGTCATGAGGCTCAAACTGGAGCAGAAGTCGCTCCTGAACTTTTGACAGGTGACAGCAGCAGCGGCGAGGAGCGAGGAGTAGTAAACAGACCTCACCTCCTCCAACTGTGAGATCTCTCCCTCCTTTTGTCCCTCTGGATCGACCAATCAGCTGTCAGCTCTCAGGGCTGGGTGTGCCTCTCTCTACAGTTTTGTTTGTTTACTCTCGGCGGTGATGTAACCTGACAGGTCAAACCGCATACAGACACGCAGTGACGGCGGCACGTCTGCGGATCGACGGCTCAAAACACCACGACCACAGCGGGCCGTGCTGACGAGTCCTCAGTCCACCACTAAAGACGCCTTTGTGCGCTCACAGGGGTGCATCATGGGTAATAACAGGATCTTTTTTTTGCTGTGTTCATGCCAGAGGCTGTGTGCAACAACATCAGATCAGTGACAGCCGGGGCGCCCTGTGTGAGAGGCGTGGGTGTGTGTTTTACTGCGTGTGTGTGTGTGTGTGTGTGTGTTTTACTGCGTGTGTGTGTGTGTGTTTGTTTTTGTGTGTACGTGCTCGGGGAGACAGCGGCCCGGCAGCGTGGGCGTGATTCACGAGCCGAGGAGAACAGATCCAATCGCAGCCCCTCCTGTCCTGTCCCACCCCCCCTCAGAAGTGCTGCCCTTGCACTGCTCAGCCCCCCCCCCCCCCATGATGGCGAGGAGCAGGAGGGGGGAGGAGGGGGATCGTGTTCCTGCGCCGAGGTTGGCAGCGTCGACACACCATCACAAACACAAACTGGGTTTCAGATTGACAGCTCGCAGCGCCATCTTTGACTCCACCTGCTGGTGCCCCCCCCCCCCTGCGTGCTGTGAGAGCGCGGCGGCCTGAGAGCGCCATGGTTGCTCAGGAACATGTCGCAACAATCTGTAAATACCCGACAGCTGGTGCTGGCAGAACACCCTCAAGGTTGGGCCGCAAACCGAGCCTCTCCGGGTCAGATGAGGAAATTCAGCGGACCAGTTAGGCGCCAAATCCCCCCGCCAACACTCCGACCTCCACCCTATTGGTGGTTCTGTTGCTGCTGGGATGAGGATCCTCCCTCTGGAGTCCCCCTCCTACAAACCGGATTCAGGCCTACAGTGGATCTGGCGGGCTGCACTGAACCCTGGCATTCATGCTTTCACGCTGACACTCGCTCCTAAAAAGGCGCTCCAGTTTTTTCAGAGGGTTTCAGGACCTCAGACTCAAATCTGCAGTTTGGATCCGGGTCTGAAAACGTAGACGATCCTCCAGCAGAGACGCAGAGACGCAGAGTAGATGCTCCAGGTTCAACTTCCTGTCCTGCTGCTTCAACATCTATGAACACTTTTCTATACCATGATCTTTAACGCCACACTAACCCTCTTATTTCTCAACTAAAGGTCCTTTCACACCGGGACCACCACAGTAAAATAAATCTCATAGTTTATGTTACGAAGCATAAATTAATCAGTGCAACAACGACGACACTGTTCAGGTGAAACAAAACTGGAAACACAATTTTTTTTTTTTGGCGTTGATAATCCATGTCTGTGTCAAATATCGTAATAAATCACCACATCGTCACAGTCCTCCTCTAAATCACATCGACAGCTTTAATTTACACCAGAAGCTGCCATGACATTAAAAACCTCCATATTTACACATGTATCAATAAATCTAACCTCTAATTCCTAAAATCTTTTTGTATCTGGTTGTTAAAGGTGGTGAGAGTGTCAGACAGCAGCTGTCGCACATCTGTCAGCTGTTAAACAACAAAAGAAAGAAAAAACACGAGTTCTAGTTTCTGAGAAGAAAACAGTCGTAGACACCTCGGCGGTCGTGTTTCACTTTCTCCCTGCAGGTGAAACTCGCACATCGGAGGAAATAACTCGGATATTACCGAGGAGTCTCCATTTAAAACGTCCGTCTGTTCTCCGCAGAGTTACAGACGAACCCTGAAGAAACTCGTTCTCATCAAACGGTCGAACTTCAGGTCCAGAGTGAGCAGAGACGCTCCGATGTTCTCCACAGGTCTCTGCACACGTATGAAGTTTAAAGTGTCCTAACTGATGGGGATGCTGACGCTGTATGTCGCTGCGTTCACTCGAAGTTACCATGGCAACCCACATAAATAGACCAACTGTCATTCTAACACGCGTGCACGTGTGCAGAGGTGACAGCGTGACAGCAGCTCTCTTAGGAGTATCGAACCATCGCAGCCTGAAACTGTCTAAAGAGTCAGTCTGTGATTTTATCAAACAGAGGAAATAAACCTGTGATCATCTCCTCTGATCTCTTCACCTGCACAGGTGATGATTTATTCAGAGACTCGTTTATCGATCCGTTTAAACTCGGTCTGTCTGCAGAAGGTGGAGCTTTAAAAACAGACGGTGAGACACTTTAAACGAAAACATGTCGTCGTCTGTTTAGACGCCGCTCTTCAGCCTCTCCGTCTCATCCTCACTCACAGGTGAAGCTGAGCGTCTTCCTGTGTGTCTTTGCTCCGCCCTCCATCACAGCTACACCACCTCCACCTCTCCTTTTAGCCTCTGATGAAGACACATTTATAACGTCTGCAGACAGACGGACGCTCACACTGTCTCTGCACAGGAGTTAACGAACAAAGACCCTCGACTCTTCGCTCTAAACCGTCTCAGACCGTCACAAACCGAACCTGCTGTGATTGATTCGATCACCTGACAGCCTCGTCTGTCATCACGTCGGCCCGCTTCAAGTCACCGCTGATTGATGAATGAATATTGGTGGAGTATTGATCCGCTCAGACTTCATACTCAGGCACTGATCAGTCATTCTGCAGGCTGCAGCAGCAGAGGTCACGACCCCTGCAGGTCCTCCCACCTCCTGAAACCTGAAGCCCTGGAGTCGTCGGCAGATACGGAGACAGCTGCGGTGATTTCTGATAACTGATACGAGCTGTTAGATTTCCTCAAGAGGGTTTGTAAAGGAGGAGGAGCGAAGTCCAACCTCTGGTATTTATCAGACTCTCCTCATATCCAGCGAGCTCACAGCTCCGTGAACAGGATATTTATAGACCTGAGTGATGCAGCTGCAGCAAGTTTGCAACCGACTTTAAGGAGCGATGCATGCTAACAACACGCTAACGAACCCCAGAGAGTAAATAATGGCGTTAAAATGAGGAGGGAGGCGTGGAATAAACTTTAAAAATGCTCTTTACACTCGGATGAAGAGAAAATGCAAAAATATGAAACAAGATCCAAAGGTGTAGAAATATTAAATCTTCCTCTTTGCAAAGTTTGAACAGATTTTTCTGAAATTTTTTTTAATTTACGTTTACTTAAACTTTCGGGGTTGCTTAAAATTGTTGCTCTGGTTTCTCACTTTTTATGAATATAACAGATGTTTTGATTTCCTCATGTTCAGGGTTTAAGTTATTACATTTAATTTTAATTACAGCTGACAGCTCTATTTATCTGTAAAGTGAGTGTGTTTGAGATTTGGTGCGAGGAACGGATGATGGAGAAACACTTAAAATAGATTTATCAACTAAAAAAATACAGGGTTTGATTTCTAAGAGGTGTTTGGTCGAAGAATTAGTCCTGAAAGGTTTGATGAGGAAACATCAACTGAGAGAACGCCTCACCAAAACAGCCCAGGTTCGATTTCTCTCCCTGTTTCCTGTTCGCTGATTTATCCTCTCAATAAAAGCAGAAAAAACCCTGAAAATAAGATTTAAAAAATAATAATAATAATAATGATGTTTGACACAGTTAGGTCTTTGACGTTGTCTCCTTTTCCCTTTGTCGTGGTATCAGATCACATCTCTGTAAAAGAATTAATTTAAATAAATTATCCAAAAAAACACAAAAATTTTGTTTAAATTAATTTCGTTCATGAGAGTCCTGAATCGAGACGCTGGTAAAACTTCCCTAAATGCTTAAAAAACAGACAGAGAAACTTTTTTAAAATGTAAAATCATCGAATTTTCAAAAATGAGATTAATCACGATTAAATGATACCTGACGATTAATCATGATTTTTAAATTTTTTAACAGTTTGACAGCCTTATTTTAAGAATCACAGATCAAATAGTCTAAAAACTTTTAAGAAACTATTTTAATTATTTGTTGTAGGTGTTTTTTTAATTTGTGTGATAAATCAAGACGCTGGTTTTAATTTTTTTACATTGATGTTACAGACAGTTCAGTCCAGTGAAATACAGAATTTTAAACATGCGATTAAAAATGGATTAATCGCGATTAATCGATACCTGGCGATTAATCGTATTATTATTATTTTTTTTAACAGTTTGACGGCCCTACTTAAGTATCATATATCAAATGGTCGAAAAACCTTTTAGGAAACAATTTCAAATGTTTGTTAAAGATGATCTTTAATCTGTGTGATTAATCGAGGCCCTGGTCTGAATTTCTTTACATTTTTACAGACAGTTCAGTTCAGAATTTAAAACATGCGATTAAAATTGATTAATTGTGATTAAGTACGAAGTATGATAGAACAGCCTTACTAATAATCTGAGAGACCAGAGGTTGATAGATTTACCTCAGAACTTTTTTAGTTTAACTGTTTATCAAAAATTTACTTCCAGGACATTTTTGAGCCAAAAGCTGAAAATATAAAATATCATCATCTGTCCGTCACTGGAGGACAGAAACAAACAAAATGATGCTCCATAAATTAAAACTATAACTGCTCACAGGTAATGAAGGCATGAACTGATCGGTTAATTAACTCAAAATGTCATCTCTGTTATGTTTTCCAATAAGACCCGAGTGTGATCTAATCAGCAGGATTGATTAATGACCACAATCTGAACAGTTACTCTAATAATATCTGTAATTAAAGAAGTCATTCTTCACGGAGAGCTGCAGATTAGTCCCGCCCTTGTTGCTCCTCCAGATGCGATCTTTAATAATCTCTTCAATCAGCGCAGACTCCTCCGGTCCACCTCTGGTATGCACCTCTATCTACAGAGAGCTCTTCTCACTCTGTTTACAGGTTTCCTCCCTCCTCTTCATTCTTAGCGGGGCGACAACAAAAGCTCTGCCACCGACAAAAATGCCCTCCAGACAAAACAATGATGACATCAACGTGACACTCGGGGACAGAGGGCGTGCACGCCGCCGCCAGCATGTGTACCGAAGTTTGGCATCACCAGTCGAACACGTTTCTCATCAATGAGGCCTCCAAGACGGGAGCCAGTCGGGCCAGATCAAGACCAGACAAATCAGAGCCAGGCAGAGAAGCGTCCATTAAAAACACGATCAGGTTGAGTCTCTGCAGGTGAGTGGGAGGCTGTTTTTTCATGCACAGTAACACCTGCCTATTTTCAGCATTTAACTCCAACTATTGAGGGGATTTATCTATCATTAGCTCTGAAATGTGGGCTCTGAAAGAATGCTGAAGGCGCTCAGTAATAACAAACACCGCAGACACGCACACATGCTGCAATCCTTTCAACAGATTAACTCTCCCTGAAGAAAACAGGTTTATTTTCCCTCAGACAAAGAATAAACATCTCCGTCCTGCTTGTTTCCACACTGTGTGGTCATTGCAAACACTTCGCTTTCAGTCCGGCCACATGAGATCGAGTCAGAGCGGCTCTGTTGTCAAGATACTCTTAAAAACAAGCGCCGAGCAGCTGCTCAGAGACCCGCCGCTCTCTGCACTCGCTCTCCTGAGCGTTTAAAGAAAGGCGAGGCAGCGAGGCAGGTCAGTGCGCTCTCAAAAACACCGGCCTCTTACAGGATTATCAAACTTTCATCACCTCTGACAACGAGGAGTTTCATCAGGACAAAGTCTGCGAGGACGGCGGACGATCTCCACGTTAGACATCAAACAGTCCATCACAGCCCGCCACTCAAAACAGAAAGACACGTTCACCTTAAATATAACAGTTTTTTAGGATCTTAAAATATCATTTTAAGAAATTTCTGTCCTAAAGAGACAAAGACTGAAACCAAGACCGGACAGTCCTGATCCTCAGAGCATTAAAAACAGACTGGACTCTGAAGTGGAAATCACCGCATGGACTCAAAATCAACACAGTCTGTGATCACAGCTGTTCTCCGCATCCCTGAATCCAACTAAAAACTGTCCCCGAGAAAAGGTGGTCCCTGTAGTTCTTCAGACCTCTTCTTTGGTCCAAGTGATTCATCCATATAAATGACAGACGGAGGGAAAGACTGAGACCTCTGCAGAAAATCAGACTGAAGTTAAAAACTCGTTGATCCTTAAAAACATGATGAACACATTAAAACAAGCTAACAGCAGCTGACAGCAGCTAACAGCCCCACTCCCAGCCCTGTGTGTGCCAAACTGGACTGTAAAAACACTGATTTTTAAGATGAAGTCAGTTTCTCCCTCGACTTCAGGATTTTATCTCTGGATCTGTTTGTTTTTTTATGAGAGAGGACCTCGGCAGATAATTCAGCTTCTTGTTTAAACTTCCAAACCTCTTCTTTGGCCCGACAAACAACAGACTTTTATTAACAAATGGTAAAAACCAAAGACACCATTGTGGGTCATCTGGGCCACCAGACTTGGGAACTGTGAGCATTCATGAATCCTGACCTATAAAGCATGCCGAACACTTTAGAACATGTTTACAGCAGCTGACAGCCCCTGCTGAAGTCCTGTTTGCACCAAACTGCTTTAGGAAAATGCTGATTCTTCAATTAAACCAGTTTATTTGGCACATTTATATGTACTGATCCCTGGGTTTGTTTGTTTTTGTGAAGAGGAGACCCCTGCAGATCATTCGGCTTCCTATTCAAACCAAAATAACTCTGAGGAGTCATGTACTGCTGTCATGCTGTTGCTCATAAATTGGTTTATACACGATGACGCAGCTTAAAAACAAAGCCTGGAAATTAAACTGATAAAACACACGGTCCTGTTAACCAATGTCACTTTTTAGGTCGAACAGACAACCTCTTAGCTGGTGAGAATAATCAACTTTCTGCTTTTTACCGTCTCTCTTTGACTGACGACGCTTTGAAAAACAAGATATGAAAGAAGAGCGCAAACGAGACGATGAAAGGAAAGCATCAAAGCCTTAAATGTGAGTGTTTTCCTGCTTTAGCACACGGTTTAAACAGGTGTCAAGGGCGCACACACACGCGCTCCACGCATTAACAGCAGCGTGAGCCTTCAGTTCAGGAAAGAAAAGGAACAGGTGTGACGTTACGAGCTGCATGACAACACAAGCTATCGCCCATAAATCTCCCTCCCCCCATGGCGGCGGCGGCGGCGGCGGCCCCCCTCCCTCTGTTTTCTGTCCTCTCTCAGCAGATTTCGGAGCTGGGGAAGGAAGGTGTCAGCTCGGCGGCTGGTGATGGAGAACAGGCCACACACAGCAAGTCACCTCGCACTCCACGCTATCTACCTTGTAAAGTCCACAGAGGCGCCAAGAGTGCACCCCGAACCGTGGACTTCCCGGACTAGATTAGAGGCTTTTTGGAAACGGCGTCTGAAATCAAACGTGAACGCTGAAAATGTGAGTTCAAGTAATGGGGACGCTTAAAAACAGCCATCAAGAATGACATTTTCTCAAGAAGTAATTACGGTTTTAAGTGAAGCGGCGTTCACGTCGACTCAAACCAATTACACCAAAGGAAACACACACACACACACACACACACACACACACACACGCTTTCAGAGCCGGAGAAACGCCGTTTGTCGCTCTTACCGTCAAAGATTACAGGCGTTCTGAAAGCCGTGACACACGCGGAGTAAAAAGCCGAGTCTTGACTCTTGACGGAGGACGGTTTTAGGAGGGAGTTAGTCCGAGTGAGAGAACAGCCAGGAGGTCCAGTCCTGAGGAGGAACAGCTCATGTGCCATCCAACGCTCCACTGACAACTGCTGCAGGAACGCCGCGCTCCGGACGCCCCAAATTACCCCTCTCACCGACACCCCCAGCCCCTACCACCAATACCCCCCCCCTCCCTCCCTCCTTCCTCTCCTGTTGCTTCTCGTTACCCCCCCCCCCCCCCCGCCTCCCCCGCCTCCCTTCAAACTCACTCATCTCCCCCCTAAACCCCTCCCCGCTCACCCTTTGCCCTAATATGCCTTCAGCAACTGCCACCAATTCATCAGTGTCCGCCATGACCAGTGAGCGAGCGAGCGAGTGAGTGAGTGAGTGAGTGAGTGAGTGAGCGAGCGAGCGAGTGAGTGAGTGAGTGAGCGAGCGAGCGAGCGAGCGAGCGAGCGAGTGAGCGAGTGAGTGAGTGAGGGGCTTGTTGTTCGGCTCTTTAAAGGAGGAGAAACAGTTTCATGGCGAAGACAACTGAACCGACTTTGACTTTAATATCACACGTTTATAAAAACACAAACATCAAAAACACGTCAAATCTTTACATGAGTTTCTTCTCCGATTTTTTCAAATCTGCCGCCAAAGTCGAGGAATCTCTGAGCAGCATCGTGGATTAAATTCACCGCTGTGAGTTTACATGAACACTCAGAATTGACTCTAAAACACTTTACGTTAAATTCTTTTGTAGGAAAAGTTCTTTATAAATTAAGTTTGATTTGATTTGACGGTTCGAAAAGAAGTTTCCTGATCTGTATCCGGCCTTCACTTCAGAGCGGCGTTTGTTCGTAGAATTGTGCGATGTTACGATAATCACGGTTTCTCCTACGTGCAATTGATCGTGGCGCACAGTTGAATAAAAGCCGCCAACCTAAAAATAACAGTTTTTATCTCACGTAGTTCGACCTCGCACTCATCAGCAGTTTCCCCGACATTCAGTCAGCAGCGGCGCCACTACTGAAACTACACATGATCATCAATATCAATGCGCCACTAATGATTCACTGTGTGAGCACAACAACACAACAACACACGACGTTGTTTCTGACCTGTTGTGAGTCATCAGGGAGCGCATCAAATCCTGTCGAACCCTCTTCCACTAACGTGAAGGGTAACGTGTAATCTTATACACGGCCTGTATGGCGAGTAGCGCGGGTAACGTAACGTGAATGTAACAGCGGCAAAAGAAACACACACACAGTTCTAGGGGAAACACTGATATTAATATTAATCAAATGAAGCTAGGCTTCGTTATAAACGGGTAATTAAATCTAAAAGTAAAGAGCAGCCGAGCGCTTTGTTTCACGCACGTTAATTTCAATAATGGCGACGTTTGCGTTGAGCAAAATGACGTCAGACTTTCTCAATTTTGATAAAACTGAGTTTTGAAAATCTTCACCTTAAACCTCCTAAAACTCTGATAATTAAGACTGAAGTTCAGAGAAATAACGTCTTTAATGACGTTCGTGTGAATTTCACGAAGTTCGTCTTCACTGTAAGAAACTGGAGCTAGAAAAAAAAAAACAGGACGGTGTGTTCAGCCGTCATTCCTCCATTTGGGTCTGCAGCTGCTTACATACCTTTTGTTCCACTGGATCCCTCACACACACACACACACACACACACACACACACACACACACGCTCACACACACACTCACGTACAGTGGCATGCTCAGCTGTCGGAGAGTTCAACACACCGGTAATGTCTCGTGCCACTCGTCCAGAACTCCCTCCCTTCCTTCGATTCTAAAATGACTCCTCTGCTGTCAGACTCCTCCGGCTGCTCCCTCCCCCCGCTCGCTCGCTCGCTCGCTCTGACGGGGCCCGCCGCTGACGGCTACGATCTGACGCCGTGTCCGAAGCTGTGTGCATCAAACCGCCGTAGATCCAGTTCGCCGAGGACTGTAAAAGGAGAGATCTGCGAGCGAGTACGACGGCGAGTCCGCTTCCCAAGGAACGACTCTCAGCCTCCGTGACCCGTCCTGACACTGAAATCTCCGAGGGGGCCGGAGGGTGTGGGAAATGGGAGGCCAGGAGTCTGCTGAACAGTTGTGTCATTGAGTTTCCACACAACACAGTGAATGTATGCGAGGGTGCCCGGAGCCCAACGGGTTAAACATGGGGCAGAAATTCCAGAGAGCGACCCGCTCCTGAAGCAGCAACTTTATAAGGATAAATGTGAGGAGAGCGGGAAAAACACCAACCCTCCTCCTCCTCCTCCTCCTCGTCTATCAGGAGATCTGCCCACTGAGGGGAAAAATATACACACTTTCTAAACACAACAATCCCAACATCACCGCGCAGAGGATGTGATTAATTCAACCACAAACACAAGGAAACGACCACAAAACAGATTTAGACCCGAGTTTAAACCGCAGGAGGAATCTGAGTCAGAAAGATCGGAGTGAAACTTCATCAGTTCAGTGAGTGAAAACATGGAGAAACACTGCAGGATCTTCAACAGGAAGTAAGAACTATCACAGATGGAGAGAGAGAGAGAGAGAGAGAGAGAGAGAGAGAGAGAGAGCGTCTGAAAAGCAGAGGGACGGATTAAAACAGGAAGAGAGGGAGGCCGGAGTGATCGTGAGTGTGCACAGGCCCTCGTGTTCGGCGGTATGACGGTCTAAACCGTGTGACGTATAAAAGTGTCGACTGGTAGAAATGTTGCTCTGCCGCTCGACCAGAGAGAGAGAGAGAGAGAGAGAGAGAGAGAGAGAGAGAGAGAGAGAGAGAGAGCAGATGTCTGCTGTGTCTCTCTGAGTCAGCGTGTAGTCATCTGCGCTTGTTGAGCGCGTCCGTTTGTGTGGTGCGGGGTTTGTTCGCTCCGTCTGATTGGTCAGGTCTGGGTGCGCTCCCTATAATCACCAGCGTGTCCAGCAGACTGTAGGAACAGCTTCAGAGGTGGTGGTCATGGTGATATTTAATGATGACTGATAAGGTCAGGTGTTATAATGTGTTCTGTTTATAGTTATAAAGCCTTATGATCATTAATGAGTGTTAATAATGATAGTTATACACGTTTATAAACACATTATAACACATCATAGATCTGTGTATGAGGCAGTATCAGTGAGTTGTTAACAGTTATAAACCACTATGACTTTGTCAGTCATATTATCATGTTATAATTATGACTATGAAGCATTATGATCATTTATGAGTGTTTATAACTAAACTTATACAGCACTATAACATGATTATAACACATATTTATAATGTGTTATAATTATAATTATGACTATGAAGCATTATGATCATTTATGAGTGTTTATAACTAAACTTATACAGCACTATAACATGATTATAACACATATTTATAATGCGTTATAGAGATAGGAGTGAAGTAAAGTGTTAGTGTGAATTTTTAATATTCTTGTATTTTGTCCCGTTCAGGATGTTTCCGGTATTTTGACTCGAACCCTCTTCATACTATTAGCATCAGGACCTCTGATATTTTGGATAATTGTAGAGTACAGCTGTAGTTTTAAAACTGACCCTGTCTAACCCACATATACGGGGTCACATGAAGGTCGTCTGATAATAATAACAATAATAATAATAATTTTATTTATATAGCACCTTTAAAAACAGAAGTTTACAAAGTGCTTAGACAACATTTGTGAGCACAGAGCATCAGCACATTGAAAATAAAAACACATAAAAACAAAAGCTCAGTTAAAAACAGGCCTCTGAATTGTAGGCCTGTTTCACTTTTCGTAAGAAAGAAACCCAGGCAATACAAGAACCCTACAAAATAAATGGGACCATGAGGACCAAAATAAAAGCAAAAAAAAGAAATAGAAAAGGAGGGAAGAAAACAGGCTAGTAAGTATAAAAGAGGATATTAATAATAATAATAAAATCATAATAAAATAAAATGTTGGTAATATAAATGATAAAGTGGAATTAAATATATATATAAAATAAAGGAAAATGAAAACATTAAAATCAATAAAAAGATTATAGGTAAAACAAAGGCTAAAAAGGCAGTAAGTCTAAATAAGAAAGAGGTGAAAGAGGTAAAAGAAAAAGGAGAAAAATAAAAACGGTAAAAGGCAATAAAAGATGAAAGATGGCATCACATAAAGGCAAGTCTGTAAAAGTGAGTTTTTAAAATTGACTTAAAAGAAGCGACTGTCTCTGCACGCCTTATCTCCTCTGGCAGGTCGTTCCAAAGTCGAGGAGCTCTGATGGAGAAAGCTCTATCACCTTTAGTCTTGAGCCTCGACTTTGGAACGACCAGGAGGCCTTCGCCTGAGGATCTGAGGCTGCGAGTTGGCTCATAAGATATTAAAAGCTCTGAAATGTAGCTCGGAGTAAGTCCTTTGAGCGCTTTAAAAGTAATCAATAAAATCTTAAAATCAATTCTAAAGCTGACAGGAAGCCAGTGAAGGGAGGCTAAAATTGGGGTGATGTGATGCCGTCGACTAAAACCAGTTAAAAGTCTAGCTGCTGCATTCTGAACTAGTTGGAGGCGAGAGAGTGATTTCTTGTTTAAACCAGGGATAGTACAGATACAGTCTGAATCCACAGCTCAGTAATATCAGGTGGAAATCTTGTTTGAAAGAAGCGCTTGTTGCTTCGCCGCCGTAGATTCTGACCGATTTTTGGGTTCAAATTCAGAAAACAGAGGAGGAATCATCTCGACACACTGTAACGTCTGAAATATTAATGATGGGAACCAACAAAGTTTTCAGTCGACTCAGATGTGACTTCAGAGACCGCGCCGCACGCTCAGACCCGATCATACAGTCTGTGTTCACTGAGAGCGAATATCTACACATTATTTTTGGAGGATAATGTCGTCTCCAAATCTCTCCTCTGCTGCCTCTTTCCAAGGTTTCTCCCCGCTTACTTACTCCACACACATTGGCGCTGCCTGGGGACCCTCCATGTTGAACACAGGGTTCTGGCCCGGAGCCTGAAACGGGGATCTATGAGCCTACCTCCGCTCCTCCTGAGACAAACAGGAGAGCCGGCCAAGACTGTGTGGTTCTGGCTGCATGTGGGGGGGATCCGGCTCTGAGGAGAGGTGGGGGAGGCACAAAGATCTATTCTCTCTCTCTCTCTCTTCTTTAACAGAGCAGCGAGAGGAAGAAGCTACTTCGCCCGCGGGCAAGTGTATTTATGTTGAAAGGAAACACAAAGCGCATAAGCTCCAGCTCTCACAGCCATAAACACACGTCCGTGTAGCTGCAAATACTCCGGAAGAGTTAGAGGAAGGACGCACAGATCTGTACGTGTTTTTGTGGCGTCTAAAAAAGGTGCGCCACCTGAGTGATGTGCCGCCACAAAGAGGAGCTGGAGAGGTTTGTTGAAGAGGAGATTATTTGCTGTTTTGTCTTTGTACCAAGTGACTAATAGGTTTGTGAATAAACATGATACGCTTTCAAGGCTTTGACAGTGAATACCCTGATTATGCAAATGTGCCTCTCTCTCCTGAGGACGGGCGATATTAAAAAAACCACGGCGAGGACGAGGACAGAGCTCTCGTCTGGTGCGGCTCTGCTGTGAGCTCTTCTCTCTGGAGTGTGTGACCTACATTATTGAGGAATTCTTGGTGTTTTTGTCACATTTCAAATAAAAGTCGCAGCAGGAAACAAAGGCGAAGAAAAAACACCGACATGTTGTTTTAGCAGACGTGGATCAGTGTGTGACGAGATTACGGGTCAAATCTCAGAACCAGAGAGTCTTGATGGATCAAACTGGTTTACACCCATTGACTTCCACTGATATCAGCTCCATCACTGACTGATATAAACAGGTTTTTCTGCATCTCTCTGTGAATGAACGACCACCTACACAAACAGTATTTATTTAGTTCTGTGGAGTATTTGCTGTCAAAGCACATATTCTTCTGAGTATAAATTCATCATCATTAATCTCACTCTGACCTGCATGTTTAAAAACTCCATTATTCTGCATTTTAATACAGATTTTAAACCAATATTAGAAATAAAGAGATTCACCACGGAGGTTATTTAATGCTGCTAAAACAGCAGCTGCATTCTGGTGCAATAATCTGATATATATATATACATATATATATATACAAATATTTTTAACCTTTATTTAACCAGGATGGTCCCATTGAGATAAAAAACACTAATGCAAAAATCAAAAATATACGATCCGATTAGTCGATTAATCCCAAAAATAATCGTAGTCGTGTCGATTATCAGATTAATCGTTGGTGGGTGGCGGCCCTAAACTGCTTCATTATTATGGTCTAAATCCACGACTTAGAAAAAGGAGACAACTTTAAAGTGCTTATTCTGCAAAATTCAAGGTTCTTTGAACGTGTTTTTAAAGGATGACGCTGTTTCACGTGAAGAAAATCGCTGCAGATAACTCCTCAGGTTCAGTTTCAGTCACTCCTCTGTGGTGATCCTCAAACTCTAAGATCATCGAAATAGTTTCATGGAGCCACAAAAATGCAGCTGAGAGTGCAGGAAGAGCTACTTTTGTATTTCTTACGGTATTTTACTCTGAAGATGGCGCTGTTGAGCTGTTGAAAACTGAGATTTTAGAGGCAATAACGAGTTCTTTAAAATAAGTTACCTGAGCCAATTATTCAACTGTCAAACCTGAAGACCATTAAACTCGAACCCGGAGACGATCCTCCGATTGTTTCAGCTCCTCTGAGGTTGAAGATGAATTTTAATGGAGTTGTTTCCTCGTCCTCGTTTGTTTCTCACCTGATGAAGTCTAAATGTTGTTAATGTTCCTCCAGCGTCACAGTCAGGATGGAAACAGGAAGCTCCTCTTTTTTTTTTACAGATTTTTCTCTGATTACACAAACGCATATTTCCTCAAAAGTCTGCAGATGTTCTCAGAGCGGGCTCATCGAAAACTCATTTCCCCTCATGTCAGTTGTTGGAAGAGCTCAGATTATGTCAGAGGGATGATTTTTTTTAGGAATCAGCACGTCTCAAATCCTCGGAAATATGCCTTTGGTTAAAAAAAGGGACATCTGATGTCAGCTGAAGCGCTCCAACAAACGTCCAGAGAGTGATTTTATGATGTTTTACACAACAGCTCTGGCCTGCGTCTCATCTAACCCGCCCTGCCTCTCCCTATCAGGAGGGACTCTGCTATCTGCCAGCCCCAGGAGCTGTCACGGCGAAAGGTTAAAGGTCAAGAGCAGCGAGACGAGCCCTAACAGACGCAGCAACCTGTTCCCTTCGACTCAGCTGCTACCACAAAGGCTCCAACGCCACCCCGTCCTCCGAAACCCGGTCTCTGCAGCTCTGAGCGCTCTCAGCGACCAAGTATCGGGGCGAAGCTGCACTGATTCAGCTCTTTCTGTGTTCGTCTGTGCAAAAGTTTGAGCTTTTTAAACGTAAAATGACGATTTCTCACAGATTAGTCCTTGAATGAAGTGAAAACACGTCTCTTTTAAGCCGTAAGTGTGGTAGTAAGCTTTTTCTGTCCCCCTGCCAGCCGACTCAAGAGAAACAATCCCTCGCTGTTTTCCTAATTAACGCTCCGCGCTTGTTGCTGTATCATATTTTAATCTATCAAGTAAATTAAAGCTATAAATCACTCAGCACCTGTGACTCCCACGCCCGCGCAGAGACTCTCAGCTCACGCCCAGAAAAATGAGAGCAGACGTCCCGAATTAAAGATTCATGGATGTTAAATTTCAAAGAGTTGTTTGGATCAGGAAGTTTTTGAGGAGCGGAGGAAAAAAGTCTTTTTTAAATTCTTGTTTGAAGTGCTGTTGGAAAAATCAGAGCCGAGCCAACATCAACTCTAATTTCTCTGAGAGTAAACAGGCTCTGCAGGCGGACTGGAGACCAGGACTACAAACACGGGACACGCAGCCCAGAGACGCGCTCACTTTGTCGGGATCTGACTGGATGTCAGGGACCAGGAATCAAACCGTCTCTTTTTAATAACGGAGCGCTTCATCTGATTCAGACTCATGACCGTCAAATCAATCTGGATTTTAATTAAGAGGTCGTCCTGCTGCAGACACTCAAACAGGCGCAAAATAAACTTTTAACCCAATTTTTCAAGAACAAAAACCGCCATCTGCATTTTCAGAACACGTCCAGCTGCTTTTGTGTTTTTTTAAATCCTGCTTTTAAAGTTTTTCTTCTTTCCTGTTTCAGCAGGTAAAGGTTTCCAGGAGGATGAGGCCGATCCGATCCAGTATCTGTATCGGGTTCTGATACCGATGAAATTCATGCATTCCAATCCACAAGTCATGTCTTTGCTTTAACTTTGTCTTCTATGACTGTCCAAGTGATTCTTGCGGGTCAGTCTGTTAGCGGGCTGCAAACTGCGAAATGGATTTCCTGAACGAAGGCGTGTCTCGATGAGACACAGAGATGAAAAACGCCTCCGTTCATGAAATCGTACGTACATGAATCTGCCTGTAGAGAGAAGTTTCTGACAGCCTCATATAAAACTAACAACAATGATGATAATGATGGTAAAGCTGACAGAGCTCTGGTGTCGGAAAAGTATCGGTATCGGCAGATATCCAAATTCAGAAATCAAGATCGGATCAGATGTGAAAAAATGTGGATCGGTGCATCAGCTCACAGTCCCCAAAGCCCGACCAGAAACTATCGTTTGGACCCTCATCTTTGGAGTACAGTCGCGTTATTCAACAGGACCACAGGGACGCCATGAGGACGCCATGAGACGCCAAAACCTGAGGGGTCGATAAAATGAGAATAGGGATTATTATGATCTCAGCATCCCAGATGGTCTGAGGATCATCAGAGTCCATGTCAGGGGGATCTTCCTCATCTGTGAAGGCTCCATTGATGCTGAACTAGACCTGCAGGTTTAGGAGCATCAGGACTCTGGAGTTGGAGTCACCGCATGGGGTTAATATCACCTGTCTGTGAACTGATCTGAGGTCTGATGAATCAAAATCTGACAACTGGACTGACTTGGGACATTTCGCCTAAGGCAACGAAGAACTGGAAATAATAGATGCTGCATCCTCAGTTTTAGACATAATGCTGAATAACATCTACAGGTTTAGGAGCAACATCTGCGTCCATCCAACTCAACTCAACTCAACTTTATTTGTAGAGCACTTTAAAACAACCACAGCTTGTTCTTTCAACGAAGAACTGGAAATCATAGATGCTGCATCCTCAGTTTTAGATATAATGCTGAATAACATCTACAGGTTTAGGAGCAACATCTGCGTCCATCCAGACAAAGAAATACTGAGTTTAGATCCAGTTTTTGTCACCATCTCACAAACACTCTGTCTCTCTCTCTGTGTCTCTCAGTATTTTCAGGTAATGAACCGATGATTCGATCCGTCCCGTTCCTCTCTGCTCTCTCTGGTCGTCGAGTTGAAAGGTAACAGCAGCTGATTTAAAGCCGAGGAAGCAGGACAGTAAACGAAGTGATCATAAACAGTCTGGTCTGTGACAGGAGACAAAACAAAGTTCAGATCCAGACAGCTGGAAACACAAAGACCACTTCAAAGACTCGGACCAGACCCTAAGTGAGTCACAGTCTGCTGAAGTTAACAAGATGTCCAGCTGGTTCGGAGTTTTCAGAAGTTTCAGAAACTTTAATCAGTTATTTTCTGACTTTAATCGAACACCTAGAACTCCTGTCAGACCTTCAAAATAAAAGCCCTTCTGTATTATAAAGTAGGAGTGCTTTTATGATGATAAGACAGAAGAAACAAAAACAGGAAGTGAGCTGCTGCTGCTGTTAACTCTGAATAATTAACACCGATAATTAACCCGGTACAGTGGTGGCGGTTTGAAGAGCCGTTTCCCTTTTCTGCTTCCTCTCTACGCCGTCTGCGCCGCTTGACAGACCCACAGAGACCAGTGTGGTCTCGCCTCGTCCCCCCTGGATCCCCTTGTAAACCAAAGTTAATGAACTCCTGCGGACTGTTCTGGACAAATCTCAGCATCGCACTCGTGGTCGACGCTCGTCTGAGGAGGGAGGAGCAAACGGATCAGGAGAGACTTTTTAAACCTTTAAATGTCAGACTCCGGTTCTAAAATGAAGAATCACTCGTCTAGAAATCAGAGCTCAGATGTTCGCACAGATTCAGATCATGGTCGACTTTTTTACTCATAACTCTGGTTTTTATTCGGGCATCCAAACTTCCAGGAACAAAGCAGCCAGTTTCAGGCGACATGTGCAGCCAAGAGGACCAGACCGCCATGGCGCTCGGCGCAGGCACGAGGCGCTCTGTTGTGCACAAACAAATCCCCGAAGGCGACGAGGCGTTTGATGTGCAACGGGGCGGCGAGAGCCACACCACGCCAGGAACCCCTCCCCCCCTTCCACTCCCTGTTTGTTCCCCCTCCCCACAAACCTCCATGAGCTCCCTGACATTGACACACACACACACACACACACACACACACACACACACACACACACACACACACACACACACACACACACACTTCTCCTCAGAAACAGCTGACGTTTTAACAGGCTTACAACAGCTGACAGGCTACAGGTGGGGCAGAGGGGACCCTTCATAAGCCCTCCACCCCCCCTCCTCCTGTTAGTGCACGGCTCATAATTCCACACACACACACACACACACACACACACACACACACACACACACACACACACCTGTTGTGACTCCAGAGGAATTGTCCTCTGTGAAAAGCTTTCCTTCATACTGCATCACCTCCTCCTCTCTCTCTCTCTCTCTCTCTCTCTCTCTCTCTCTCTCTCTCTCTCTCTCACAACCACACACTTTACGACCCTCCAGCATGTGTCAGAGTGTGTGTGTGTGTGTGTTGTCCGACTGTAACAACAGATGCAGCCGCCGCCGCCGCCGCCGCAGACCTGAACTCCGGGCTCTAAAAGCTCTAAGCTCCTTTGCTTTGCTTCGCTGGAGCGGCGCTGGCTTTACGGCGAGGAAGAAAAAACCACGCTGTCATGTTAATCCATAATCATTTTAACCCACAATACCCAGGTTTTCACTTCAATCACCGCCGTGTACAATCATAATGACAGTATGACCATATGATGCGGAGCCTCTAATCCGGGGGGTCATGGCTGCGTCAGGAAACAATTGACCTCAAAGCGGTTCTTATTTTATTACCGAGCGCTTTTAATTCTCGCCGGTTTGTTGAATTTTCTGAGGCTGAGAGACGCCACAAAAGACGTTTTATTCAGGAATTCAGAGATATCAGCCGCTTTTGTGAGGCAAAGTTCACACAAAGTGAATAACGGAGAGATATTTAGGACAGAGAGTAAACGAGCAAAGACGAAGACGAAGAAGAAGAAGAAGAAGAGGGGATTTGAAAACGCAGCACTTCTTTGGATTGGATGAGGAACCACAGGGTGAAAGAAAAGAAAAGCAAAAACACGTCTTTGGATTAGGTTTTCTTGCTGGCTGTGCAAAAAGGAAAAAAAATAAAGAAGTTTCATAAGTTCCAGCGCAGACTTTTTAACCACCAAATCTGCTCTTTCTTCTCTCATCACTCACAGCGTGCCGCTAACCTGCCGCCTGCTGCGGCGGAGAAAATGATTTATCAACACTCATTTCTGTTTTGTAGAGGAGCTCAATAAGCAGAGCGCGCAGGGAGGGCTGTTTCTGCTCTGTAAGTAAAGACGAGCTTTAGGAGTTTCCACAGCTTCATTTTCTCAGACAACTCCTCTCACAGCGGGACGTTCAACCAGACAAAACCCACCCCGGAAAAAAAGACGAGAAGGAAAAGTTCATCTCCTGATTTTTACAGATTTATAAAACAGGTTAAATTGATCCGACAGGATGGTATCTGTTCAAGGCCGACAGAAAGTGATCAATAATTTACTGAAAGGTGAGAGAGGATCTGTTCAAACCAAACAGAAACAAACCGTCTTATTTACACAGAAGAAAAGGCGTTTTTTCCTGACCTGACGCTGCAGCGGTGAAGGTTCGAGTCGATGAAAGAACAAAAAACAAGCAGATTAACTAACATGTTGGTGTTTGTTAGCAGTGAACATTAATCGTGATATTTTTGTGGTCTAAATTCAGCTAAACTCCAACAAAAATACAGATCAGACATAGGGCTGGGCGATATGGCCTCAAATCAATATCTCGATATATTAATCAGTTCACCTTGATAACCATATATGGATGATAACTACTCCACAAGCTGCTCACCAGTAAATTTGCGTTTTATCGCCCAGCCCTCGTCAGACGTCTTCTACAGGTCACCCGTTAGATCCTTGTGACATCCAGCCAATCAGAAAAACAATCCAGATAATTGAAGGAATGCTGATTAATTGATCTATCCCTGATCATTTCCTAATCATTATAATAGAAATTTAACTGACTCAGATAAAGTGATAAAACCCCTCAGAATGAAGCACCTTTACTCCCACACATTCATCAGAGTGTAGCTACCATTAGCAGAGCTAACACCATCACCTTTCAGCCCTCACCGTGGGTTCGAGTAACTTCACCTGTGGTCTGTGCTCATTTACATCTATGTGGCGGTTTTAACAGCATCCATTAACCCTGACTGTTAGAGATGAGGGACCTGATACCAAAGAACTACAAAAAACAGACATGAAAAATTAGAATCAAAGAAAACGACTGAAAATATGTTTTATAATTTCATATTTCAGTCCACAGTCAGTAAATGATTGGGGGTATGGTGTAGGGATGGGAATCACTAGTGACCCCACGGTACGATATTATCAGGATACTTGGGCGATAATACAATATTATCACAATACTTCGGCCACAGTACAATATTATCATGATACTTGGGCTACGATACGATCTTATCATGATACTTGGGCCACGATACTATCGCGGTACTTGAGTCATGATACGATACTATCATGATACAATATTATCACGATACTTGGGCATGATACGATACTATTACGATACTTGTGCCATGATATAATACTTTCACAATACTTGGGCCAGGATACGATATTATTGCGATTTTCATCATTTTGCAATACAGTGAGTATTCAATATTTCGATTTATACAATTTTCAACTGTTTAGCTAATTTGGTATTGGTCGTTCTTTATGTTTGTCTTATTTACACGATATTTTATTTTCATGTGGCACATCTTGCTAACCTCATATATATATTTGTTGTACTAACTTTCTCCTGCTCTATGATTTCCCCTCTGCCAAACCTCACTGGACAAACAGTTGATTTTATTTTTCCATTATCATTGATTTGACTTCATATTAAGGATTAATTTGAAAAAATCAATACTTGGTAAATGAGACGATCACCAGACAAAATATCCCGATACTATGCTGTATAGTTTTTTTTCTCCCACCCCGAGTATTGTGGGGCACAGTCAGGTGGATTATTATGATGCTCTCATAGTCATCAGAACTCTTGTTATGTGGGAGTTGCTTGTCTACCTTTAAGTAAATATGAACGAATCATTAACTGAATGGAAAGAAGTCAATGAGAGTGATCGTATGATTGTGTTTTTGACAGACAGCAGATCATAAAAACACCAGAGTCTGCATGTTTGTGTGTTTTTCTCTAATAAGAAAAGAAGTCTGCAGTCTGGCGGCGAGTTTGGTGAAAAACCGTTCAGATATGTTGGGATCAGTTTGTCCCTCCGCTCCGTCTCTGCCTTCTTTCATGAGAAATCGGGAGGACTGTGCGTCTCGGAGCTGCTGTTCCAGCTGTAATGTGATAACCAGTTCAATAACATAAACAACTGCCAGAATCCTCCTGAGGAAGGATGCAGGGAGAGAGCGAGAGAGAGAGAGGGAGAGGGAGAGAGAGAGCGTGTGTGTGTGAGTCAGTGGGTGGATGTCTGTGTGCGTTTGGTTTTTACATGGGAGCGCGTGTGGGCTGGAGAGCAGGAGAGGCTTGGGCGAGAGGTGAGGACGAGTCAGCCATTGAACACCATCAAATAAAGCGTTATCTAATGCCTGCGCTGACACGGCCCCGCCAGAAAACAAGTACACTCTTTATCGACCCAAAGCACCGCTGTGCTTTTGCCCGTGAAAACACTCCTCGCTGACGCCGTGAGCTGGTTTATACATCTGAGCAGAGAGAAATGGATCGTTTTAAAGAGCCATCATGGTTTCAGAACACTTTGAGAGCGCAGATTTAATGACTTCTAAGACCCGATTCTGAAGAAAAACACGGTTTCTGCAGCAGAGACACTTCAGAGCTCTGTCTCTGTGTTAAAGTCTGATCTCAGCTTTTTCACATCAACGTTTCTTTGGAGACTTACAATAAAACAGAGAGCAGAACAAAAGGGATTGTGTGCTGTTTAAGAGTAATTCATCAAACGAAGAGGAATCCCAGTATTTATGTTTCCTGTTTGAGACAAAAGTCAAACTAAAGTCAACAGAAGTTCTCCTCAGATTGTTGCTCCATACATCTGATAAAAACACAACAGTGTTAAACTTCCTCAGTTCTTCAGAGAAGTCCAGAAACAGCTGTGACATCACTGTCTTCACAGCCACCAAACCTCATAGACAAAAACCGTCGTTTTAGGACTCCGGCAGGACCCTGGAGTTGCTGGTCTACCTCTGCTCCAGCCTGTTAGTTTAGATTATTTTGTAACTTTTAAGAGTTTGTTTGACTAATTATGGGATTAAAAAGTGAAAAGAAAGTAAAGCAGAGCTAGAACAACAACTCCTGCCCTCTGTGTCGGAGTGTGGTGTTTATGCTGTTTTTTAAATGGAGGTTCTCACAGTAAAGAGAGAAAAAAACAGTATTACAGTGACTATTTTTTAAGCATTTAGACTGTTGATGTTTTTTAATTTAGATTATTTTGCTTTAATTTAAAATGTTCTCTTATTTACTTTTTGATCATTTATTATCATTTCCTTATTTTTGTATATTTCTTTTTCTAAAAGCCACTAAAGAAAGTAAACGGTTAACAGTATCATACTGAATTCTATCATTTCAAACAGTACTACATTACTAAGAGATTACTCTATTAAGACATACTGATATTCAATAATAGTATATTTTGAACAGAGGTGCAGCAGCTCCTGACTTCTTAATTTGGTGTTTTTTTGAATGGAGTTTGGTGGCTGAGAAGAGAACAAACTAACACCGCTCTATTGTCTGATTATTTTCACACACATGAACTGACGCACAAACCAGCATGCACATGCCTGGAGTAGCACCATCCCATGTTAACATGAGGGAGTGTATGACTCTGGACGGGTGGATGGTTTTTCCTTCACATGATGGATTTACTCAAACAGAGGAATAAGCTCCTTTCTCTCTATCCTCTCTCTCTCCACTTCAGCTTGTGGCTAACTCAATGAGCCCTGCGCAGATGGTCCCACAGCACCGCCGCAGCTGTGCGCCCGTAAAACGAACGCCACGCCCCAGCGAGGAGGAGGTTGATATACATTCAGATATTCAAATGAGGCCATAACCTCTCTGCTGCGCTTCGCTGGAGGTGGACCCGAGGTGTGGGAGGATGTGCTGGGGGGCGGGACCGGGAAGACAGCGAGAGGGAGGGGGGTGGATGGATGGAGGCTAAAGATGATGGTGATGAAGATCAAGAAAACACAGAGATAAAAGAGAGTCAGGGTGAGGAGGAGAGGTGAGAAGAGGAGAGGGGGAGGGAGAGGAAGGGAGGAGGAGGGGGAGTGTGAGAAGCTGCCTGGGTGTAGTATTTCAGCTCCTGGCTCTGCTGCTTGCTATTTCAGCTGTGCTGGAGCGCTGGCCAGCAGCCCCTGCTCTCACGCCATCGTAACCCCGTCAGTATGGTGGCACGGCACTCGGGCTGCGTTCACAGTCCAGCAGAGAGTCCACAAATTCCTCTACCCTCCTCTCACAAAGACCTGATGTTCTCTCCGGAGTGTAACCGGCATAAAAACGGAGACGAAATGTCACAGAAGGTTGGCTGAGAGGAGAATTCACAAGATTCAAGTTTCCTAAAACTCTGAAACCGACTGTAACAGCTGCAAACTCTGAGGACCAATACGACCAAGAGGATCCACTAAAACTGAGACTGAGATTAGTCCAAGAGTCCAAGAACGAAAACAGAAGGAACTGAAACCAAACAAGCAAGAACCATCCAAGACTAGGGCTGCACGATCAATCGATTTTAAATCAGATTATTTGATCGTGACGATGTTAAAAAATCTAAGTCCTCCAAAATCAGACACGGAATAAAAGAGGAGCTGGAGTGGAGGCAGAGGAGGCAGGTAGAGTGAAGCTTCATTCCCAAACTTCTAGATCATATCATCAACTCAGACCTGAAACTCTGAGGGAAAAAAGGCCGAGTCTTGGTGAAACAAGAATCGCCCCTTTGGACACGTCAGTAAACGGTGACGACCACCAGTTATTTGGCAGAGAGACAGTTTAGTCTGAGCGAACGGGACAGGAAAGAAGAACCAGTTGGTGATCAGCTGGTAAAAATGGAAATCAGCTGGTAGACAAACATTTGGAGACATGAGTGATCATGAATGTTTCTAAGAGTATTAGGAGGTGAAAACCTTTAATAGAAACACTCTGATCCAAACCAAGTCGGCAGCAGAGCGAGCCCCCCTCACTTTTACATTTAGACGGCCTCTTTCTGTGCAGCTAACCAGCCCAGAGTGTTGGCAGACGCTCTGACAAAGTCATATCTGGCAAACGCAGCTTACAGTATGAGCTACGATTCAAGTTTTGAGTCAGCACAGGACCTTTGATTTATGAAACATCTCTGCTTCTGGAGGCAGAAGTGTTTTCTGAATCCTCAACGATGCACCGGAGCGAGAAACTCTTTCCTAAAACAGATGTACGGCGTTTCAGAGAGGAAGAAACAGAGCGTCTCTCTCTTCTCCTCAGCTGCTTCCTTCGCTCTTGTAGGTGTGCAGCTCTCCTTGATCCTCGTCCCAGCTTCTTCTTCTTCTTCTTCTTCTGTTTTTCTCTTTTTTCTGATGCATTGTTCACCGGCAACAATAGCAGAGCGACCTGCAGTGAACCCGCCGTGTTCGGATACAGTCATCATCATCATCATCATCATCATCATCATCATCATCAGGCACACAAACCTTAATCCAGCCTGAATGCTGCTTCTGATATTAATAATCCTGCTTTAACCGGGTCTCTAGAACATCTTTGACCTTTGACCCCAGCTGAGTTATAAAATACGGCGTTTGGAGTTACGAAATCGTTAATACACGATAACATGATCACTGCTGATGTCACAAATAAGACATTTACATCATAAGACTGTTGCAATGAAACCCTTGACCTGCATTCTCTCCGATAACCAGCAGGGGGCGACTTGTACTAAACATCTCATAACGAGCTCAAAGTCTCAATTAGTGCTGAAAGATTGATCGGATTTTAATCATGATTTCAATTTTGGCGTCTTACGATAATAAAAACATTATGATCGTAGAAAGACGATTAATGCGCCGCATTAGCGTATTTAAATTCCTGTGCTGGAAAAGCACCTTGAATGCAGCGTGTGACGTGTGTGGATCAATAATATGAGGAGTGAGCGATTGAAAACACTGCAGGAAGGTCGTTTTTGGTTGAGAAGTAAAGAAGGACGACTTCAGAAACATTTCGGCTTCAATTTGACGAACACTGAGCGAAAGGAAACTGTTTGCAAAGTTTGTCACGCTGTCGTGTCTGCTCCCCAAGAGAACACGACCGACTTCAGTCTGAATGAAAAGGTTGTTTTAATTTACGTGGCTCTATCTCGGACTTCTATGTATCTGTATGCGCGCTTCACCGCACAGCATGAGTGCGCCAAGTATTAGCAAGTTATCGTCTATGATCATACAGCTAATAAACATTCCCCCGCGCAAGCTCCCTGAGTGGCTCAACACATCAATCTATCAATATCGTTATCATTCAGCTGATTAGTTATTTTCAGAAGTAATGAGGGTCTATTTTACTGTTAATGTTAAAACTCGTTATATCTGTGAGGATCCAAAGATTACGTCAAACCCACTAAGGCCTCATGCTCTTGCTCAAGTTGTCTTCGATCCGTCTTCAGAGTCGGGTTTGGATCCTTCTTCTCTCTCATGTAAACTAATCGATCATGGGTAAACCCCAGACTCCTTCATTGTTGCTCCTTGATACGTTTGTTTTGTTTGTTGGATGTGGACAATAGAAAGAGTAGCTGCTGCATTAGTGGCTCCAATTAAAGGAATAAATAAAAGTATGACACCACATACTGTACAGACAAGAGTTTTTAACTTCATGCAAACATAAGTTTAAAAAGCTCATTTGTTAGAAATTCAAGGTTTTGATGATTTTTTTTAAAATTAACATCCATTATAAACATACAGTCTGCAGCCATCACGCTACACTCTCTCCTACCTGAATGTACACGAACAGAGATGACAGACTGCATTTCTTAGCACGGTTTTGATCTTAAAAAGAGGACTGGTGATCCTTCGCTAAGCTGCGTTCAGTAACTCTGACTTTTATAAACCTGGTCTCTAAGTACCAAGAATCAGTCACCTAAAGTTCTACACTGACTAGAACGGGCTCTACCTTGAACAATAAAACCCAAATCCTTCTGATCTTCACGGCTATTGACCTCTGACCTTCACAGAGGTTACATCTGCACAGCCTCAGATAATCTTCATGTTCAGTCTAATTCTAATGTTTTATTTCTTTAAGCAGAATCACTCCGACAGGAAATGGCGTTTAAACCAGGAAAAGAAAAAAAAACACACATTTCTTAAAGAGCAGCTCTCTCTCTCTCTCTCTCTCTCTCTCTCTCTCTCTCTCTCTCTCTCTCTCTCTCTCTCTCTCTCTCTCTCTCTCTCTCTCTCTCTGTCTCTCTCTCTCTCTCTCTCTCCCTCTCTCTCTCTCTCTCATTTTCTGCCTTTCCTTTCAGCGCTGTTCATTTCGTTTTTATCACTTCTCCTCTTTTCACTCTCTTTTTTAAAAGCTCCAAGACTATTGAGAAACCTAATGGAATTTTAAATAAAAGCCCGTCTTGCTGAAGGTTGCCAGAAGCTGAACTAAATGGATTCAAATTGAGTTTAAGTGGATTTTGACACCGCGGCCCAGTCAAGGTCAGACCCGTCCTGGTTTGTGAGCGGCGCTGCGGCCCTGACAGCGCCGCCGCTGCAGCTATCTGAGGTTAATCCTGCAAATTGTGTTGGGTTTAAGTTGCATTTAACCTACATAGATGCTGTGAGGTGGTGTCTCGCTCCAGGACCACCGTCCTCTGATCGCTCCGCTCTCCAAGACGCCGTGTCCATTTGGCTTTTTTTTTACATCAGCCGGACTCTCGGCTTTGAATATTAAAAGACGAGACCTTAATCTGGATCAGAGATGGACCGCAAAAGCGCACGCACACACACACACACACTCACAGATGAAATGTCATAAGACTTGTACAGATTCTATAATCTCCGATCAAAATAAACGTTACGTGAATTCAGTGTTTTCATCGTCCTTCTGTCTCTACCTCGCAGCCAGAATCAGGTCAGCACACATTTCCATTTTGGCTCCAAAGCGGGTTATTTCCAGCAATTTCTTTCGAGGTTGGCCGGATAAATTTAGTGCCCTGAGCGAGGTATTTTTAGCAAAAATCAACAACTGAGTGAGGATTTACCACACAGGGTTCTTTCTGCTTTGATTTCCGTTCACATTTACGTAACAGATCTCATGGATGTGCACAGACCTGGAGAGCTGTGTGACTAATGTTCTACAAACACAACGGAAATAACGCCGCGATTAGATCATCTCTGAATTTAGAGCAGGACTAGAGCGGGTCTTTTAGTGCGAGAAGCGGTCCAGAATCTAGCTCAAGGGCACTCTGGCCACTCTCTCAAACACGAGCCTGTGACCTTTCAGATTACACGAGAGCGTCTTTGAAGTCCCGGCCACCCCGCTGCCCTACTTCCCCAGAATCCATCATCTGAGGACTTCTCTGTTTATCACAGAGATGGATGGAAAAGGTCTGCGCTGAGCCACAGGAGGTCGGTTATAATTCAGGACGGAGTGACAGGCGCAGCAAACTCCCTGAATTTGGGATCAAACTTTCACTCCGGGCTCGGGCCACTTGTGCTGAAATCGGAGACGTGCAGCTGCCGCTCGTCCAGGACGGCACAACACATCCGAATGTTTTCATAGCAACACAAGCAGCAAGTGTTTGACATCAGATTTCACTGATTCAAAGAAATTAAGTCACTTCATCCTCTAATACTCACTCCGTTACTCCGACTCAGACAAACAAACATGAGCACATCAGCGCCTCAGAGTTCAGTTTTACTGATAAATAGAAATAAACGTTTATTTCTGATATTTAACTTAGTTCAATATTTGCTCTAACGTGTCTGTAACCCTGGATAATTGTATGTTTTGTAATATCTAACACAAGATTGAGGAAACTTGAATCTAGTGTCCTGATTTTAAGGAATTGACTGTGTGATTGAACATCGTCAGCCGAATTACTCGCTAGTTTCATGAATAATCACATTTTTATTACAGTTTAAAGCTGCTGTGTGTTTGACCGCTGTATGACCCGGATGTAAACGAGCACAGATGATAAATACCATTTTAAAGAACAGCAACGTTTTTCCGAGTATCTTGATTTAGTTGAATGACATCTATGAAACAGACTGAAATTTATATTGGTGCTTTTTTATAATATCCAAAAGTAAATAAGACCATCAGTGACGAGACTGAAGACTTTTATTTTGTAATCTCAAAAGTCTGAAATCACAGCGAAGGGTTAGCAGCTGAAGAGCCGCTCCGTTTTTATCGGTTTTCACGTAAAATATTATCATTAAATAACAAATATGATGTCAGAAGTCGGCAGGATAAGCTTTTCTATCAGGAGGTGAAGTTTGAGCAGAGACTGATTTGTCCACAGGGGGCGCCATCATGAAGCACAGGAGCTTTAATTTTCAGGTGTGAATGGAGGTTGTTGTGAAATGAGTCCAAACGTAATTAAGACGGGGTTTAAGATATTCCAGATCTGCTCGTTATGTCGATTAAACGTCGTCACCAGGATGACTAGTTGATTAGAAAAGTGATAGATTTTTCATTGATTCTAGTTTTATGTTGTCTAAGCTGTGGAGAAGACATCTATTTTTATAATGATCTACAACCAGGATGTAAACGAGCACAGATAACAGATTTATTTTATTATTGATTATTAATGTTTTTTTTTCTTTATTTAAAGTTCCTTTGAGAAGATGTGGTTATTAAATAGACTTATATTAATCTACAACATAGTCAGCTTTGACCAGAGGGGGCGCCAAAATCCAGCTAAAGTTCCTCACAGGAGCTTTAAAAGAGATCATGAGTGAATTAATGAAATCAGATCTTGTTTTTGTTTGGAGTAGTTATAAATTAAAGTGTTAAGTTGGTGACTGACGGTCTTAAATGTTTCTTTCTTGTCTCGTGTTTGCGATATAAAACTCCTGATTTACTCTCAGACTTGATGAACTCAGATTTGTTGGAGCTCCTAAATCACGTCTCAGAGAGTAAACTCAGAGTTACAGACGCGTGGTTTCTCTGAGCTGTAACTCACAAGTGTCATTCATAAGTAAAACAGGGCGATAAAAGATGAGTGTGGATTCTATTAAATCTATGAGTCATCTAAAGAGCTCTGCTTATTAAATACTTATGCAGCACAAGATTGAATCATCTGTGTTTGTTAAATATTGAATGATGAGTTTAGCATGGCGGAAGTCTTCCAAATGGATTCATATTGACATTTCATTGACCTGTTAAGATACTGATACAACAAATCTGCCTGGATTCACAGCAGACGAGAGACGACGTTACAGCGTGTTGCAGCATCAAACCCCACAGGAGCATCTCTAATGATCACTTCAAATAATTAGGAAGATTTTATCGAGGAGATGTACCAGCGGCGGTGAGACAATTCCCTCTCCAACCCTGAGCGACTTTTATTTAAACAAACCGACGTGGAAACACTCGGAGGGGACGGACGCTCAGCCTCAAACACATCCGTCCTCCTGACATGTAATTATGATTTGTTTGCACAGCGTCTCTTTTCAGCTTCAAAAACTCACGTAGAAAGAAATTTCAGGAGCTAAACTGCACGTTTTTTCTTTCATCCGTGTCTTTTGTTGCTCTGCACTGACTGCTGCCGCTCTGCACTCACCTGTCACTCAAACCGTGTGGGAGGATTTGGTTTTGTGTTTTTTTTCTGTCTTTGATGGAGTTCAGCGTCTTCAGGCTGTAATTGGTGTTTTTTTTTTCTCTCTCTTACACTGTTTCACCCGCTACACGTCATCTTCTTCTTCTTCTTCTTCTTCTTCTTCTTCTGGTGTTTATTTCAAAAGAAGAGCAACATAAAAACATCAGATCTCTGGAAGAGAAAAATCACTTCCTGACGAGGGATGGGGATCAAAAACCCGATCCAGATCACAACCGGTTCCAACTCGGCGCTCACTTCCCTTCGTGTTTGAGGGTTACCTTATCCTCCCACTTAGTAACACAATAACAGGAGGAAGTCAGCGTGAAGGAGGAGAGCCAAAGGAGGGAATCATGGTGGACGGAGGACAGAGAGGTCCAAACTCTAAAGAAGACGCAGCAGGACGCACCGATCGACAGTAAAATCCACTCGTCTCGTGAGACCAGCAGCTTCAAACTTTGTGTGTCTCAGAGATGTCCAGGAGTTTCTCTGTCCCCCAGAGAAGATCCGGGTCTTTTCACTCAGACCGTTCACAGTCTCAGTTTAATTGGACTAAGCTCATGATTTGTTTTTATCGCAGAATCGGATCTCTCTCGTCCGCATTTACAGCAGCTGAGAAAATCTAATTATTGACGTGAACGTGTCCTCCTCCCCAACACTAGGGGGCGATATGGTCTTTTAAGCGGCGCCGTTTCCGGACCTTTTTCCTTGTTTTGCGACCGTTCCATAAACTTTAAAATGTCCATTTCTGTGCAGAATCTATAAATCTATAATCAATCAGTCCAAATCTGATCAGAACAACAGCAGAGAGTGACGCCTGATCTGGTTCAATCCCAGACTGAGCATCCTGACGGTCCGACAGCAGCTGAGACGCTCACCCAGACTGCAGCCTGGCCAACACACAAACACACAAACACACCAACACACAAGTACACAAGTACACAAACACACAAACACACAAGTACACAAACACACAAACACACAAGTACACAAACACACCAACACACCAACACAGCTAAACCAACAGAGAAGCAGTCCGGCTGTTTTAAGGGGGAGCCTCCATCAGCTCCTCCACCATCATCAGCACCTCCTCAGGGTGGGTCTGAATCACCTCCCCTCCCCCCTCTCCATCCTCTCTATGTGCTCATTACCTTAATTGATGTTTAACCCGTCGAATCAGCAGCTGATGATGACGGCTCAATTAGGAGCTCTCTGGAGGACGGGGATTAGTCCAGTGTAAGTAAGGCGGTTTGTTGTCCTGCAGCCTCGGCTCCTCTGGACCCTGATCCTTCGGTCCAGCTCTGAGGGTCAAAACAGGGGGGACACGTTGGTAAATAGTTTCAAACTAAAGGACACAAACAAAGTACACCTGAGTGTCTTTATGTCTTTATAATTAGAGATGCACCGATCCGTTTTTTTCTGATCCTATCCAATACGATATCTGGGCTGAGCGTATCGGCCGACATCTGATACCGATCCAATACTACTGTTGAATGAATGAACTGTTTACCTGTGAGTGAAGGCATCAGGGTAACAAATCAACACAGATATAAATTTACTTTATTATTTATCAACAAATAACAAATTTCACAAAAAAAACTTAGACTTCCATGTAAACCAGAAGACTTTCACCGGTACAGACTCTCGCCTCAGAGGCTCAAATCAACGAGTTTTTGCTGTTAATGTAAAGAACTAAATTAGCAATAATTCTCATGACATTCACCAAGATCAGGGTCTTGGTCTTCAAACTCAACTCTATCTAAAGGTACAGTACGTAGAAACAGGAACACATGGAAATAACCAGCTGTCAGATTCTAGCTCCCTCGCTCACTTCATCCTGTCAGAGAGATGACGGTGGCCTGTGAGGGACAAGAAGCTCCTGTGGTGCAGAATATTTGATCCTCTGTTCATGACATTCGTTTGTTTTGTTCAGCTGTAGAAACACAGAAATCTCTAATAATCGGATTATCGTTTCAGGATATTTGTAAGTTTATTTAGACTCTTTAAAAAACGTCATATTTTGGTTCGGTGTTTTCAGGAAGGTCAGACTTTACTGAGTAAAAACATGATAAGACAAAACGAGTCTCAGAGATATGTGATACAGCAGCAGGAAGCAGCGCCAAACCCAGAGACATGTCTGGGATGTCGTTTCGAGCAGCTCCTCCACGTGGACCGGGCCGATTATCGACGTGTAATAGAGCAGCTTCTCCGCTCTGAAAACCCGGCTCAGAAATGGGCAGAGAGCTTCACCGCCCATCGACTGGACAGGATGGAGGCTCTGACTCGGTTTTATTCTTCGAGTGTTTCCAGCTGCTGCGCAGATAAAAGCTGCTGAATTACAGCGGAGAGGAGCGAGTTCACGCTCAGAAATACAAGAATCTAAAACTCTGAAGGGACAAACTCACAGATTAACAACACGGTTACCTTATCGGTGAACATGTCAGAGAAATAAAACAACTACGACTCAACAAAAGCAAAAACAAGAAACAGGAAATACTTTTTAAAAATCACTGAATTCATGGATATTTGAATAAACCGTATAAACATGAACATCATCAGCGTATAAAGTAAAACAGGGTTCCTACACAGTTGGGATTTCCAGACTTTTCCATATCCGACTTTCAGAATTATTTTTGCAAACACTGACTTTTCTATTTTAGAAAACAGTGTTTTTTTACTCTGGTAATAGTCTGGAAACATACATATTTTTCCATACTTTATTTTTCATTTTCCGTACTTTTTAAAACCTGAAAATTGATCAAATTTATTTCCATACTTTCGTAGGAACCCTGGAGATAAAACATTCGTCCCTTTAAAGCTTCTTCTGGTTCCTGTTTTACTTTAATATAATTTACCTTTAAACACAAACATCATCGGCGTATAAAGAAATAAGACATCCGTCCCTTTAAAGCTTCTCGTGCCGATGGTTCCTGTTGTACTTTGAGTGAATCTTTGCAACAGCGGGTTGTGAGTCATGTGACATTTGTTGACGGCGTGGATTTGCTGTGAGAGAAAGCGAATCCAAAGCTGTAACAAGCTGAACTTTTTCACTCGTGTTCTGGCCAAAGAAAACAAACAGTGGGTGTGATGAGCAGCACCAGGAGAGACGAATCTCGCCCGGTCTGGTTCCTCCACCCTGCGTGGTGCTTTTCTGGCTGCAAGCACAGGAGGGAGGCCATTTTGAAATCGCAGTAGGGGGAGAGTGGATTGCGAGGTGAGGCGTGCTGCCGCTACTTCCCACATTAAGTGGCTGATGGTCTCCTCTTTGTACAAAAACACCTTTGGCTTTAAGTTCCATTAGCGGAGAGGCAGTGAGGACATTTCTTTGCCTCTCTCAGAGTGCTGGGGTAAAGCGCTGCCCTGCCATGATTGAATCATAGCCATAATAGCAGAAGGCAGAGGCCTGCTGCGTCGCTGAGTTCTTCCTGTTCTCCTCGCTCAGCGTGGGAACAGCAGCGGACAAAATCTGCCCTGGAATCAGCACACAAAAGAGGCCATGAAAGCAACACAAGCAGAGCAGGTAGTAATTGCTCCTTTCTGCTGAAACGCTCTGTTTAAAAAAGGAGCACGACTCGTGGTGCGAGGCTTTTCAGCCCGACGGCAGTGACGGGGGCATGCTCTGCTGACCCGGCTTACAAGGAGATATTTCCGCCCGGTGCACGGGTCAGCTGCAGGCGAGCACGCTGAAAACACATGTCCTCCAGGGCTAAAAAAGGTAAACAGCCAAATCAATGAGGTGGCAGGACACTCGGCCTCCACAACAGGATGCTGCAGTCGCTCCGCCGCTCACCCCTGTCGCGCTCTAAAACTCGCCAGGTTACCTCCTTATTTTGGGCCCCGCCGGAGTATAAAACAAGCTGTTAACATCCACGCTTTATCGATGTCATATTCTGCTCTCGCTGAGTAACACAGCCGCAGCTTCAGCTGTGATTTAAATCCATCAATTCTCGGCCCGGCCAACAAACGTATTGATTAGTGAAAATCAGACTCCGGTTAAAATTACAGCGCACGCCAAAGTCCTGGCTCGCCCTGTCAGGGTCTGAGGATGTGAGCTGATGGAGGGCTCAGTGAATCTGTCAGGGGGGGTTTACGCCGCTGCTCCGGAGCTCTTCGCTGTAACTCAGACGCTCGGCTCGGACTTTTTACTGCTCTCCAAAGATCCGGCGATAACTCGACTGTGACGGCGTTATATTTACGGAGGAGGTTTGTTGTGTTTATCGTGCTCTCTCTACTGTAAAGAGACACAGAATTAATAAACTGTCACATCTTTATGGTTTATTATAAGGTTTTATCTTTATGATGGAATTTAACGTTGTCTTTTATGGTTAAAGGTGTTCCACAGGGATCACATCTGGGTCCTCTTTCATTTACAGTCTACATGAAGAACATAACCTCCAGGATTTCTGACCTCAGTATCTTTATGAAGACGACTCTCTTCTGTTTTGTTCAGATTATTTTGTACATTTTGCTAATAAGAGTAATTTGTTTTATCTTCAGAATTCATGAATTTAATTTAATTTAATTTAATTTAAAGTTAACCGTTTAAGGGTCGGTAATATTGAGTTAAACAGTCTGAAGGCAGTGGGGACGCACAGTATTAAAACACTAATATTTCTTCTGTAGGGATTTAAATGAATTAATGTCAGATAAATAAAGTGTTTTAAGTTCTAAATCACCTCTTTCACTTATATCTAACTTTGTCTAGCAGCCCTGACATCTGGGATGATAAACAGAGAAACAAGAGGAGGAGAAAAAACAGGTGCAGCGATAAATTACTGAATAAACTTGACTAATAACTACAGTGGACTTATTAAGACCTGATCAATAATCTTTCAGCTGTCTAACACTTTCAAAATCAGCCTCCAGTTTTATTATTCCCAACAATCAATCAGTGGATCTATGATCTGTCAAAATATTCATCCTAAAAATAACACAAAGGTTGGAGTCACGGCTGAAACGATTCCTCCTGCAGTGCTGCTAACCGAGCGACTCTGCACACTCCTCTTCACGTTAGCTTGTAGCCTAACATCGCTGGTGAAGCAGGTAACGTCGGAGTTATTCAGCTCTGAGACACTGACGTCTTTAGGGACACGATGAAAGTTAATGTCATAATTAGCTTTCTTACGAGAATTGCAATCCGCTAACGCACACATTTGTTCTGTGACTGTCCTCTAGTCCTCAGAGTCTGACCTTCGTTGCGGGGTTATAGGAAATCTAACTTTATGTGAGTCTGACGTTTGGGTCCAAGTACTCGAGTAATCAGTAGAATATTTGGTGAAATACTCGATTACTTAAATATTCGATAGCTGCAGCTCGAGTTTGAACATATTTGAATATCTCGCTCACACAGCGTGTATAATCACTTTATCTCGCTTAGCATTTTTTCCATCTACTGTGTCCGCCCAAAATCCAAAGAATTTCCAAACAGAGCTTCTGGGGTTCATTTGGGGTCCAGACCACTCTCTTCAAATTTGGCGCCGAACATCCCGCCATCTCTCTCTGCATGTGAGACGGACGGTTTTGGCGAGTCTCACTGCAGGTGCAGCTCCTGTGATCTGTCGTTACAGTGCGCTCACTCACAAAGCAGACGCTGTTTTTTCTGTTTTTTCCCATTTAGTTTTTTCCTGCTGTTTATCTAATATTCTAATATTAATTTTTGTTTTTTTATATTCAAATATTTGAATTTAGAATATTCATCCACAGTCCTAGAGCTCACACGCTCATGATCTAACAGCCTCTCTCTTTGTGAGAATTTGGTCCCTTTGCTTTTCAGGCACACGCAGAAATACACGCCTGCAGCCTCCTCCTGCTCCTTCTCCTCCTCCTCCTGCTCCTTCTCCTCCTCCTGCTCCTCTGTTTTTATGATGTGGAGAGTCATAACCCTCCGATTAATCGTCTCGCTCTATCTTTGAACGCTGGACACCTCAGTGATCTTTGTTTTTTAAATAAAGGTTAATAATGAAAAACTTTCTTCACTGTTGCTTAACTTTGTAAACTTTTATTTTGTGTTTTTTTTCCCATATTTTTGTCAAGTTTCGCTTCATCAAACAACCACCTGGTATCAAACTTCATTATCGACACATTATTCCCAATCATCTCCGTGGAGACCTGGACCTCGGCCTCACAGAAAGTTTGAAGGTCTGATCAGTTAATGAGCGTTTTATTTCCGAGGGACTTCAGCAGGAAAATGAGAAACTCAGCGTGTTAAGAGGAAACTGCTGTCTGACCTCTGTGGGGATGATAGATGTCCGAACACAGCAGACCTGAGAGTGAACTTGGACACAGCTGCGCACTTACTCAGTCCCTCCATCACGCCTCTGACAGACAGACTCTGACTCGCTCTGTAGCGTCTGAGAGCTCGCCGCCTGTGCTCGCAGTTCAGCAGGAGAGGATGATTGTTCTTCCTCTAAATGAACAGAAGTACGGAGGGAGAGGAGGAGGAGGAGGAGGAGGAGGAGGAGGAGGCGTTTTTTTCCCCTCTCTGCTGTGTTTTGACTGATTCCAGCTGAGCACATGATGCAGCACATGGCCGAGGAAACCAAAAGCCACAGTTTCCACACCAACTCTGACTCTGGATGTTTGTGGGAATTAATTCTGGGATTATTTTCCTGGGAAAAACTGTCTCCTTAGGTTTGGGTCCCGGCGCGGAGCTTTACTCGGCCGATGAGAGCGGTGAGCAGCTTCGCCTGCAGTCACGGTTCTCAGGGACACAAAAGCCCATTACTGGAGCTGAGCCCATGAGTTATCAGCAGCTTAAAGCCCTTTTCACCCGACAAGTCCTGCTACAATATTTGGTCCAATTTGTGGATTGTGTTGCTGTGTGAGTACATGAGTCAAAGATGAGAAGACTCTGCTGTATGAAAGGAACAGAAGAAGAAGAAGAAGAGACGCGCCGATCCGACCTTAAACTGGAGAGCACAAACGGAGGCTCGGCGCTCAGAAACGCCATGACGACTGTACGCACCAGGTGTCAGAGTTTACACCGCGTTAGTTTAATGTTTTCATATTTATTACAGACTTAATCACGGAGCCTGACTGCTGTGAAATCTCTCAGATCATAATTGATCAGTGATCAAACTTCAGATCTCGTCTGCGCTGATTTTTACTCTTACGCTGTCAAACTGATCAGACCGGTGTCAATCCGATCGATTCGCTCCAGATTAGGAATGACAGCTGATCAGATTATATTGATGACAACACCAGTTCATTGATCCAGTTTTCCTCCATCAATTCCTGTGGATTTTCTGATCGGGAATAAGCAGACTCAGCTTCTGATTGGTCGACTGACCAGAACAAGGATGGCGGTCTCTGATTAGTGCAGCAGGAATGAAACTGTATCACTCAGATGAATACATAGATCCATACAAATGGACCAATTAAGGTGTCAGCCAATCAACAGCCTCCTGACAGGATGGACCCTCACAGACCGATGTAACCGTCATCTTCTCTGAGTTCAAACAGATTTTCTCCAAATGACAGAACATCAAATCTAAAACAGATTCAGATGCAGATTCTCCAGACTGCAGCCAGGATGTCTAAAATAACGCAGTTTAGTTTTATTCAATCAACCTTTATTCAAAAAGCATCAGTTAACACTCTCTACAACATGAGCGGACCACCGTCTTCATATTTACAAAGACCTGATGCACAGATGGGATCAGACCCACTTTGATCTGATTTTTATCCAACACTTTACATCATTTAGAGAGTTACAGCGGAGAGGAGGAACTTCCTTTAACAGGCAGAAACCTCGAGCAGAACCAGACTGATGTTAGACAGACATCTGCTGAGAGTGAGAGGAGAGAGAGAGAGAGAGAGAGAGAGAGACTATACATGACTTTATAAACTCAATCTGGGCTGAAAACTCTGATCTTCAACACTGTGGAAGTTTAACAGAAGGTCACGGCAGAGAGAGTTTGGGAAACACCAAACAGAGAGAGAGAGAGAGAGAGAGAGAAATCAGAGCGAGGTCAGCTGTTTCATGAACTTTCTTTCACCTGAAATCACCTTCACTGAACGATCATCTGGAATCTGGAAGAACTGGGCTGATGGAGATGATGAGAGTTGGCCTGAGTGTGTGTGTGTGTGTGTGTGTGTGTGTGTGTGTGTGTGTGTGTGTGTGTGTGTGTGTGTGTGTGTGTGTGTGTGAACGCCTGGTTGTGATGAAGCTGGTCTCTCTGATGAAGATCTCCGTGTTTCTCCATGTTCATGTTTCAGTCTGAAGACGAGCAGAGGGACGGAGGAAGTGAAAGACTTGATGTTGGCAAGTTTCTCTCTGGCTCAGATTTCACTTCAGACCTCCAGTTTGTTCTTCTTTCACTCTTGACTCGGAGTTTGTTCATTCCTCTGTGAATATTTACAGTTTTGGGTGTTTGTCTCTTTTTTAATTTGAGAGCAAATCTGCGGCACACATTTGACTTTAAGGGTTTGTTTTATGAGCTCGAACCCTGCCAAGAATGACACCACCCTGTTTACTGGCCCTGTTTACTCCTCCGCCTCTTTACTACCTGTTTCACTGGGACAAACACTCGTCTGTAGCTGCCAGAGACTCCGAGTGAAACCTGCTCTTTCAGCAGCAGCAGCCTCTCTGGATTCTCTCCCTGGAGACGCTGTGACACCTTTTTGGCAACCTGGACTTTACCTGCAGGCTGCGCTGCTGAAAAACTCATCAGTCCATGTTGCAGAGGATCCCTCTGCTGCACTAGATAATGATGTAATAGATAACCTGCCACCTGACACTGGAGACTCCTCTCCAGAGACTGATTCTCATTGTCTTCCTGCCCTCTAATCCCAGCCAGCTGCCTCTGAAATCCCGCAAAAGCTGAGAGAAGAGGACATTCATCACTCCAGAATAATCTCACCCACAACTTGACATGAGTCTGATTCGGCTTTATTGATGCCATCATTACAGAGCCGCTGCTTCCACCACTAAAATGGTTTCCGGGTTTGAGGAGGAAATTAGAAGTTTGATGGCACTCTCTCTCCCGGGAGAGAAGCAATTACGCACAGCAATGAGAGCACAATAGTCGGAAATGGGCTCATGAAAGAGACATCAGATGATTCTACAGACACAAGCGCTTAAAGGAGATGAGGAGAAAACAGCCGAGATGGTTTTTTAATAAAAGGAACAGCATCTCAGCAGTCAGTACAGACCCTCTGAAGCGGAAACATCGCTCTCCTCCTCCTCCTCCTCCTCTCTCTTTATCTGCCCACCTCTCTCTCTCTCTCTCTCTCTCTCAAACCTGTCATTTAATAAACCAAATTGATGGAGCGATAAAAGTTGCCAATAAAGCAGGCGTGCTCTTCTCACAGATGAAATCCATTTGCAGAAATGAAGAGAAATCGCGTCAAAAAGCAGCCTGACACTCGTCGTAAATCGCTGCTGACAGCTCCTAATGGAGTGTTATTACTGTTGCGCACGACGCACCACAGACACGCCGGTGCGGGTGTTATTTACAGGAGGGTGTGCGGGAGAGACACGCACAAAGAAAGAGAGGGAAGCTGTGACTGCAGATGTTCACTCCAAACTAAGAGAAGCACCGAGTGTCCTTGACTGTCCACACTGAGGGAGGATGAGGTTTTTCCACCTCCACGGTGCTCAGCCTCCTCAGAGTTCCCACAGAACCACAACACCGAGCCGGTTATCAGGAGACAACTCCGAGCAAAAGCTGCAAAAATCCAAACAACAACAGACTCCACACACACACAGACACACACAAGTGTCACAAGTCCCCAAAACACGCGGAGACACAGAGAGAGAGGGAGACAGAGAGGGAGAAATGTGTCAAAAAGCAGCGAAGAGTGACTTACCCGAGCGGAGTATCCACATCTGTTAGAGGAAGAGGTTCGAGAGGCTCACTTAGACCCGGTCAGAGCCCGAACACGGTTCCTCCGGAGCCGCTCTGAAAGTCTGCACCGAGCTCGGTGGGCTACCAATTAAAAAATTCTCCCTCCTTGATGTTCGAGGTAACTATTTAGTTAGAGCAAATGGAGCCTAATCTATCCTGTGGCATTGCTTTATGAGTGACAGGCGAGCGGCCAATCAGCGTGAGCCGTCCGCGCCGACTCGACCAATCAGAGCTTCCGCGCCGAGTTGGTGGAAGGTGAGCCGTGAAGTAGGAAGGGCTGATGGCGACATCATGTGTTAAGAGTTGATATCCCTCCGCCTGGTCATGTTTGAGAGCAGTTGACTGTTTTGGAATAGGGGAGAGTGGGAGAAGATGAACCAGTTTTCATATTTCAGATCAGTCCATCAAGTCAGTCCCAGTTTAGTCTCTAACTAAATATTAGTATTTCAGGATGTTGTTCATCCATGAAAACCAACAGAATGAGTGTAAACAGAACTGTCATCTTCAGAATAAAGCAGGACAAAAGAGTGTATGGGGTAAGTTGACCATAGGAGCAGGGTAATTTAAGACCCTCCTTTTTAGCTTTTAATTGATATGTATTTGTTTTGTCTTCATTTATTCTAGTTAGCCTTGGTTTATTTTAGGTCTGTGTTTTAGTTTTCACTTGTTTTGATCCTTTTATCATTTTTAGGACCCCCAGTGTTTCCTCTGAAGGAACCCTTGGCACCGGGAGCAGTGGTCGCTGGTGGTTGCAGGGGCCGGTCACAGGGTTCCTGGTGGAGGTTAATGTCTGACACATCCCTCCACTGGCCCTGTGTCGGTGTCCTGTGGCTGTGGGGGATAGGATTTTGGGACTTTCCGGGGTGGAAAAAGACGCATCCCGGGTAAGACTTTTCCCGGGGATAGTCCCGCCTCCTTCGCCTCTGATTGGCTGGAAAAGCTGGAAAATGTCAGCACTTAAAGCCAATCAGAGGCGATAAGATAAGCACATGAAACTATAGTAACAACCGTTAGCTTACGTTAGCACAGATGAAAGTTCAAACAAAGACGTTTATCAAACTGTTAAAGCTCACAAACCATCGTCAGATGAGAAATCCGACACTATGACTCTCCACAAGTCGTCCTTCAGGCTGTTATCTTTGTAATGTTTGTGTTTTTATCAAAAATCACTCTGTTCTCCGACACGTAAACAATCAGCCGGTCAGCCATGTTGGATATACCAGTGAATCTGACGTCTCAACAACACGAAATCTGATTGGTCAGAAATGGACACACAGTATGAGAAACTTTAGAAAAATCGACCGTGATCCAAAAAAATAAATGTCGCAATATCGCAGGACGGGAAAACGTCGCTGATGTGAACGCTTGTACTGACAGGGTACGGGTTCGAAAAAAAAATGACGTCCGAAATAATCGCACGACAAAAACGGTCCCGTGTGAAAGGACCTTTCTCATACTCCAATTTTGTAGACATCCTGCAGGGGGAGACACAAGGGCTTGTCTGTGGGGCAGGCAGGCGGCAGGACAGCATCAAGAGCCTCCACTGCCCCCCCAGTCCTCCCTCACCTTCTCTCTCCCTAAATAACAGTCACTTCTTCACATTCATGAGTATTTTTATCTATTTTACTCTATTCGACTGGTAAAATCATTCTTTTTATTATTATTACATATTAAAAACATTTGAAGATGAGAATGTCTTTAAGTGATTGAGAACATTCACAGATCTGTATTTTAGAAAAGAAAAAGTTTCAACAATCTGAAGGTAAACTCTGATCCTCTCATCAGACTCCTTTACTTTCTCTGCTCCCCCTGAACTACTATGATGACTTTATTAGTCCTCTGAAATAAAATGGTGGACTTTTAGGTTTTTGACATCATGTTGGAGCTCATAGAGACCACAGTTGATGAATAAAACTAATTTAAAATTATCTTTTTTTGGTCTGAACACAATTCTAATCCAACTGACGACTAAAGACTAAATTCACTTTACAGAGTGAAGAAAAATGTTGTTTTTTGTAAATAAATATCTAACCCCTTCACCCATGTGCTTCGAACCTTCACTGACTCCTATTGATGACCATCTCCTAAATATTTGGTCACATGATCAATTTCTTTAACCATTTCTAAGTAACAGGGGGTGGATCAACTTACCCCACTCTCCCCTATTCACCAGGCTCAGTTCTTGCTTAATTTACAGAAGTGTGTGGAAACATCTGTGATCAATTTTACTCTTAATCTGCGACAAACTCTCGGTGAAAACATTTACAATAACAATAAAAGTGAAAAACCTCAAACTCAGACCTAACAAAGACATTTAAGTTGTAGGAGGGTGGATAATACAGTCTTTAACACTGTCTGTGTTTTCGTTTGTGATTTTTTAAAGTATAAAATAAAATATTATGTCAGTTTTCTTCATCTTTAATTTTTTTCCGTAAGTCTCCTTTCAAACGAGTGATAACGCGTGATTTTCAGGCGCACTACTTCGCCCGCTCACGGCGGAGGAACACTGTGTTTACAGTTGAGTGTAAGAGTGACGTACGGTGACAGATCCAGTCAGTGTGGCGCGTGAGGCACGTTAGTAACACATGTTCAGATATTGACTTTCCCACGAGCGCTCGCTGTGCGTTCTTAAATGAAGGCAGAGCGCGAGGGCGTTCGTTCGTTCTTTTAAACACTTTTTTTTTCACTCGCTCTAGAACGTGCGTGAACCTACGTCATGTTGCGTCAGTGTGAAGTAAACGGTTTGGCTGAGATTTTTAAAGGAGAAGAGAGAGGGGTTCGGTTCGGTTCGGACCGGAGAGAGAGAGAGAGAGAGAGACAGAGAGGGGGGTTCGGACATGAAAGGAGTGGAGAAAGTTGGAGAGTTCATAACTGACGAATTTAAACTCTCTTTAAAATCTGATCATCAGTAATTATGATATAATGATTATGTGTCGTAGATTAAAAATGAATGAGATCACATCGATAAGAAAGATAAACAATGAGGTGAAATAAACGAAAATGAAGGAGGTAAAATAGTTTTAACTTTGAAAACATGATCTTTCTGAAGTCAGTTTATGTTTACTTAAAGCTACAGTAGGGAACTTTTTTACATTTATAAAATAGGCCAATTTTTATATTGGCACTCATCTATGACATATAAAAATGATAAGCATTAAGGTCCTTTCACACCGGGAGCGTTTTTTTTTTTTCGTGCCATTATTTCGGACGTCAATATTTTTTATCCTGTCAATACAAGCGTTCACATCAGTGACGTTTTCCCGTCCTGCGATATTGTGACATTTATTTTTTCGGATCACGGTCGATTTTTCTAAAGTTTCACAGACTGTGTGTCCACTTCTGACCAATCAGACGCGCTTGATGTGTATAGTCAGGCACGTCAAAATTCGCCTCTGAATATTTTGTAATTTCATAATGTCATATATTTGCGTTGTTCCCGCTGTGTAAAGACCTTCAGACTGGCAGATCTCATATTGTAATTTTTGGTACCTTTAACCAGTGTGAAGGGTTAGGTGTCAGGGAGCAGGAGTGTTGGGCGGTACGAACACAATCTTATATCACCGTATGAGTAATTTCATATCACAGTAACTGTATATATGACGTACGTTTTTTCCCCACACGGTATATACCATCATACCGCCAAACTCTAGGGAGCAGCTACAGAAAAAAAACCCTGTTTTTACCATTTCCATATAAAACAGTCACAAAAAATGTATGTAAGGCTTCATAAACAACAGCAGGGTGGGATTTTTAAATCAGAAGACACTATCTAAGCTTGTAATGACAAAATAAGACAGGAGTGCTTTGTCCACAGGAGGGCGCCAAAGTTGCTCACAGGGGAAAAGTTCCTCACAGGAGCTTTAATGTAACAAAAATATCAAACTGGGCTGCTGCATTGTTGAAGTTCAGTAGCATTTATTAACCTGCTAATACTGATTTAATAAAAAGGTAAAGAAAGAAAACTGCTAAAAAAGAGAATTTTTAAACGCTGCTTGTGAAATAGTAAAACTTTTTTAAACATTTGCCCTCTTAATCTACCTGGTTTCTCAAAGATTTTACAGGAGTGCTCTCTCTCTCTCTCTCTCTCTCTCTCTCTCTCTCTCTCTCTCTCTCTCTCTCTCTCTCTCTCTCTCTCTCTCTCTCTCTCTCTCTCTCTCTCTCTCTCTCTCTCTCTCTCTCTCTCTCTCTCTCTCTCTCTCTCTCTCTCTCTCTCTCTCTCTCTCTCTCCTTCTCTCTCTCTCTCTACTGTGCCCTCAGTTTCCCATCCAATAAATAAAACATGATAAAGCTTCACTGTTGGTAAGCTGGCCTGATTATATTCTCGCTTTGTTACATACTGTAAAACTACAACCACTCACCTACGCTTGGTGAACCGGTCCTGCCTCTATTTGGGTCAGAACTTTAAATGTTTTCTTTAATGATGAGTAAAAATCTTAAAATAATATGACTGAGACCCTCGTTACACACTTCTCTCAAACAGTCTGATGCCACGGCTGTATGAGACTCTGACATCAGGAGGACCACAGTGTAAATCTGAACAAACCGCCATCTGAAGTGGATAACGGGTCAAAATCTGTCTGTCCTGTAAAGTCTGAGTGAATACAGGAATGATGGTTAATGAAGAGAGCTAAATCAACAGGTAAGAGCAGCAGGAGTGGTTTGGACAGTGAAGCACAGAGGGGGAGCAACACAGAGAGATTACACCGTGTTTTCTGCTTTACATAAGAGGATTAAACCGCGGTTTTCAGAGGAGAAACGCTGCAGTCTGATGGACGTCCCGCTGTCTTCCTCTCACGCCGTCCCGCTCGTACAGCTGGTCCTCCAGCGCTCAGCCTCTCGGCCCCGGGGTCAGGGAAATGCCACGGGAAAAATGTCAACAAACAGCCCGTCCAGAGAGAAAAAAAAGCACAGGAAACAGAGTCCATGTCTGCGGCGCCAAACTCAGACCTTCCTCCTGTTTGAGTCACGACTAAACGACTTTAACGGAGTCATTTTACATCAAAATAAAGAGTTTTGTTTGCTTAAAAAAGGGTCACTCAGCATCTAAACTGCAGTTTGGCGCCCCCTGTAGGAGCAGGCCTGGATCAATTGGCAGAAAGTCACAGAGTGTAAGACTTTCTTAAAGCATCATTAATTTAACAGGCTGGAGTGACACTTTCACTCTGTAACAATAGAAAAAACAGAGATGACAGTCGATGTAGGAAGAAGAAAAACTGTTTTAGATCAGATTTAGGATTTTTTTATGCCGAGAGAGAGGAACACTAGAGCGTGTAACTATAGACTGTAAATATACAATTAAACCAGATCCAACATGGCACATGCACCGCTGAACTTCAACACCTGAGGCTTTAAAATGAGTCTGAGTGACGCCCCGGTCTTTTTCTATCGTCTCTCAAAACCAAACCACTGAAAACCATGTAGTTCATATGCCAAGCCAGTAAGTGGCGCTGTAATGCCGCACAGGAAATGCACCAAAGACAGAAGAAGAGTTCAGAGCATGTGTAGATAGGTTGTTAAAAGAGTTCCTCTGTGTGTCACATGATCGTTTCAAGAGATGCAGATAGACATCCACACGGAGATGAAATGGTCGTCGTTTACAGATTTATTCACTCTCTGACCCGTTTACAGTCACCTGAAACACCGTTTCTGATTCGACAAAAAACTTAAGCGTTTCCTCCTGATTTCGTTTCCGTGGTGACGGGATGATACCGCCTTCAGACAGACGTCGCAGCGGGGAGTGGTTTACTCTTCATTTCAAACTGTGAAGTCGTACCAATTCAACACGACTGACTCGCTCTTGTCCGATTTAACCACGAAATTATCGCCTTCTTTTGTGAACGCCATGTTTGTTTACACTGGTGTGTGTGGTAGGAGGAGCCTACGGTGGCCTGGAGGTACGAGACATGATAGAGAGGAAAATCGATTTGAGGATTTTAATTTTTTTAACATCGTCATAATCAAATAATCCGATTAATGGTGCGGACCTCAACAATCCCCGAACCAGGAGACTGAAGGAAGAAGAAAACTTCATTATATTCTATAAAATCACATATACTAAATATCCTGACAATAACCTCACCGTCTCCAAACTCAGTCTTTCAGTTTTGTTAAACACCATGATGATATTTTTTATTACTGGCGCTCTGATGTTCATCCTGCAGCTCTGGGAGATCAACAGGCTCAGCTGGTCATATTTAGCCGAGGGTTTGCAGCTCCAAACAGGAACCTAATAACCCCGCCGTTGTCTTCCAGCCTGTTTATTCAGCTCCCAACGCTCTGGAAGACTGCTAATGTGTCCAGGAGGGCAGGAGGTCACCGCGGCTGGAGAGCGCCAAGAAGATGTGTCTGCGTTATGTAATCAAAGAGATGCATGTTTGAAACAGCTTCATGTTTGAGCGATGATGCCCGATAACTAACCTGAGACAGTGACGGAGGCTTCTGTTAAACACGTTGGTCATGTCGCTGAGGTGGACGCTGATTCAAAAGGGAGAAAGACATAGAAAGTATAGAAGCTGTCCCATGTGGAATCTGACAGATCTATGATGGAGAAAATGATAAAGACCGTAACTGTCGTCCAGCAGGTGGGTTGATTTTACGGCCGTCAGGATGAGAGTGCACAGCGCAGCTCTGAGCAGCAGATAATGACAGTTCAAGGAGTCAGGGGGGTCCAATCTAAGACCACCAACCTCAAATCTGACCCTGCCGACTGTAAGAACGGGATATAATTTCAGTGTTGGGCGGTATGACGGTATAAACCGTGTGACGGTATAAAAGTGTAGAAATGTTGCTCTACCGTTTATACCGGAGAGAGAGACAGAGAGAGAGAGAGAGAGAGAGCAGACGTCTGCTGCGTCAGTGTGGAGTCGTCTGCGCTCGCCAACAAGAAAGCCGGAGTGCGTCCGTTTGGGTGCGTTCCCTATAATCACCAGCGTGTCCAGCAGACGGCTTGGCAAAGTTTCAACGAAGAAGAAACAGCTTCACTGTTGGTGGTCATGGCGGACGTAGAGATTAGTGGAAGTACCGAGCAAACGAAGGAGGCTCGACCAACCCGACACGAGGAAGAGGAGGAGGAACTCGTTCAGAAAAAGGGTGCGAGTCGAGACATCGGTGTTCTGGAGATTCTTCAGATTTGGAAAATCCAACAACGATCAAAAAACAGAACTATCAGAGAGTGTGGTGTGTCTGTCGTTGGTGGAGGAGGAAACACCAACAACCTCTTCCTCCACCTAAAGATGAAACACGCCGAACTCTACGATGAGAGTCTAAAGACGCGTGACGAACCTGCTGCACCAGAAACTGAACCTGCAGCAGCTCCTCTCAGACTAAAGAGCTTTCAGAGTCTTTGACCAAAGAGACGATCAAAAATCAGCAGACTGGACTGAACTTTAGTTTGTAGAAAAATCAGAGTTTCAAAATAAAAGGAAAATGAACAAATGAGACAGTTTGGATATTTTTAAGACATGAATTAAATTAACAGGATGGAAAAACATACGGTCACACAGACCGTTACTGTGATATGAAATTACTCAGACTGTGATATAAGATTTTGTTCGTACCGTCCAACACTCTTTAATTTAATCCAAAATAAAAGCATGCAGACGGAGGACACTGATGTAGTCCTCCGTCTCTTCAGGAGACAAAGTCCTGATCTGAAACCAAACACACACGTGCTGCTGCTGCTCGTCCAGATCTGCAGCTCATTCATTCGCTCTAAGCCTCGTCCCAGGAGGAGTCCCTGCTGGTGGTTCACATGAGGTCCGCCTGTTCTCACTATCTGGTCTGAGTGCGAGTCCAGCTGTGAGATTACTGTTTTCATCTGAGAGCCGTTCGGCCTCCTGACCCAAACATCACGCCCTGAGTCTCTGAAACACGATGATCCAGCTTCAGCTTTGACCGTCTGCTGCTGTTTTATTTTATTTTAACTTTAATTTGATTTAAAACAATCAGCAGAAAAGAGACTCTCAGCTCCACAGTCTCCATCTGAAGTCCTGCAGATATCCTCCTAAAACTAAACTGAACATCTGCATCTCTAAACCCTGTCTGGTCTTTCCTCTGTCACTTGTTTTCTGTGTGATTTTCCGTCCTCTCTTATCTTCCCTCCTTTCTCTGCCTTCATTATCTGTCTTTATCTTCTGTCCATGTCACCTCTCACTTTTCCTTTTCCTCTCCTTATCTTTGTCCCTCTCTTATCTCTGCAGACTAATCCTTCCCTGTCCCTGTCTTCTTTAGTTTCTGTCTCTGTCGTCATTCAGCCTCGTAAACTCCTCTTTGTCTCAACAACAACATCACCATCTGTGTTTTTAAATCCCTCTAATGTTTGGTCAAAGTTAAACAGGATTGTGAGAGATGTTTAATATTCAGTGTTTTTTTTAGATCTACCGGTCGAACTTAAACTCTCACTTTTGTTAGCGTCCTCCTAAAATGACAAATATGAGGAATACTCTACCTGCTCCTCACTCTATTTATAATACTGAAATAATTAAAACTAAATTGTTCAGCAGGTTTGTGAGAAAAATCAGTCAAGTTAAAGGGATATTCCGACGTAAATTTAATTTAGAGTCAAACCCACCGTAACACCGAGTCAGACCCCCCTCCAGAGATGAATGTTGTCGACCGCTTGCTTCTCTAGTTATACCAACTTTAGTAACGACCGCAGGATAGAAATACAGAGAGACACGCCCCCAACCAAAACGCCACTCTATAGCCACAAATAATGCTCAGAACAGCACCTAACTTCATCAACAGGACATATAGGGTCACAGACATAGTACTAGACACCAAACATCTTTTTAACTTTGACTAAGAGACTAAACACAACTCACCTACTCTCTTCCAGCAGACGCTTGTTTGTGGGGGGAGCCCTGACGAGTCGAAACGTCAGCAGGATTCCGACAATTTTCCGAACTTTCTGGTTGGTTTCTACTGTCCGATATTGTAGCACGCTAACTTTGTTTGGGCTCCTGAACGACACGGGGGAGCAGCGTCTGCCTCACAACCAATCAGGTTAGAGGAGGTGGAGAACGGCTTTGTTTACAGTCAGAAAGAGCGGACCGCTCAAAAATGTTCAAATGTTGACGACACAGACAGAAGAGAACACAGAGATATCGATATATTACCAAATGTCATCAATAACTAATAACTATTGACTGATATTAGAAGAGTTTTTGTTTATAAAACACAAAATAAAAAGATGCTTCTTTAACAGACTCCTACCTTCCTCACCTTTAACTAAAACATGTAAAGTCACATCAGAAAAACTCTCTTTTATTTTTCTTTATGTTTCAGACGAAGAGTTTCCTCTTTTGACACCAAAGTTTTCTCAGTGACAGAGTTTGAGACGGTGGATCTGCAGCTTCCTCCTCTATGGTCTGAGTTTGAGTCTGAATGTATCTGTGGAGCAGCTTTAAAGCAGCAGATTTACATAATCGCTGCTGGTTTGATTACATTACTTTGTCTTTATTAACGGTGGAGACGCTCGCAGCAGGTGTGTAATTAACACTCAGGTGGTTTTTACTTGATCCATCCTGACCCCTTCTCTTCTATCTCCCTCCCTCTGTGTGTGTGTGTGTGTGTGTGTGTGTGTGTGTGTGTGTGTGTGTGTGTGTGTGTGTGTGTGTGTGTGTGTGTGTGTGTGGGTGCACATCCCTCTCTCTCTCTCCACGGTGACCTGCTGCTCCGCCGCTCTCTGCTTCCACAGCATCCCACCGGCTGCCTAGCAACGCCCAGTGTCCATGGCAACGGAGCCAACAAACGCCCCCTCTCCTCTTCAACCTGAACCCCTCAATTAGGGCTAAACTGAGGCAATCAGAGCGCAGAGCCACAGAGAGGATTAGCAGAGAGGAACCTCCGAGTCCAGGACTTCAGGTTTACTGAGCCGGACTCTGTTCCTGTCAGATATTTTAGAGACGATGAGGATTTTAGAGCGCTGAGGGACGGAGAGGAGGTCGAACAGGTTAAAAATCGGAGTAATAATCTCATTTATAAACGAGGGTCAAAATCTGACTGAGGAAGTTTTCAGCTGCAGAAAAAAGCTCAGTTTGCATTTTGAGTTTGTGAGGAATCAGGTCCAAACACAGGATGCAAACAGGTATGAGTCATGAGCGCCTGCAGACGGAGGGTCCTCTGTGTTTTAGCGCCCTCTGGTGGTCTCAGAGCAAACCTGCAACAACAACAGAAAGAGGAGAAGAACGTTTCCCCTCAGAAGATGGATCCAGTGAATCTGTTCACTGTAAATCCAGTCTGACTCAGTCTGTGGGGGTTTGAGGGGGCAGAGTCGACACAGTCTCAACCCCAACCTCCACCTTCATCCTGATCGTCTCCTAAAAGGTCGTATCCTCCGATCGTAGCTGATCGTAACCATTCAAGTTAACGTGTCAATTTACACCGACTTCTTTCCGTTCCTCTGCGGATCGCCGGACTCCTCAGCTGATCACAAGAGTTCTATTTTCTAGAGAAGCCTGATGACTTCTGGAAACAAGTGCTGCGGACTGATGAAGTAAAAAAAGAAACTCTTTGGCCACAATAAGCGGAGGTATGTTTGGAGAAAAAAGGAACAGCTTCTCGTGAAAAGAACACCTTGCCAACTGTGAAATACGGGGGTGGATCCATCATGCTTTGGGGTTGTGTTGCAGCCAATGGGACAGGAGACATTGCTCGAGTGGAGGGAAGAATGGATCCCATTAAATACCAGCAAATATCACAGCATCTGTAAAAAAGCTGAAGCTGAAAAGAGGATGGTTTCTACAGCAGGATAATGATCATACCTCCAAATCCACCATGGACCACCTCAAGAAACGTAAGCTGAAGGTTTTGGAACGGCCTTCACAGTCTCCAGACTCCAGACAACTGTGGGTTGTTCTTAAAAGGGCTGTGCATGCAAGACGACCCACGAATATTGCAGAACTGGAATCCTTTTTTAAGGAAGAATGGAGGAAAATCCCAAAGAATAGAATCCAGAGACTTGGAGTTGGCTATAAGAAGCGTTTACAAGCTGTGATATCTGCCAGAGGGGGTCTAACTGAGTACTGAAGGTTCTGATGCTGAAGGGGGCCCTGACATTTGCACGTGCCAAAAAGATGATTTTGATTTTTGTAATTTTGTACTTTTTATAAAATAAAAAGTAACTGTGCATTAATGATTTCTGATAATATTGTCTTTTTTTCCTATTTACCAGAGAGACTATAAATATCAAGGTTAATTTTTTTATTAAATAAACTTTCACTCACAACTGTATAAGTTAATTATTTCTCCTTTCCCTAATTTTTATGTTGTAAGTTTTGTTATTGATTACCTTTATTCACACTATTTTTTTATGAAGTTATAAGAAAATGATTTAATTTGTCAAATTTAAAATTAAAAGATGAGAAAAAGCTGAAATTTAAAATGTTAAAATGATAAAAAATAAACTTTAAAGAATTATTTTCTGTCTTTTTGATCACATTACTTAGAATTTTACATTAAAAATACAGTTTTTTAATTTCTTGGACTGTTTATTTTACCTGCTCAGTCTCTTAAAATGACTTTTGTTGCAGTAACGGACAGCAGACACTAGAGGGCGATGTTAGTCCAAAAATGAGTTGCCTGAAATCTTGAGTGTCCTGCAGGGGGCGCTGTTATCTGCAGCTGTCTCTCTGCAGAATCAAGCAGCTGCAGCCTCTTCTGTGTTTTTTGTAAATTTTTATGCAAAAATCAGGAAAAAATTTCTGGTTTTCAATTTTTTTTTAGTTTTTGTAGCTGAAAAAGAAAAAAGGAGACGTGCAGCTCTGAGCTCCTGATCTCAGAGGACTGAAATATCATCTCACAATAAAACAGAAGAACATGAAGTTAAGAGTCTGGAAGATGCTTTTCTCCTTCAGATGTGTGAAGTTTGTCCAGGAACATCTCAGCGCCTCTTTGTTGTGGAGGAAACGCTCTTATTCTGAAGGGTTCATTCAGTCCCTGTGAAGCATCCTTAAAGGGTTTGTTGTTTTTTTCACTCTGAAGGAGCTCCTGAGTGAAGCTTGTTACTCCGAGGACTTCAAGACAAACGAAAACCATGATGGAGAGGTTTTTAACAGACAGAGGGACCCTCCAGGTTCTTCAGTCAGAAAAGTCCGGTCTGTGATTCAGCAGAAGGACGAAACAGAAACAGAGAAACTATCAGGACCTGAGGGACGGATCAGTCATGATAACAGGATCAGATCATGAACAAATCGTCCAGCTGTGGAGGTTTTTTGAGTGTTTGATGGTCAGCCATGATGGGAGCTGTCTGAACTCTGAGACTGACAAAGAAAGGAGCTTCACAGCTTCGATTTGACCTCCTTCAGCAGAGGAGAACCCCGTCCATCGTTTACTGAAGGAGAGGAGATGAAACAGCAACAGTTTCTTACTGAAGTCAAAGCTGTGCAGGACGTATGAACTGGATTAAAAATGTGAATTCAAACATGTGAAAGAGAAAAAAATCAGACAACAAAAAACAAACATGATTACTGAGATAAATAAATGAAATGTCGTCACTCATATCAAGTTTATCCACATTTCTGAAAGAGCAAGTCTGAGTGAACCCAAACCATCCGGTCAGCTTTCCTTTTTGTTCATAATGGTCCCAAAAGTTTTCTAAACATCATAATTCATAATTATATTTAATAAATAATCTCACCTTTGAGATTTTAAGTTTTAAAAACGGGGGCAGGAGGGATGGAGCACCAACAGGCTGATAACTGCATGATCCAAGAGCGAACAAAAACCATAAAAAAAGAAGAAAAAGAAAAAGAAGAAGAGGAAGAAGAAGAAGAAGAGGAGAAGAAGAAGAAGAAGAAGAAGAAGAGGAAGAGTGGTAATAAATAAATCAAACTTCACATTAAGGTTGAAGTGATTAAAGTGGAGAAACTACATCTGCAGATTTGATGACACTCAGATTTTCATTCATGATGTTGTTTTTAAAATCGTGTTTCCAGGTAAAAAGGTAAATTCTCCTCCAATCAGAGCCGACCCTGACACGTCCGAGTTCATATTTCACATGATCACACTTTTATAAAATTATTGAAGCTTTACTTTCACAGACTTTTTAACTAAAATGTTTAATATCTCTGATTCAGTGGTTAGAGGAAGAGAAGAATCAATTAATCAATAACTAAATCTACATTCATATTGGTGCATTAAGTTGAACCTGCTGCTGTTTTGACGACGTTAACGATATAAACAGCTGAAATATGAGTCTCTATATTATTGATTGTAAATGATCAAAATTCTAATTTCTGAGATTAAATTTGTAATTAAAAATAAAAACATGTTTCAGTCTCAGATTTAAGGACGCCGTCTTTATTTCAGGGTCATTATCAGATTTGACTCAAACTGGACTCTGTCTCCAGTTTCAGGACTTCCTCCTGTGGGACTAATGAAGGAACATCTGATCAGTTTTCTGTTATTTCACAGACGACCTCTGCACGCCTCCATCACCTGTTTTTGATTTCTCCTCGTTCACAGTCTGCTGATCTGAGTTTGTGATGAACATGAAGAGGAGAAACAAACACGCTGCTGCTCTGATAACAAAACACTAAAATCATTTATAGATATTTCAGAATAAAACACCTAAACACTGATTTTTATGGTTCTCATTTAAATCTCAAATTTGATTAAAATCAAAAATATCAATAATATTGATCAAATTCAAAGACAATATTTATCCACTCATTTTAAATCTTAAACACCTTTAAACAAAATTAAAACAAAATTTTATCATTTTAGAAAATTAAACTCATATGGAGGTGAAGGTCCAACAGGTTAGTCACATGACCGGGTCTGAGACGGACCTTCAGAGAGGCCGGGACTCTCAGAGGTTCAGGACTCTGTGAGAGACCGCGTGAGCGAACCGGTCAACAGTTTCAGGATAAAGTTCCTGATTCCTACAGAAGATCAGTCAAAGATTCAGAGGGTCTGGAGAAATCTCTGTACTAAAGGGGGACAAGGACCAGAACCAGGACTGGACAAGAACCAGAACCAGGACTGGATGGTCTCAGGGCAAAAATTCAGACATGACTCTGTGGTGGAAATCACGGCATGGACTCAGAATCACCTGTGAACTCAGATCATCACTGCAGGAGACCAGATAGAAACCAGATCCAGAACCACCAGAGACCTCTGTGGACCAGAGTCCATTTAAGGTGTAAATCTGTCCTCTGGTCTAATGAACCAAAACCAGGTTTTCTTGTAGAAATGATGGAGACCACGTCCCTCACTGAAGACACTGACCTCATTATAAAGGATCAGTCCTAAAAAAGAGACTCTGAACTGAAATCCTACATCAGGACCAGAACGGGACAGTTTTAAAACTCCAGAAACTGGACTGATCCGGACCGTCCAAGTGGAGACAAAGATTCTCCTAATGGACCAGAGAAAGTTCTGCTCAGAGACTCGAATCTGTTCACACATTTAGGTCAATAAATATAAAGTCATTATCTTTAATTAAGGGGAGACAAATAATCTGGGTCGGTCTTCTTATGACTGAGAGGTTCTAATCAGGAACCAGAACTCTCAGGAACCAGAACTCTCAGGAACCAGAACTCTCAGGAACCAGAACTCTCAGGAACCAGAATTCTCAGGAACCAGAACTCTCAGGAACCAAAACTCTCAGGAACCAGAACTCTCAGGAACCAGAACTCTCAGGAACCAGAATTCTCAGGAACCAGAACTCTCAGGAACCAAAACTCTCAGGAACCAGAATTCTCAGGAACCAGAACTCTCAGGAACCAAAACTCTCAGGAACCAAAACTATCAGGAACCAGAACTCTCAGGAACCAGAACTCTCAGGAACCAAAACTATCAGGAACCAAAACTCTCAGGAACCAGAATTCTCAGGAACCAGAACTCTCAGGAACCAAAACTCTCAGGAACCAAAACTCTCAGGAACCAGAATTCTCAGGAACCAGAACTCTCAGGAACCAAAACTCTCAGGAACCAGAATTCTCAGGAACCAGAACTCTCAGGAACCAGAACTCTCAGGAACCAGAACTCTCTGAACATTTAGAGTTGATCTCTGGAGAGTCGGACTGATCTAAACTAAGTGTTGAGTTTGAGAGAAGAACACGTCATCATGGGTAACCTTCTGGAGGACAGATATGATGTACCCATGATGACGGAAGACCTGTTCACACACACACACACACACACACACACACATTAGAGATATGCTTTTCCTCTGGTTTGGTCGAGACTCTGTTTGTCATCTGAACTAATTTCTACATCTGTACAATGAAAGATCAAATGAAGAAGTCAAGGTCAGACAAGGGCACCAGGATGTCAGCAGCAGGTCCTTCAAACCCTCTTGAACACAGACTGTTGGACTGATGAAGGTCTGGAACTGAGACGTTACAGATACAGAGTTTTCTTTGGACAGTGTGAAGGTGTTTGTGGACGTGTGAACGAACCTGTCCACTGAGAAAAAGAGACAAACAGGAAGTGTCTGTGGTCACATGACCTTTTAATCAGAATATGAGACAAAAGAGGATCTGAAGTCCGTCACCAGAGTCTGACTGAAGTCGGAGTTTGTTTCCCACTTTTTCTTTCAGATGTTGATTTTAAATGTTGGTAAAAAAAAACACATTTTCTGTTTCCTCTTCCCTTCTTTTCTCCCACACTTCTTCATCCACTTCTTCCTCTTTTCTCCATTTTCATTCTCTCCTCTTATTCTTGTCTTCCTCTTTAAAGCTCTTTTTTTTTTCTTTCTGTCTTTCCCTCCAACTTTTTCTCACCTCCGATTCCCTCTCTTTTCTTCTTTCTTCCTCTGTTCCCTCCATCTCTGCTGTCCCATGTGAACTCTCTCTCTCTCTCTCTCCCTCTCTCTCTCTCCCCCCTCTGAATTCTCGGACCCTCTCATTTTTAATTTATGCACATATTAATTGCTCTCTATTGTCATTTCCACCGTGGGATACAACATGCAAATGCGCCCTGTGCGCGCGCGCGCCCGCCCGCGTGCGCGTGTGTAATCCCGCACGGACAGACATGAGTGAGTTAGTTTCTCCGGTTCTTCAGACTCATGTTCTTTATATTCTTTTAGCTTTTCTGCACTAATGACATCACCGTGTTAAAGAGAGTTTGGCGCATTTTTCACAGTTTCATGCGCTAAAACTCAAATTTAAAGACGTGATTTTCTGTATTGTCAGATTAATTTGTTTTCATTTTATTCTAGCTAAATATATAAAAAACGGTCCAGCGCTTTAGCAGCATTTACCTGTTAAATACTGAATTCTTTCAAAGAGACTTAAACTTCATTAAAACCTAAAAACAGACGAACTTCTTCAACTGTGAGACAACTTCAACTTTTTAGTTATTTCACGACAATATATTGATTCTTTTGTTCCTAAATATTCATGCTCATGTTTTCTTAAACATGGAAACATTTTTTAAAACCGTTGAGACTTTAAAACCTTTTTTTATTTTGATGTTTTTTGTTCTGTGGTGTAAACTTGGTGGATGTGACTGAGATCTGCTGATTAAACTCTTCAATAAAAATAAGTTCAAACTCTTTAAATCGAGTTTTCTCAGTGAGATTTTTTGGAGATTTGCAGATAAAAATAAATATGTTAATTAATGATTTCTAGTTGATTTAGAGTCCCTGCAGGTGTCTGATTTAAAAGTCCATTTTAAGTGTTTGTTTTCTTCCTCCTTTGACATTTATAACCGATTATTACCGATCACTGTTATCGTCACTTTATCGTGTATCTATACTTGTATTATCTACACGCTGCAGGTTTTGAAGCAGCTTTTATTTTGTAGGTGATTGACTAGAATTTCATCTGATCAGTGTAAATCAATCACTTCATCACTGATCGGATGATTATCGGTGATTTCCGATAACAGCCAATCAGAGCAGCTCAGTCCTGACCTGAGTCCAGTCTGAGGAAGGCCTCAAAGATTTTACACCTGAACTGAAAACCTGCTCAGCTCAGTCATGAAGATATAGAATTAATATAAAATATATTTCTGAACTTCATGGACAAAAAACGTGTAAATCCTGTAAATGTGCGGATTAATTAGTGCGTAAGAACCACCGAAACCCCCTCTGAGAGCAGCTTTAGTCTCAGATATATGATTCATGTTAAAAACAGAACTTTCTTTTCCGTGTTTGTGAAATAAAAACATGATCTGTAAAATACACGGAGCTCCTGTTTCTCCTCCTTCTCCTCCTCCATCCTGCTGCAGCTTTAGCGGAGCTGAGCGTGACTCATAATTCATGTATTCATAAACTGTATGTCAGACATAACACGTGCATATGTTCACGTCGTTCTAATGCACAGGAGGCAAATCCAGCGCGTGAGTATCAGGCCGCATTCGCAGAATTCATCAACATTAATAATCAATTATTGAATAAAATCGTGTTTTAAATCAGATTTTAAATAAAGTGTCTGACCCTCTGTGAGCTCCGAAAAACACGAAAAGACACAAAAACTTACTGTAACACGCACGCGCACGCACATGACTCATAACCCCCCCTTCTGCCTTCTGATCCGGATCCTTTACTGCGCATGTCCGCAGCAGCAGCAGCTTAAAGTCATTTATCAGCTCATTAACATAATTAGAGGCAGAAATCCCGGAAATAAGAAACACAAAGAAAAACTGAAGAACCAGAACCTGCAGAAGACCAGAGACCAGCTCAGACCTGGACCTGGATCTCCAAGGCCCTGAAACCTGCAGGTAGACCCTAAACCTGATGATGCAGACTTACAGTTCTCCAACACATCCATAAATAGTCACTATGATCAATTAAACTGATTGAATCTGTTCAGATAAATCAATAAACTCCAGAGCTGCAGAACTGTACCCCCCTCATGACAGTAAAAGTCTCCAGAGTCTCTGAGTCTTCACCAAAACCTCGTCCTCACAGATTCACAGAAAGTCTGAAGAGTCGATGATGATCAGAGTTTCTACAGCAGAGTAAAATAAACACACTGATGATGAAGATGATGAAGATGATGATAAAAGATCTTGTCCTGCTCACTCAGTCTCCTATAAAGTCTGGTTCTGGTTTTTGTTGTTTTGATGTTTGAGGAACTTTTTCTGATCTGAGCAGGTAAAAAAAGGTGTTTCTGCTCCTGAACGAGCTGCTCTGATTGGCTGATTTCAGGATGATGATAAACACTCATCTTTGTGTTTTTATGGATTTTAAGGTTTTTATTCTCTTTTATTTTACATCTCTGTCTGCTGCTGGTTTTGACCTCGACTCTCTTTAAATCCTGATCATTAAACTCTTATTCATTTAAATGAATCAAAATATCCTGTAACATTAAAATAAATCATCATATTTCAGAGAAAATTAATCCAACCAAAACAATAAGAGTGTAGAGAAAATAAACTCAGGATTAATGAGATTTCAAAATAAAAGCTCTGAACTATTTTCCAAATTCGAGACTGAAAATTGAGAGAGGGTGTAATAAAAATATCAGAGTAAATCCAGCTTTAAAAAAAGAGTCTGTCTAAAATTAAAAATCTTTATTATCAATATTTTAATTTCATAAATGACTTTTTTTTTTTAACTTTGAAATTTTCTGTCTTGAAATAAAAAATACTGGAAACATCATTTCTGCAAATAAACGATCTTTGGAGGAGAATTAAAAACATATTAAATATTTATGTGTTTATTTATTCAAAGGTGTTTATTTTTTCTGCATGAATCCGGATTAAACAGACAGAGGAGTCCAGATTAGAGCCGATGATGAAATAATCCGGATCTCTCTGTAAATATTCTCAGATTTTCTCGGTTTTTATTCCTTTAAAGCTGCTGATCTGAAGTCTGTCCTCGGGCTGTTTCAGCCTCAGACCTGTCAGATTAAAATCATAATAATTATAATTATAATAAATATAATAAACTCTTCTCTCTTCTCCTCCTCCTCCTCATCAGGCCTCCGTGTGAAAATCCTCCTCTGCTCCTCAGACTCACACAGACGGAGACACGGACCCCCCCGTCTCCCTCCAGCGCCGACATGAATTTCTGACTCATTAGCATTTATGCAAATGAGTTTCTAATTGCAGCCGTAATGACTCTGGCGTGGGAGATTTTTCACTCCGCCATGTTTTTTCTTCCTGGATGCATTTGTTTGCTTCGTTTTGAAAACTCGAACCCGGACCTTCTGCTCGGTTCTCCTTCAGGAGGAGCTTCTTCTCACATCTACACAAACATTTGGACTTTGTGGTTCTGGTGGTTTTTCTACAAACAGGCCGAAGGTGTTTCTGGGAGAGCTGCGACAACAAAAAACAACCTCCTCCTCCTCCTCCTCCTTCTTCTCCTTCTCCTTCTTCTCCTCCGGGGATGACCGCAGAGCAGCCCGGCCGGACACGGGGGAGGGACACACTCACAGGTGAGTCCGGACAGAAGGTGTGTGCGGGTGCGGGTCCGAGCCTCGTGCTGCTCTGATGCAATGTGCGCGAGCGAAATGAAATGCAAAATGGCAGCAGATAAAGGAGGAAGAGGAGAGGCTGAGAGAGAGAGGAGAGAGAGGAGAGGTGCAGGGAGAAAAGGAGCAGAACCGGGACATGGGTCTGGAGCAGGAGCAGAGTTTGGACCCTGACAGAAATTATAAATAAATATTTAAATATAAAAAAGGAGAAAATCTGCAGAATTTAAAGAGTTAAAGAGAAATCAGGTCAAAACAAAAAACAGTTAAATCTGATCAAAACCAGGAAAATATCAGAGTTTCTTCCACTTTGAGAGGTTTTCAGGCTCCTTTAGGAGGAAATCAGTGTGTGTGTGTGTGTGTGTGTGTGTGTGTGTGTGTGTGTGTGTGTGTAAAGGGGGGGTTAGTCTGTCTGGTTTTGGCACAGGGAGCCTGTTTGGCCCCCACAGAGCTCCAACAATATGTGCAGATTTTGTGGGACAAAAGAGCCGCAGCTTTGAGTTTCAGAGCACGTCTCTGACACTGGGACCGAGCACGACGCCGTACTGGGGGAACTGGGAGGCTAGACTGGGAGGTTGTGGTTGTGGTGAGGGAGAGCAGTGATGTGGCAACAGGTATCAGGGTCTCTAAAGGGTTCATGTCTGAAAACACAAAAACACGTTCAGCAGATAAAAACCTGCAGGATTCCTCGTTTCTCTGTTCGGTGGACGAAACCTCCTTTTTCTAAAAAGTGTTTCCTCAGTTTTCACTGCAGAGAAATGTCTCAGTCTTCCCCCTGTCTGCCCTCGGTTCATCGTCCTTCAGCTTGTTTTTGTTCCTCACAGCTGATCGATTCATGACTGAATCACAAACGCTGAGAAATAATAATCCAGACAAACAATCCAGAAAAGAAGGACATCAGTGTTTGGAGGATTAATTCACTCCTGCTGCAGAAAAATGTCAGGAAACCTCACAAACGACGACGACGACGACGAGACAGAGAAATGTCCAAAAAAATCTCAAAGAAAGAAAAAATTAGATTGAAGAAAACGTCCAGTTTAAGACTGAAATGATCAATATCAGAGTGACGGAGCAGCACGGTGGAAAAGGAGTGTGTGTGTGTGTGTGTGTGTGTGTGTGTGTGTGTGTTTGGAAAACTCCTCATATCATCAAATAAACAAAGATCAGAGTTAAAGAGGTGAAATTGTGTTTCTGAAATCCTCCGTCAGTCTGAGTCTCTCACCTCGGTGACAGAGATCTGCTCTCGAACCCGAGCTCTTCACCCTCAGCTGTAAACTCACCGACACACTCAGAGCAGACACACACAAACAAAGCCTCTCTTTGTTATTTACACTCATGTGCAAATTACTAATTCTCCCAAAACCTGAAAACCTGAAGAGTTTATTTTTCCAGGTTTTGCAACAGTCTGGATCAGACTCTGGATCAGACTCTGGATCAGACTCTGGATCAGGAGATTTATCGAAGCGCTTTCTACCAGGACAGAATCTGGATCAGTGTGATCAGACATGTTAAATACGTCTCTCAAACATCCAAACAGACACACGAGTCGAATCTCAACGTAAAGATTCAGTCTTTAAAGTCTGCAGCAGATCATCTGTTATTAAAGCTCTGTGCTGCTGTGATTGGACAACAAGGATCTGATCGTGTAGGAGACATGAAGACAAAAACATTCAGAGTAAAATAAGAAAATAAGAGAACAGGATCAGAAATGGAAGAATTCAAAGATGAACTGGAGAAGTGCAAACATTACAAACACTAAACATGCAGCAGTATGATCATAGTGTAATATTAGAGTTTATATCCAGACCTCCACCTTCAGTTTGATGGATTCAGCAGGTTTAAACTCTCGTCATTTAAAGACTGAAGCTCGTCGAGGAAAACACCCAAACTGAGCTCAGAGTTGGTTTTTATGGTCAGGTCAGACGGTTTCAGCTCCTCCACTCTGCTGCTTTTACTCTTTAGAGTTCTGATGTGAAGATGTGTGTCGTACAGGTCAGCAGGACTCTGCAGACCTGGTAGTTGGATTCTGACATTTTACTTCACAGTGAGACTTTTTTACAGTCCAGGACACTTTAGTTCAGAGTCTCATTTATACACCGACTTTCTCTACGTTAAAATAAACAAACTGTTTCGTTAGCTTGAAATCGGATCGTTAAGTCTTCACAACACGTCTATCAGAGCGGTCACAGCATGTAAAAAAAATACTTAGTTTAGATTTGACTTTAAACTAAAGTTCGACCGATTTATCGGCAAAAAGACGAAATCAGCCAATTTTAGCCCGTTTGAGACTAATCGGTAATCGGCCAAAACTCGCCGATATTTTCAGAAATAAAATGCGGAGAATAAGATTCGATTTCACTTCAAAAATGTTCCACCATTTAAAAAGTTCCCTGACTTATCCTGTAGATGGCGCTACAGCGACCTCATGCCGATCTTCCTCCACTAACTCCCTCACAGCACAGCAGAGTGACGGATCTGAAGCAGCAGCTCAGGGACACGGAGGAGAGTGGTCCTCCTCAACGGGAAATAAACCAGTTTGTGAAAAACACAATAAGTCAACAAGTTTCACTTCAACCCACTTCACCATGTTCCCCACTGTGCTGGTCTCGGTCACGCCCACTTAACGCTGAAGCACCATGGGATATGAAGCTAAAGTTAGAGTTAGCCACCTGCTGTTAGCCTTGCTACACTGTTAGCCGTGTCAGTAACGGTAGAATAAACAACAGAACACATTAGTGATCGAGATACTTCTCTGACTGAGGCAGCTGCATGTCTGCAGATCAGACCGGACCGGAAATGAGGAACGAGAGTTAAGACGAGGAGACACCGATCAGTCGGTCTTCCTGTCGGCGTGAAGAGCAGTAGCCTACAGGATATCTACAGTGTAGTATATTGTAGATATCTACTGTACATATTTATATTTTTTATAACTTCATAAAAAATGTTAAAAACTGGCCGATTAATCGGTAATTGGACCCCCCCCCCCCAATAATCAATATCGGCCCCAAAAAATCCATATGGGTCGGGCTGTACTTTAAACCTCTGAGAGAGGACGGTGAAGACACCAGCTCCTCCTCCTCCTTCTCCTCCTCCTGGTGTTTCTCCTGCAGGAGCATTAAGAGCCTCTCAGGATCTCCATCAGCAGGTTCACATCAGCTGCTGCTTCACCTGCAGATCACCTGCTGACCTGCTCAGACCATGACTGACACTGGAGGTTCTGAAACAAACAGGACAGACTGAGGTCCACCAGGACCCCCAGATCCAGCTCAGAGAGACCAGCTGAGATTTAGTCTCATTATCATTAAAAAGACTAAAAACACCAAAATCCTCCTAAAACTCCAACATGGAGCTTTGAAACTTCATCACCAGGACATTATTCAGAAAAACTACAGTGAGAGGTCAGGTTTGGATTAAAAGCTGCACAGACTGAGCTCAGACCTGCAGATTAAACTGGATTAAAGACAAACAGCCTCGGTCCAACGTGAAGATCTCCTGAGTTTAGGACCGCTCAGGTCCATCAGAAACATGTAAGAGGACTTTATGGAACCTGTGTGAAGTTAACGTACAAACTGAGATCATATGAGGAGAGTCACTGCTTCTCAAAAACCAGGAACACGGAGTCCTGATGAGTTTAATCTGGACCGACTGAAATAATTTGGTCTAAAAAAAAAGGAAAAGAAGAAAAAAAATAATAATCTTCTCTTTTTTTTCCTTCTTTTCTTTAACAAACAGCAAGAACACTGACCATACAGTGTGTGTGTGTGTGTGTGTGTGTGTGTGTGTGTGTGTGTGTGTGTGTGTGTGTGTGCAATAATAATAATTCAGTGAACATCGAGGAATAATCAGCCAATCATAATCTTGATTTTAGATTTTAATAACTACATTTATATTTCAGTAATAAAATCACATCTTCTGTCTGTTTAACCAACTAAACTGATCAATCACTTTTTATTGATTCTCTGTTGAGATCACAACAATAACAACAAACAAAGAGGGGAAATAATTTAATGAAATTTAAGACATTTTAAAAATGTTGAAACTCGTTTGAGCAAAAATAAAGTGTTAAAATAAGTGTTCAGTGCGGTCACCTTTACCTGCCGTGGTTCATCTGCAGATGAATGAAAACTTTAAAACTCTGAAATATAGAAGAATAAAGTTTCTGCATCTACAACCGTCCACATTCACACCTGAGCAGCTGATTCAGTTAAAATGGGACGTTGTTGTTGTTGTTGTTAAATTTACAGTAAATTTCTGTGACTTTAAACAGATTTTCCAAAATAAACTTTTGACTATTTTGGAGAATAAATCTATGTTTTTATTTGTTATTTAGTTATGACTCTATTTGATATCTGCAGGGACTGTAGAGATGAGGATTTGTTACAGAATAACATCCTGTTATATGACCTATTATCAGTTATTATTAATCTGATGCAGACCGGACACCAGAGGTTTCATTTTTAACACTTTTTAGAGATTTCTGTGACTTTAGTTTATTCTGTTAAATTCACCTCATTGCTTTTTATTGACGGTGTGTTTAATGTTTTGTGTCATTAATGTCCTGTAAAAAGAAATA